ATATTAAGGACAATATTCCAGAAAGAGAGGCACCGGTAGTATAGGAAAGAGTATAAAGAATTCAAGTAAAACGGGAGATACTAGAGAAATAATAGCAAGAAGTAATAAATATATAGAAAAAGTACTATAATAAGAAATATATTAATAAGAAGTTTAAGATATATAATAAAATTATACTTTATATAAAGAACATTTAATAGCTATAACCTAGTATAAAGCTAGTAAATAGATATCTTGGCTTCTTTAAAGTTCTAGAAGTTATAGGAATATATAGATAGGTATACTACTTGAAATTATTATTATTATATTAGATCTATAATATTTTCCACATTTTCCTCTTAGAACTATAGTACCCGCGAGCTAGTACTATAATAGAACCAGAGCTAGTTAAGATTAAGGGCAAAGAGGAATTCGAGATAGAATTTATTATGGCCTATAAAAAGGGCAGAAAAGAAAGGAAGTATCTCGTTTATTAGAAGAGCTACTTACCGGCAAATAATATATAGGAACTACTAAGTAATCTAGAAAATATAGCTCAAGAATTATAAGAATACTTGAAAAAGAATAATATTATAATATTATTAGCTAAATAGAAATATAAAAGATAAACGCTTTTATTAGGAAACTATTAAAAAACCATATATTTATTCTTAGAAAAACCATACGAAAATTATTAAAAACTCTAATTTCTATACCCTATAAATATCCTATTCTTGTAATTACTTTCTACTATCCTTATTATTATCCTTATTAGGATTCTTTCGAGAAACAGGTAGTAAATTAGCCTATAAAGCTATTAGCTATTAGTAAGAAACAAGAAAGAAATAAGCTTACTTAATACTAAAGAATATTAATTATATTATTAAGAGTACTTTATACTTATACTAAGCTAGTGAGAATTACTTAACTTATTTCTTGGATTATTAGGGAAATCCATTAGCCTCGAATAATAGCTTTAATATAAGAAGTATATATAGTTTAGTATAAAAGAAAGGTAGTAATAGCCTTCTCTCTTTTGGGCAAAAAATAGAAAAGACGCTTATATATATTAATAGCTTAAAGAAGGCGGTTTAACTATACTATATATACTTAAGAAACCTTAGATAGTATTAGAATAAGAAATAAAAAAAGAAATTTATAACTTATAGGATTATATTTCTTATTCTTAGAATAGTAGTAATTATATACCAAGTAATTATTACTCTTAATATAAGTAAGGTTAGGAAACTTAGTAATATTCTTGGAATATTAAAAATAGTAAGGGTAAATTAAGAATATGGAAGTATTAGCTAAATAAGTAATAATAAGCTAATAAGTACTAAGAGAAGTATTTATCTTAATAAATAAAGAAGTAAAAGAGGGAATTAGAAGGGAACTTAAATAAAGCTTAAATAAGGCTTAAAGAAGCTTAAAGGAGCTTAAAGAAGGCTTAAAGAAGAAAGGCAAGAGACGAGGAAAAGCTAGATACGGTATTATAATTAAGGAAAAGGAAGATTAGTTAGTAGGAAAAGGGAGGCCTTTTTATAATACCCTCTCCCCGAATAGTAATTACGAATTCGGAACCGGCTCTATACTAGAAATACCTAGAAAATTCCAAAGAAGGAATTCACAAATAAACCAGAAGATCGGATTAACTTTTCCAAGCTCTTGGGCCTATAGAATAATAATTTATTTATAAATAGAGGCTAAGTTAGAATTTACGAATTAATTAGGAGATCGGATAAGCTTTATATCCGATAGTATATATTATATTCGTACCATCTTTATAAGAGGGAATCGCCAGAGGCGATTTGCGAACTAGCTAGGAAGAATTAGTAAACTATATCCTTAACTCTATTACCTGATATAATAATGGGATAATTATAGGAAGTCTTTGGGAAAAGCTAGTAGCCAGGAAAGTTTCAGGGAAACATTTATAAAGCTATTCGCAGTTTTCCCAGGCCTCTTGGGGACAAGAGCCCAGAGGAGGGGTTAATATAATAGGCATATGTAATGGCATATAGACAGGTATTAGATATCGTAGATCTAGTTTCCTATTTTAGGTATAGCTTGCGATCGGAATTATATAAATTGCATGGGATTTCCTAATTAAGTAAAGGGCTTTGCATGCCTGGCTAAGTACTAGGAAATATATAGGGAGACGCTCCTAGCTTTGGAAGGGGCATTAATTAGTCTCTTATTAGAATCAATTCTTGGAATCAGTTACACTTGCAAGCGTTACTCCGCAGCTTACTTACCTTAACTACTTGTATATTACCCTGCTATTACGTGCCTTATAATTGGGTATTTTTAGATATTTTTACTAATTAGGCTAGAACCTGCTCCTAACTAATAAAATTAGCTAAAACGTGTCACGTACAGACAGAATTTCGTATAATAGTTCAAACTTCTCTTTCTTAATATTATTAATTAATTAGGAAGCTATTTATAATAATACAACCATACTACCTTTAACTAATCGGAATGCCTTATATGCTAATTACTATATGTCTAAGCAATTCACAATAATTTATCCTATAGCTAGTTACGGGTTTTAAATGCCTAAGGGCCAGTATAAGCACTATACTAGTAAACCCAAATCCTGGAATCTAATACTCTATTAAGTACCTTATTTACTCGATTACAAGGGATATAAATAATAGCTAAAGAATAATAGTATAGATTCGGTATCTATAACCAAGAAACAGCCTACTTTAAATAATTAGTTTACTATAATAGACTCTACTACAGAGGAGCTTTTTATACTTGTAATCTATACTTTAACTTATAGCTTCTTTACTTTCAAAACTCCTGAATAGAAAGCCTTTTTTATAAAGCTTAATTTCAAAGCTCCTAGATATAAAGCTCTTACTAGAAACCTCCTTACTCGTTACTACGAAAAACTCAAAGTAGTTATTTACGGTATAGCTAATACGGTATCCCACATTCAAATTATTACTAATAGCTCGTCGAATATTGGAAAATAATACATCGAAAATATATCTTTCTTGGTTAGTGGCATATTATATTATTGGAGTTTAGTAGCTATTAGAGTAGTCAAAGCAGGAGCGAACTAGATAGTAGATAATATAATCAAGGATACTAATGAGATTACTAGAAACTCGCTCTATTAATAGACGTCTTTCTTATCTAATACTTGCAATATATAGCGGAAAGTATAGAAGGTCTTAAGTATATACCCTGTTTATAAATACGTTCTCTCTATACTATATAATTCCCATAATATTCAACTTATCTTTAAAGATCTTCTCTTTCCCGGTAAAGCTAATAATAGTTCGCAAATTATTACTGCAATTAGTAAGTTCTTTAAAGACTTCTCTAATAAGATCGTCTCCTTCTTCTCCTTCTCCGACAAATAACTAGCCTATTTATAAGAAGCTATAGTTATATATGGTAGAATTATTATTTTGATTACTATAGTACTAACTTGCTAGGGTACTCAAATACATTAAATCGCATCTATTAATAAGTCTTCCAAAGCCCTTAAATCATATACCGAATGCCCTAATAATAATAAATTAAAGCCTATTTCGATTAAGCCTCTGCTCCATAAGATAAACGAAGTATGGCAGTAGAGTCAAGCTTTAGAGATTCTCCTTAAGCCTATTTATATATAGTAAAAGATGTCCGAATCAAATAACTCTATACTTGGAAAGGTCTATATACGGTAGCTATAATTAAATAAGTATCTCCAGAGGTTCAGAAGACAGGGTACTAATATATAGGCAGAAGAAATTAATAATTACTACTCTTGTAAAGGCAGAGGTAAATAGAACGATCGAATTAATTAATAAGTTCTTCCTATCTATCTAGTAGCCTATATACTCCTTCCGGCGAACCATAATGCCTTCCTAATACCCGAAATTCAGAAGCAAGCGGACGATTAGATAATAGAGAAAACAGGTCCAAAAGGGTTCTATTAATAGTATTAATATCGCAAGAAGCAAGAGAGCTTTGGGCTATTAAATAATTATTGGATATACTTTATAGAAAATCCGATTGCTTTTTGGGAAATCTCAGTAAGATATTTTAAATATATCTATATCTTTTACTAATTTTTTACAGGTTACCCTTTCTCCAGAGCTTTCCAAGCTAGCCCTCGATTTATGCCATACTACTGCGAATTCAGTAGCCTCTAAACAAGCCTTTTCTACTATAAACTTCCTATAATCGAAGATACGAAATCGACTATTAATCGAGATAATAAATATACTTTGCTTTATTTATATTAATACATAATTAATTCGTTTAGTAATAAAGTATAAGGATATGAATAAGGAAGCGGTATTACTTACGGAGTTAATAGCGGAGATACTATTAAATCAGGAGGACGATATAGTAGTAATAGATAATATTAATAGAGAGGAGGATGAGACTAATATATGGGTTAATATTAATATAATAGATACTTAAATATCTGGAGTTTTATTCCTCTCTTCAAGCTTTTTTCCCTTAATTTCTTATACTAATATTATATAAACACTATAATATTAGTATAAAAATTATGTATATAATATTGGCTAGACCAATATTATATACCTATATACTAGACCAATATTATATACGTATATTGGGTATTTTTTTCCAACCCTAAAGGGAAGGGCCCCTTTAGCGTGACGTGAAGTCCGACTATTAAGCACGCCGTCCCAAAAGCATACGGGGTTATTGGTCAGTGTAACAGTCCGAGCTTCGCCAAGGCAGTCATTACCCGAGAAAAGATAGAGGTGTAGGCCACGACCGAACAAATTTTGGCTAACACTCATAGTAAAGCCAAGGAATTGCTGATTGAAACCGAAGCAGCCATCAAGACCGCTAATGGTATACGTGAAAAAGTTATCGCAACAAGGAGGCGCAGCAAAGGAGTGACTAAGAGAGAGGACGATTTGGTCGGCGTTGCCCTTACGAGCCTAGTAGAAGGGTTCACTGGCCAACCGCCCAAACTACTCAACCGCCCAAAATCGCTACCTTCAAAAAATCATAATTCAACACCCACATAATATTTTACTACCAAATCAATTGTTTTCCGAAGCTTTTTTAGCCCCTCAACATGCCTGTAAAGAAAAACCACTATGCCGAATATCCGGACGATCCCAATGAGCTCTCTGAGAGCGTGCGATTACAGATGGCCCATGACGATTATCTCGATCACAACACTAGCAAGAAGACTAAATCCATTCGAAAATGCGCGAGAGAGCATAGAATTGTATACGAAACCCTTCGAGATCGAATCAATGGAGCGAAACCAAAGGAACAAGATATAGCGGCAAGATAGCGTTTGTTAGGGAGGCAAGAGGCGGTTATTCAGCGTTATATTCGAAAATTAGAAGTATGGGGCTGGCCCCCAATAATTTATAAGATTTACTGTATAATAGCGAATTCGGTTAATATTTGAGCTTTTATAATCGAAAAATCGAATAGCATCTAAAATTCCAATTAAATATTTAAGTAATATAAGCGATTCTTTATTCCAAGAATTAAGTATTTAAATTTAGGCTTATTACCCTACTAAATACAAATCACTAATTCTTACCCCAAAGAAAATTCAATAAGAAATATTATTATAATAATACAAAAAACTCCTTATATACTCTCTTATATAAAGCCATATATTACTAAAGAATTTAGGATATTATATAAGATATTTAATTAATTACATAGAAATTAGTAAGGGGTAGAGATAGCAGGGTAAAAATCAGTGGGAAAATGCCAAAAATACTACTAAATAAATAATTTTAGTAATACTATATAGTTTTAAAGTAATATATAGCCATTAGGGGATTGAGAATACTATAATGTATTAGTATTTAATGGGAATTAAAAATTTATTAAGGCGTTAATTAAATATTAAGATTTTAATTTTTGGGCGGTTATAACGGCTGGTATAAGGGCATGATCTGCCAAGGACAGGATATCGGAAACAGGTACAAAACGAAGCTAAGCCAAGAATTACTTGGACGGAATAATACTAAAGGTCAAGGTATTCTTTCTACTTTATTCTATAGCTTAGTATTTTCTAATATATAAGATTCTTTAAACTTTGAGCCTTTGACTATTATATTAATCCCGCTATTATATAATACTAAGCTTACTCGACTCGGCCTATAGAGGCGATATAATACTACTGGCAAAGGATCCGTATTTATCCTTGGAAAGCGAAGACAGAATACCGCTTTTAATATTTAATAACCTTCTCAAACTATAAAGAACTAGAGAGCTTAACTAGAAGTATAATATCCTCTATAACTTAGTTAATCTCGGAGCCTGACCCTTAACTAGAGCAGATAATATTCCCCTTCTAGTAATTAGTCCTCTACTAATATAAAAGAAGAAAGATATTATTCTCTATAATCCGATTAATCTCGGAGCCTGATTCTTAACTAGAGCAGATAATATTCCCTTAATACTAATGAGAGTAAAAGAACCGGCCCCTTCCCCTAGTATAGGAAGAATTAGTAATAGTCTACTAATTTAAAATAGGAAAAGATAATAATTGGTTTTAGTCTACTAACTTAAAACTAGATAAGATAATAATCGGTTATAGTTTACTAATATTAAATAAGAAGAATTTACTTAGTACTTACTTTTATAGCTAATACTTCTTCTAAAGTTACTATAGATAGCCCGGGGCCAAATACTATTACTATAGATATATTAAATAAAAGGCCCTAGTATAATAAAATAAAGAAGCTAGACTTTAATATTATAAACCTATATTACCGGGAAAACTATTATAATACTATTCCAGAAAAAGATATTAAAAAGTAGCTAGCTAATTTAGAACTTAAAATTAGTATAAATACTTCGAAAATAAATAAGGCCTAGTAAAGATTACTTATATAGGATAATCTTATTAATAAATACTATTTTATAACTAATAAATAAGTAAAATACTACTAGAAATTTTATTTATATATTAACTAATTTACTAAGAAAGTTAATAAACTAAAAGTAATTACTAATTAATTTTATATAAAAGAAAAACTAGTATAAAAAAATAAAATAAAATAGAGATCTAAATAGGTAGATATTTAGAAATATTATAGATCCCTATTAGAAGAACTATTTAGGGACTAATATTAAGGCTCTTTCCCGCTTTTAGTTTATAGTAATTAACTATAGTTTATTAGAATTAAGGATTCTACTCTATTTATAAATAAGAATAATTACTAGATTAATAACTAGATATTTAATATAAGAAATAAACTAATATAGAATTTCTTTAAATTTAATAATAAATTACTAAAAATTACTTATATAATATAACTAATTACCGGAAATACCTGTAACTTTATTTATAATTAACTAGAACCTGGATTAGTTAGATAAATCTTAATTACTAAATAGATTTTTAAGATCTTTTAGTAAGCTTATAGTAAAAGTAAAGAAATAAAGTACTAGAAAATAAAAGAGATATACTAGTATCTAAAATAAAGAAATAAGCTATTTCCGGTATTCTAGGTAAAATTTATTTATTTAATAATAAAACTAGGGAAGTTATTAGATAACTAATATAATAATTTAATAAATAAAATAAATCTCGAGTTACTTAAAAGCTTAGGTAATAAGAAGTTTAATACTTCTAAGGACCTTACTAAGTAGTATATAAAATAAGAAAATAGGCTTCTTTTAATTAAAAATTAGTAATTTCAGAAGAAATAACTAGTAGAAACTACTTATTACTAAATATTACTTTGGGCTAGAAAGCTTACCGGAATTCAAGGAGCTATAGTAATTCTATATCTAATAAATTAACCTTAGTAGCCAGTATTCTTATAGCTAAAGAAGATAATCTACCGAGAATTTAAAAAGAGACTAGATTAACTAGAGGGCCTTTATTATTATAGCTATAAAAAGCCTAAATATATAAAAAGTACTTATTCTAACTTTAATAAGGTTATACTTATTAAAGAGAATTATTTAAAGAAAGCTAATAATTTAGGGATAAATAATAATTTAGGAATAAATAATAAAAATACTAATTCCTATTTATTATTTAATAAGGAATATAATATTAATAAGTCGGGAAAAGTCTAGTTTTAGATATAGAGATAGCTTTTCTAGAATAAGAACTTTACTAAGAATCCGTAGATTTTACTTAGCTAATTAGCAGGAACTAGTTCCTTATTAATTATTAAGTATACTAGAAAGGCAAAACTATAACCTTTTAATATTTAGTAAATACTAGAGCAAATATATATATTTTAATTAATTAAAAGTATATTTGCTTCTTAATAAAAATATTATAAATACCCTTATATAAACTCAAAACCCCTATTTCCTTATAAGATTTTAATAAATAACTTAGTAAAGCTATTTAATATCTAGCTATTATAGATTTAGCTATTAATTAGTATTCCTAAACTTAATAATACTTATTTACTACTAATTTCGGTTCTTATAATATAATTCTAGGAAGAAAATAGCTAATAAAATATAATATTTTACTGAACTATTAATAGAATTAATTTTATTAGCTAGAGAACTATAAGATAAATTAGCTAGATCTTATTTAGAAAATCCAATATTTTAATAAGAAATATTAAAAAGATAATTATTCTAAAGATACTCTAACTAGAATCCTAAAAGAAACTAGTAAAACCAGACCCAAAAAGCAAAAGAATATACTTCTTATCTTTTTATAAGACTTTCCTATAAGAAAAGCCGAATACTAGATAAGAAAAGAAGAACTAGACCTTAATACTCTCGAAATAGTTAAGCTACTAGACTATTTCTACTATTTTATTAGAATAGCTACTTTCTAATTAAGTACTAAAGATTCCGGTAATTTAGTTAAATTAGTTACTATTAATGAGATTAACTATATACTTAAGAAATAGGATTATAAATTAAAGAAATATTTACTATTACTTATAGTAATTAGATAATTAATACTATAGCCCGCTAGATACTATACTTAAACTAGTAACCTAATATATTTCCTGGATATAAATAAATTTAATACCCTTAGTAATATATTATTTTTTAATCCTAAAGAACTTTAAGAGCTTTGGATATTCTTTCTTATATAGCTATATAATATAGCTAGAGCATTTTTTAAGAAAGTAGTAAATAAGCTTTCCTAGTCTTAATTCTTTAATTATAAGCTCTGCTTTAATAAACTAGACTCTTTAATAAAGACGGCCTATTTTTATAAGATAAGCTCTAGTAAACTCGAAAAAATAAGAAAGTATCTTATTAAGAACCTAAAAAAGGGTTTTATTAAGCTATTCGAATTTCTTTTCTTATTACTAGTTTTATTTATTAAAAAGAAAGATAGTAGCCTATAATTTTATATTAACTATTAATAGCTAAATATTATAATAAAAAAGAATTACTATTTCCTATTACTTATTACTAAAACTCTTAACTAATTAGCCAAATTATTAGTATTTACTAAGTTAGATATTTAATATACTTTTAACCGAATTCGTATAGAACTAGCTTCTATAATATAAGTAGCTTTTAGGACGAGATATAAATTATTTAAACTAGTAGTTTTACTATTTAGATTCTATAATAGTCTAGTAATTTTCTAGTAATATATTAATATTATTCTAATAAACTATTTAGATAACTTTTACTTAGCTTATATTAATAATATACTAATCTTTTCTAAGAATAAGAAGAAATATTAATAATATATTAGAATAATTCTATAGAAGCTTTAGGATACCGGATTATAAGTTAATATTTATAAATACGAATTTAAAGTTTTTAAGATAATATTCTTAGGATTTATTATTTCGGATTAAGGTATATAGGTAGATCTTACTAAAACCTCTATTATCCAAAACTAGTATTAACCTATAATAAAAAGAAAAATATAGTTATTTTTAGGCTTTTATAACTTCTACTATAGGTTTATTTAAGCCTATAAATATATCTCTTATTCCCTAAACTATTTAACTAAAAAGAATACTTTACTAAAGTTTATATTTAATAAAACCTAGCTAAATACTTTTAATTAGCTTAAAGATTTACTTCTCTTTACTTTTATATTTCTCTATTTCAAATATAATAAAGAAACCTGCTTAGAAATCAATTATTTAGATCTAGCTACTATAAGTATACTCTCTTAAAAAAGTCCAGAGAATAAATAATAGTATCCGGTTTTATTTTATTTCAAAGCTCTTTAAGAAACCAAAAGCTATTATAAGGTTTATAATAAGGAACTTCTTACTATTATCTAAGAACTCCAGGAATAGTAGGTAGAACTAATTAGTTTATCTAATTTTCTAATTATTACTAACTATAAAGCTTTCGAGTATTTTAGTATTAAGAAACTCTTAAATAAATAATAAATCTAATAAATAGGTTTCCTATTATAATTTTATTACTAGATTATTTATTAGCTAGATAAAAATAATACTATTACTAATATCTTATTCCGAAAAAACAAGCTTATATTAATTCAGAAATAGGCTAAGGAAACTAAAAGAACTAGATAAGTTATTTTATTAGACCTAATTCTTACTTCTACTAAGATAATAGATATGATTTATATTCTTACTAAAATATAAAAAATAAATAAGCTATTTATTATAATTAAAGTTCTATAAGCTAATTAGATAGATTTAGCCCTAGAGAATAAATATAGGAAAGCCCGGAAAAATATAAATCTATAAGAAATATTAAATAACTATATACTTTATAATAAAAGACTTATTATATTAGATAAATATAATAATCTATAAACTAGGCTCCTATAATAAATCCATAATATAATAACTATATATATCCCGATTAAAATAAGATAAAAATCCTAATTCGGAAACTTTACTAGTAGCCTACTTTCTCTATAAATATTAATTGCTTTATAGTAAACTACTACGAATATTAAAAGTTTTATAAGCCAAGAAATAAAATACTAGACCTATTATACTTATTACTAGTTCTTCTAAGAATATAAAATAATTTATTTATAGACTTCTATATCCCTGGCTCTATAAATAAGAAATATAATAATATATTTATTATAGTTAATTAATTATTTAAATAATATATAAGCCTACTAATAACTAAGAATACTATAGCCAGGACTACTACTAGCCTATTCTATTACTATATCTAATAATTTCGAGAATCTTTTCTTATTATTATAAATAACTAAGGACCCTAATTTATTTTAGACTTTATAAATAAACTATTAAGATTAACTAGAACTAAGCTAAAGCTCTTAACTATAGAATATACCTAAACTAATAAATAAACAGAAATTATTAACTAGATTATTAATATTCGACTTTACTTCTTTATTAATTATTTCTAGAATAATTAGGTAGATTTATTTCCGGTATTTAATACTATAAATATTACCTATTTATATGAATTAACTAGCTTATTTCCTTTAATAATTAATTATAGATATAAACTCAGGCTAAACTTTAACTAGATATTACTAATAATAGAGTTTAAAATACTAAAAAAGAAACTTAATTAGAAAGAAATATAATAATAGGCTAAGAGAATTAATATTACTATTAATTATACCCGAGAATATATAGTAATAGCTCAGGAGTATTAAGCTAAATAAGCTAATAAGAAATAGTAAGAACTAGACTTTAGTCCAGAAAATATAGTTTATATAATTAAAAAGATATAGAAAACGAACTATTTATCTAATAAATTAGATTACTTTCTTATTAGACTATTTAAGATTAATAAAATAGTCGGCTATTTATATTAATTAGACCTTTCTCTATTATATAAGATTTGGCTAATTTTCTATATAAATAGATTTTATAAGAATTCTACTAACTTATTATCTGGCTAGACTAATAAAAAGCCTAGTTTTACTAAAGTTAATAGTAAACTCGAATAGGAAGTTAAAAAGATCCTTTCTTCTAAGGTACTTTATAGTAAGCTTTATTATAAGATTAAATAGAAAGAATAAAATATAGATAATAAATAATACTTTATATTAAATTTTAAGAACTTAGTATTTAAACTATATAAATTTTATAAGTAGAATTCTAGTAAAGCAGGACTTCTTATCTAGCTAAATAAATAGATTTAGTATACTAAAAAGAACAAATTTAATAAAAATTACTCAAATAATAATAAACCTTAATAATAAAGCCTTTATAACTAGAGGAAAAGAAAAAAAACCTAGATATTTCCCGGGTTTTATCTAAACCCTAGTATATTTTCTTTATTCTATTATATTAGTACCTATTTTCTTTTTTAGAAATCTAGATAAAATATCTTTTTTTATTATACTAGACTATACTTTATTATCTAGGTAAATTATAAAAAAAGTAAATTCTTAAAGCTAAGCTAAAGATAAATACTTACCTATATTAGTTCGAAATATTATTAAAAATTAAGAGAAATCTTCTTAATTATTTTAATCTTTATAACTTTAATTATTTATACTACTATTATTACCTTAATAGAATTATTAATAAAGGCGAAATAAACAAGAAATTCCGGTAATATATTATTTATAGCTAGACTAAATAAGGCTACTTATTAGATCCTGGATAACTTAAGTAATAGTAGTAGTATTTTAAGTTTAGTAGCTATTATTATTATTAATATAATTATTAGCTAAACTATTTTTATAGATAAAAATAATAATTTCTTTATTTAAGAATAGATTAATATATAGAATATAGCTTATATTACTTTTGAGAATATACCTGAAATTACTATAGAGAATATCTTAATAGAATATTCTAATAATAATAAAATAAAGATTTTAGTTACTAGTAATAATAAGTCTAATAATTAAATAAATAAAATAGATAGTACTAATAAGGGCTATCTAATTAATCTTATAAAGCCAAATATTAAAAAGGCAAAAAAGAATAAGGCTAGCTTATTTAAAAAGTATAAGGTATTAGATAATAGTAAGAATTCTAATAATAAAAAGACTAAAAACAGAAAGACTTCTAGTAATAAAGAAGATTCTAATTATAATAAAGGTAATTAAACTAGTATTAAGATACCTATTATAACTAGAAGATATATAGTACTAAGTAGTAGTTATTATATAAAGTACTAGTCTAAAACTAAGAGCTAGTAAATAATTCTAAAGGCCAAATTAAAAAAGTAATACCTTATAGATATTAATAAATTAGTAGATAATATTATTTAAAAAGTCGGAAAACCCCTTAGAAACTCTTATAAAACCAAAATTATATAGCTTAAGGCCCGGGAATTTAATAATAAAATAGTTTAAGTAGCTGCCCTTAATATATAAGTCTCTATTATAGAGAAATAACTTGAGAATATATATATTAAGCTCGAGAAGGCCTAGAAATTAATTAAGTAGCTTAAAAACGGTATAATTAAGCCAAATACTACTATTCTAACTAAGAAAAAAGGCAAGTAAGCTACTATATTAAAGCTTATATTAACGGATAGACTCGATCTGCTATCCCTATTTAAAGACCGCCCGATAATAATAGTCCTAATATTGGCTATGGCCTATATAGTACTCCCAGACTATATTATTAATATGGGTATAGGTATAATGCGAGCGACGGATGCTAAGGACTGGCCGGAACGTACTAGGAACTGGGTTATTCTGGCAGAGTCAAGACTATGCTTCGATTATAAGTAAGCTATAGGGATTGGACGGAATAGGGTCAATGGCTATTATTTCCTCTTTTTTCTTTTCTATGCTGCGGCTGAATAATCCCCTAAATGAGGGCATTTAGACTTCTCTTTGGGGGGGGGGTAATGTAACGGCTGGCGTAAGGGCATGATCTGCCAAGGACAGGATATCGGAAACAGGCACAAAACGAAGCTAAGCCAAGAATTGCTTGGACGGAACAATACTAAAGGTCGAGGCATCCTCCCTACTTTGTTCCATAGCTTAGTATTTTCCAATACATGAGATTCTTTGAACTTTGAGCCTTCGACCATTGCATTGATCCCGCCGTCACAGCGGTTGAGTAGTTTTGGGCGGTTGGCCAGTGAAACCTTCTATCATAAGTCTGTGTTTTTAGCGAAGTTTTCAGGCGTCGCAAAACCAAAGTTGTGACGGCGGGATCGAGGCAATGGCCAGGGCTCAAAGATCAATGAATCTCATGTATTGAAAATACTAAGCTAAAGAGAAGAAGAAGAGAGAGAGGGAAGAAGGAGGGGATAAAAGGAGGGAAGTACTAGCTAAAACCACTAAAACGCCGGCTAAAACTAGTCATGTGACAGCCACCCCCTTTTGGCCCCAGCCAGCGCCGTCACAGCACGCACCCGTTGGTGAGACCACTGGCGGCAGAGGGGCGATTGTATGGTCCAGGATCCAAAGGACCTCGCTGGGCCCAATACCCGGATTTGAGATGGTGGAGACGGCATGGGCGGTAGTTGAGGGCGGTGGAGGCGTCGATCAGTGAGCAACTGCGATCTGGAAGAAGTGAACCGACGATGGGCTATCCCCTTGGTTATAGTTTCCACACTTGAAGTAACTTAGGGGGGCATCTAAATCAAATGTGCTAAGCTGTATAGGAGCCCCTCCATCGACGAGCACAGACAGGACGTTGCTCTCATACCGGATCTCGTAGGTAAAGACTTGACCAACAGGTATCTGACCGAGGGGCGTAAAGATGGAATCTCCACCCTGTCGTGTTCTCTCGACTCCGATTGCCAGGGCACCAGAAGAGCTGTAATAGAGCTCGGCAACTGGTTTCCTATAATCATAATTATATTAGAAGAGAACTGTAGATAAAGTGGTGGTATTAACTGACGTTGAGATAGAATCGAGGATATGGATCTGGCCGATCACAGTGCCATGACCACTGTTATCTGGCAGAGGAACAGACAAGGTCACTATCAGTCTGTTGTTTTCATCATTAGGATCCCAGCTCCCTTTCTCATGGAGCTCTGTTCGACAATGCTGTGAGTTCGGAGAAGTGACACAGCCACTTGATGCCACCGAGCCCGGTACCTTCATCACAAGGGCGCCATCGCCGCTCTCCGTGAAGAAGTAATCGAAGTCTTGCCAGCCGGAGCAGCCTTGAAGTGAGTTGGAAGATATAGTTTCTACGGCGCCTGGACTGCCTATAGGGAGCTGAAGATCCCATATAGACAGATCAAAATTTCCTCCAGGAGAGCAGCCTGCGTTCAGGGCCGCTACCGAGGTAGCTAAAAGAATAGCCTTGATGACTATTTTCATAACCATATTGAATATTTCCAGAATCTAAGAAATTCTGGAATTAAAGACAAGCAGCTTAGCCTTATATTACAACGATTTCATGAGACAGAGGCTTTTAAATCCTATTTCCTTTCCCCTGATTAAATTTATCTAGTGCGCTAAGTGGGTCTAGCAAATTTTTGATTTTTTTGATTAGTTTATTAACTTAAGCTATATTATAGCAAGTCCGTTAAATTACTTTTCTGCAGGTGCAGGCCCTAATGTTTGTTACACCGCCTTGAGTTCTGCTAAGCAAAAGTCGGCTACAGCGCATTATTACAGGGCATTTCAGCGCAACCCCTGCAAAGGCGGTGTAACAAACATTAGGGCCTGCACCAGCGTAAGTAAGGAAGAGAGTATCCCTTTATCCGGTGAGATATTAGCTCGCTAGCAGCCGCACGCGAATACATAATCCCTTGTTTAGTCCGAATACAACTGTCTCCTTATATTATTCATTCGCATTTATGCGGCCGTTAGCGCTGCCAATGTCTCACCGGACGAAGGGATAGTAAGCCCCTATTATTATCTTAACGAGGAAACAATAAAGTAAGCGGCATATATATAAGCAGTGAGCGTAAGCGAGCTACTGTTTTCGGACGCTAGTACTAAGATTCTAATAGTTTAGTTAATTAGTATAGTATTTAAATGATTATGGCCCACTTATAGTCCACATTACTACCGGATTGCTGGGCATGCAGGAAATTCAGTGTGTTGTGAAGCTTGATGAATTCCTATCTAGCGAGAAGTTGCTATCTGTAAAGCTAAGCGAGAACGCCAATGCGTGATTCCCTAGCAGAATCAAGCGTCTCCTCAACTCAATAATACGTCAAGGGTTGTGTGTAGAAAGTCATTCGCGCCGTGAAGCAATGAGTAATAGTACAAGCAAGCTTGAATATAAATGTGCGTCGACCAGCCCTACCAGTCTCGTTCTTTATCCAGATATTTACCATTTCTATGGCAGCTATCATGGTGCGCTTCTCCATCACTGCATTCCTTACGGTATACGCAGTTCCTGCCTTGGGACATACTCATTTACAGCTGCGGCAGCCAATTGACTTTTTGGACAACAACCCGGCTCTTACACCTCGTGCCTCTACAGACCCCGCTTGCCCTCATGGCTACCTTTGTGGCCAGGAAAGCTGTTCGTCCGACTTTGAATGTGTTGTGACGTCAGCGTCACATGACCTGGCCCTAGCGTGGCACCCTGTATCCTAGTCTCGAGCTCCCCGCTCCTCCTCTTCTCTTCTCTCTTTAGACGTACATATACACGCAATACAGCTGATTCTGCTATCCAGAACACCAGCCACGGGTCGTGATAGAATGCCCTATTGGAACCAACTGTATTGCTTTTGGGAGTGGGGTCGGTACCGCTGCTTGTGCCCCTCTTGGTAAAAGGTTTTGTGCGCTTGAGACAAGTACCCTTTTGGCTGTCGAGTGCCCGGTTGACATGCTCTGCTGGTAAGTTTATACAAATGTTATGGTCTTGGCCCTGATTTACTAACAAGGCTTTCAACCTACAGCCATGGAAACTGTTACAATAGCAACGCGGTGTGCTGTGACAACCCGGGAACACGTTGCACTATTGGCAGCCTCTGTGGTGTGTGCAACCCGGGGCAGACTTGTGGCGATAATGGGGTTTGTCTTGGGAATAACCCAACTACAACAACCCGGATCCCCTTTCTACTGTACCAGCCACAGCAATGAACATTACAAGCAAATTGCCAATATCTTCATCTGGGATTTTTATATCCTCGACCTCCCCGTCACCTAGTATGTCCAGGTCTATATCTGTATCTTCATCTATATCTACTGTACTACGAGCCCTATTATATCTTCAGTGTTGCCACAGAGTCATCCACAAAGCTCCTCGTCGGCAACCGCACCTTCTAGTTTGACATTGACTGCAACATCTTCATCCTCTACCTCTGCGATCCCAACTCCAACGATCGTTCCGTCATTCTTTTCGTGTGAAGGCCTAGGCTGTTTATCAATGTAGATGTTACTCCAGCCCTTGTCAATGGCATGAGTTCTGACCCTGCGGGTCTCACAGTCGAGAAGTGTCTCGACGATGCACTCGACTGGAAACATGCTGGAGTTGGATCTAACGGGTAGGAAAAGCCCTATCTTGTTGTCGCTCTACATAGCTCTGTTAACCATATGATGGTAGGAAATGTTTCTTTGCGAACGAGCTTGCTAACCCATCGCAGCACGCTCCTACCAGTGACTGCAACTTGCCATGCCCGGGAGATCCCAAGGAAGTCTGTGGTGGGGTCAGCCGTGTCATGGTGTACCAAGATACAATATGGGATATTACCACGATATCTGAACTACAGGCCGCACTGTTCTCGTTTAATTCGACCATTGTAGCACTTCAGGCAGCGGTAGTAGATTTACAACGAACCGCACAGCAGAGTTCGTCTTCTACCTTGTCCGCGACAACATCGACGATTGCAAACGAACAGGGTAGGGAATAGTGTGACCTCACTCCAGTGCCACCGCGGTGTAATATAGCTATAGTCTAGTTTAGTGGAGGATATACTATAGCGCGGTGGGTGTGGTGCAACTGCGGTTATACCATGGTGCAGCCACAGTTTAAGGGGCAGTCTCGCTTAAAATCATCCAAGGATATCAAGTGACTTATAGAAAATAGAAAATAGCCAAACCTCAACATAATTAAATAATTCTTTTATTATTAAAAAGGATAAATCTAGGGTTCTTAAATGGATTGAAAATCTTAATTTTAGGTGTGGTAGTTATGGAAATATATTTAAGTGCTTAATCGGGAATTCTTGAAGCTATTTACCGCGTTTCTCGCTCTAGCACCGGGAGAGATTTTTTTTTTTCCAATTCTAGCCTCTCTCGAATTCCTCTCAATCAAAATAAGAGATATTGCGCAGCTAAGTATACGTATGACATTGATTCAAGAGCATGGTGGTTGGAAAAGACTTAGCAAACTAGCCGCATAACACTAATGGTACCTCAAATTCTGCTGCACGGATCACGCCGACTTTTACTTCCATTTTCGATCAAGACAAGATCACAACTGCACTTACCACACCAACCCTTGCTTTAAATTGTAAAGGGACTGGGTTGAAAAACCATCAGAAGAGGGATATCCAGAACCCAGCCGACTTTGCTGCACTGATTGGAAAAGTCCAGGACACAGAAACTGTCCCAGGTTCACCTTATCACCTCAACTGGCTTACCCACGGTTCCCTTAAAGTTGCACTTACTGGGACACTTACAATTCTTAAATAACCTTGCTAAGACGAACTCTAGCACAATTTAGTTTTAGAATCGATGACTCCTTTTGGTATACTACTGAGGCTGCTGCTGCCAATGTTCCTATCTATGTCCTAGATCCAGGATTCGATTTGAATCACCCGGTCAGTCTTATATCTGTGGTCGTTTGTAACGAGGCTTATTAATTCGCAAACCAGGATATAATGGATTCTAGTGCCAGAAACAACTTTGTTGGCTATATTTGTATTGACCCCGACGAAGAAACTGAGCAATGATGTTCACGAGTCGATCCCGTACTATGAAGGACACAGCCGCGCATGGCACCGGTGTTGTTGGCCTAATCGCTGGAGCAATGGGTGGTGTGAACCCAAATGTACTCATTATCCCTTTAGCTTTGGACCCCTCATTGTCCACGCTCTGTATACTCCGCGCTCTTAGGACTGGACTGTCGCTGCAACTTGGGACAGCGACCCCCTTCCAGTTCATAACCGGAATGTTCACTCCACGAAGAGCAGTCCTGAACTTTTCGGCTGGGACCCCGTTTTTGCCGGACATTGGTGTGGGTGGGGGCGCTCATGGTGCCTGGGAGGCAATGCTACCCCGATTAAACGCTTCTAATGTCACAACCGCCGGTAATGATGGTCCCCAAGCCCTCGTTACCAATAGCTCGCCACAAATTCATGGAGGGCCAAATTCGACACTTATTGTTGTAGGCGCAACCGACGCAAGTGGTCTTCCGACACTTTCAACTCAGTTTGCACCTGCTCATTTGGCGCTTGTCGATATTTACGCCATTGGCGAAAAGGTCTTAGTACCCTGGGCCGACCTTGGCGTTCCCGGTCAGAGCAACCGCTTTACCACCAGGAGTGGTACATCTTTCGCCGCCCCGATCATTACTGGTCTCCTTTCAATGCTTATCGCTAGACAAGATGTTACAGGCACAGTCAACAATGGAGTTATGGCCAAGAACGTATTAAGAAACCAAGCCATCAACTTCAAAGGCCAGGTCTGGTCCAATATCGAAGGTTATTTCATTCCACGGGCTGCGACTCCTTGGGGCCCAATAGCTTGCCCACAGCCTGCAAGGTTCTTCAACCCAATGACAAGCTTCTCGTTCCAGAATGTACCTACAAACGTGCCAGTTATTGCGACATCTGCAGTAACCTTAAATTTTGCGTCATACACTGTAGCTCGCCCAGTAAGTTATGTTTTCTCTATATTAATCCGGCCTATGATGCCATTGTAAATTACATAGCTGATTCACTACCAAAGATTACTTGTGTCTCAATCCAGTCTCAGACTCCATATAGAGTACCAACGTCTATATTTTAGTTGTAATGTTCTGGTTCCTGCCTAAATTTTTCGGCAAATATCTCAAATGCCATAAAAAAGTCGATTTATTTCTCAAATGCCATCCTTTTTTCGACATAAATATCTCACTATGCCATACTTTCAAACCATTCTACTATTAGACCTAACAACTTTTCCCTGAGCTACCTCCTCATTTACCCTATCCACAGCTTCTATTTCCTCAGCATCCGAATCATTCAAACCCGATAATTCTGAGGATATATAACTCTTATTCTCAGACTCTGTCCAAATCCCCAAGTTCAACTATAACTTTTCCCTAGTTATTCTCTTTCTCTCGGTCTACGCCCACTTGATACTGGTTGATCTCAATGACTCCCCTTATTATGACCCTAATCCAAAAAAGTAGAGCATCTAGTCCGTTGAATTCAAGGAGTAATTTATAGCAAATGCTCAATTTTACATTATATTACCCGGCCTAATTTTGGCACGATTTCACGCGGCAATATTATCACGACCCGGAGCGGAAGACCTGAAGGCAAACAGCTCTGTTGGGTGTGTATGTAAACGTCTAAAGAGAGAAGAGAGCGGGGAGCTCGAGCTAAGTACAGGGTGCCACGCTAGGGCCAGGTCATGTGACGCTGACGTCACAACAAATATGGGTTCTCACTCTATTAATTAGTCAAGCAATTAGTCTTACTATTATTATATTATCTAAGCCGCAAGTCACGTGTGGGTGCTATTAATAGCAGAATTGACAGTTCTTCAAGACAAGCTCAAAAGCGATATAATGTTCGTTCACCACCAAAACCACCCCCAATTTCCTAATTAGGGATTCTACCTGGGCTATAGCTAAGTTACACACTTCAGGCCTGGCTAAAATCGCGAAATCAAAAAATCAGAAATCAGAAAATCAAATCTCGCTTCCGCGTTTTGTCCGCTAGCCAGGTCTGGGCCACTGTACTGTACAGTACATGTGACCATTGGTAGAACTCAACCACCGAGCTCACAAAAAATAATGCTATGGACGTGTCGGTCAAAGGCAAATTTACATTTTGATCTTGCGTTCTCTCTACGGCCTCGTTTCCACGAAATCGCGGCTCATGCCCATCCGTACAGCAACCTAAATTAGCTCTTCTACCGATAACCGTTGCGAGACGCTGGCCTTGGCGATCATCGCCTCTTCCATGCCAGCTTCAACCACAAGACTAAAACAACATAGTCTCTGCTCTACGATTGTTTCTTCAGCGAGTCTGATATATATAGTGTCACTCGTACGCTCGACCTCGAACCCTCATCTGCAGTGCAGAGCGACCACAGGGCTGAAGTGTGCCTTCCGAGCATCCTTGTTTCTGGCGTGTGAGCCTGAGCCTTCTGGGCACCTAACAAACCAATTGGCGGTTTATGGTTTTTGAATATCAAGATCGTCGTGTTGTGGCTATGCTCAAATCTCTGGCTCCTCGCAATCTGGTGTAGTGCTCTAGATATTCATGTTGCAGGAAACCCTTGTTCAAACCCCTCCTCGTTTGGGTTGAAATCGAAGTGGAGTTCCACAAATCGAATGATCTATCGTATGGACTGAGCTACTATGGATCCTATCAGTGCCGCTGGTATTGCGCTGAGCGTAGCCTCGTTAGCTGGTCAAGTGTTCACAGGATGCATCCAAGGTTAGGATCCTCGACCAAAGGCTCCGCAGCATTGACACTAAATATAGGCATTCAATTCATCATCACCGCCAAAAATCTCCCAGAGGAATCCAAATATCTAAACCTGAGATTGCGGATGGAACAGCAACGACTCTTTGCCTGGAGTGAAACGTCAGGTCTCCTTGATCTTCAAAACGACAACGACCGAAAAGTCCGAGAATCAAATACCTTTGTGATCCACCGAACCACCATCTTGGATCTTCTCGTTCAGATCCAATGTCTATTCCAAGAATTTGAGAAGGCACAGAAGAAGAATTCACATCTAATAGTCGTTCCCGAGCCCGGTGGCTCAGACGATGATTTCGTACATGACCCAGCGAAAGATTCTTCCACCGCCCACGTACCTTTGCCGGAAAGACGAAGGCACTTTATAATCAAGGCCATGAGCGCTCTCAAGTCTACGACAGAGGACAATCTTAGTGAAGGGAAGCGAAGGCTCAGATGGGCAGCCTTTGACAAAGACGCATTTGAGGAACTTCTCCGGCGCTTTTCGGCGTTGAACGACAACATGACGGATATTCTGGATGCCCGGTTACAGACTGAGATTCATCGTACAACCCAAGACACGAACCGAGGTGTTCTACAACTCCACAAAGATCTCTCATCCCTCCACCGGCTCGTCATGGCTTTAGATATCAAGATGCAAGCGCATGCATACCCCGTTCCTGCAATTCCTGAGTATGCTCCAGCGAATGATGCTTCCGGTCTTCGTCTCCTCGCTCAGCTAGCTAAATTCAAGGCGTTCAACGAGTCCCTTGAGAATGAAGGATCTCCTTGGGACGATGCAACGGCATTGGTTCTAAGTCTTGGCCATCCAGATGCAGAGAAAGCCAACACCAGAATCAATCGATCCGATATTATGCTGGAACCAGTAAAGTCTGGCAGCGATTCAAGTGCAATTCGTTCCGAAGCAATATATAGGCAGAACGGGACTCAACGTGTATGGATTGAGTGGAAAGACTACGATTATCAGCTGCCAGGATCTCCATCACCGCCACCTCTCATCGTAGATCGTGTTCAGAGACTTGCTTCCTTGCTTCACCACAAACCAAAACCAGAAGCTTTCAGAGTGCCACATTGTTTGGGGTATTTTGACAATGCGAGGCGACACAACAATTTGGGTATCGACACCGAGGGTGACGATGACGGTGTAGATACTCGGATTGGCTTCGTTTTCGAGAAGCCAAAGGACCAAGATATCTCTCCGGAAACACCACCGATATCTCTTTTTGAGCTCATCAACTCCTCGGCAAAGCCACGAGTCACAGAAAGGATTCACGTTGCTCACGCAATAGCGAATTGTCTTTTGTATCTCCACAGCGTTAACTGGTTGCACAAGGGTTTAAGATCTCACAATATAGTCTTCTTCCCCGTCACCACAAAGTACAAGGACGGAGTAAGGACTAAAATAGATTACAGCAAGCCCTACCTCTCCGGGTTTGACTTCGCTCGACCAGCAAGGGCAGATGAGCAAACTGAGATCCCCGGCGACCATGGAGCCTACAATTTATATCGGCATCCGCATACTCAAGGGCATGGCTTCGGACCGCGGGAATCTTTCCGGAAATCCTTTGATATCTATAGCTTAGGGGTGGTGATGGTTGAGCTCGCACACTGGGCAACTATTGACAAAGTTCTGGAGTTGCAGATGGAAGGCAGGATGCGTGTAATGAACCGGGTTAGAGAGATGCTGTTGGGTGAAGACAGGTTACATGAAGTTGGTGCTAACATGGGGGAGCTATACGAGGCTGCCACCAAGAAGTGCATCGCAGGCGGCATGGAGTTGGGTATTAGAGAGGTGGAGGATGAAAGGAGCGATGCATCAGCCTCCAGAATGTCTATGGTCTTCTATGAGGACGTGGTAAAGAAGCTGGGGGATGTGAGGGTCTAAATGACTAGATTCCAGGGGTGCTCTTCGGAAAGCAAGCTGTCCATCTTATTGCTTTTGCTCTCACTTGTTACAGGTTGAGCAAGGAACCCCTTTTTGGTGTTCCCCCGGATACTCCGCCTCACACAAAGTCGCACTGGAGGAGAGGAGACGCCCACGTAATCGTCAGCACAATCAGCGCAGTCCTGATCACTCCCACGCTCAACCAACGCAGCTCTGCGACTTACAGGGCCGCTTGACCACACCTCACTTGACAAGACAAGAGACGTCATCACTGCATCATTGCATTTGGGGGGATTTGAGCAAGAGCACCTTGGAAAGGAGAACAAACCCAAGCTCATACTTCGTATTGCAGGTCGCACCATCATATCAACGAGAATTAATTGAGTCCTGTGTGACCGGAATGTAGCTTACTACTCACCAACCTCGCCGACTCGCCTAGAGTTGCTGCACAGCTCACTCGTTATTCGACCCTACAAGAGCAAGGGTTTGTCTTCCTGCCGCACACTCCTCAACCCATCCTGCATATTCGCGAGGCCTCCTCTGTCTTGGTCGGCGAACACCTCTCATTCTGCCGCGGACAATGGAGCCTGCCACTGCCACCGCTGCTGTGGCAGATGTTCCTGTTCCTGTCCATGCCCATGTTCACGTTCCTGCTCCTCTCGAGAGCCCCACTACCGCCAATTCCTCGACTTCCCCGAGCTCGGAAGGCGATCCGCAAAACGAGCGTCAGCCCTCGCTAGCATCCACCTCGACGCGCCCCGACCAGAGCAAAGAACGCATCACAGTGCCTTCCGCGTGCGTCCAGTGTCGATCTAAGCATCTCAAATGCGATGGCTTGAACCCTTGCACGCGCTGTTCGTCGAATAGCTTCGAGTGTATATACGTGAGGAGTCGCCGAGGCTTCAAGGGCCCCCGCCGCAATGGAACAAATGGAACCCCAAACAAGGCCAATGCTGTGTCTGGACCTGTTGATAGAAGCTGTCCCATGGTAAACCCTGGTGCAGCAAGAGGCGCCTCCAATGTTCCCAGCGGCCTGGCCACTCCCCCCGATCACAGACTGCAGACTTTACCCCATGGGGTCGATCTCCCGCTTTTTGACATTGGACAAGAGCTGGTTTCGTTCGAGCCCAAGCCCTTGCCCTCCGGATTGGACCTTCGAGAAAGATGTATCGAAGCTTTCTTCTACCACTTCTATCCCGCACACCCCTTCATCTTACCACGAGATGCCTTCTTGAAGCTCCGGAAGGAGAAGCCACTGGACGCTTTGGAGGCGGCAATGCGATATGTAGGCTCGTTCTACGTCCCACAGGCCCCGATTGTAGCGTTAGAGCACGAGGCAGAACGCACTGTCTATAATGCAGACTGCCCCAGGGATGGTTTCCGAGTTCAGGCCATGCTGATCCTCACAATTGGTCTTGATGGATATAGATATCAAGAGAAAGCCCTTCAGATACTTGTCGATGCCCAGGAGCTGGCCCTTGAGTTTGGTATGAATAAGCGTGAGTTTGCTTTTATCAACGGGAACGGCTCGGAGCTTCTGGAAGAGAGCTGGCGCCGAACCTGGTGGGAAATGTATATTGTGGATGGTATGATCGCTGGGGTCCATCAAAAGAGCACATTCCCAATGAAGGATATGCCTGCTGATGTTGGTCTGCCCTGTGAGGAAAGGGACTATGTATCTGGGGTGAGCCGTGAAGCCTGTGTTCTCAAACCTAGAATGCTGACATTTACCGCAGGTCATACCCTCGCCCCACTCCCTGGCGGATTTCGATGAAGAATCGTTTGATGGAAGGGATTTTAGTTATTCCTCTTTCACTTACCGTATTGCCGCAATTCGGAATCTTGGAAGAGTCCTCCAATCACGTCAGATCATGCTTCCGGACAAGCCTACCATTGATAGGATTGACGCGTACCTTGTCAATTGGAGACTTCATTTGCCAGAGTCGAAGAAGGATTTCATCAACACTGAAGGCCAACTCGATGAAATGTTGTTCCAAGCTCACATGATCACAGAAGCGTAAGTTATTCCATTTCTCGTGGAGGCGATATTGATCAAGATCTAGAACCACTATCCTCCTTCATCGTGAACACTCCGAACTTGACTCGAGTGTTGCCAGGAACGTCGACTCCTGCGCTCCACATAAACCAATCATCCCAGGTCAATCTTACAACATCCACGCAGCAAAGACCATCCAGGCGGCACAAGATGTGTCAAAGCTCATTCAACTCCCAGTCCCCCTGGTCAAACACACCCATTTCTTCACATGTGTGGTTACCCTTGCATCTATTGTGCATCTGTCTTGTTGGTCTGTTATGATGCCACTTGTCCACGACGATGATCTTAAGCAACAGCTGCGTTTGAATACAGGAGCCTTGAAGACGCTCTGGCAAGTCTGGCCGTCGGCAGGAATGGCGTTTGGGCAAGTCAAAGGCGTTGCTCAAGAGATATATGCAGCCAAGAAACAGGCAGCTGAGGTTGGATTTTGGGCTAATCTCACGGAGGATGAGGTAATGCGAAGTATGATTGAGGATCAGACTATCATGGAGGAATTGGAACTGTTTGATGATGTCGTTGGACCAAGGTTGGGATCGGCATAGTGGTTTATGGTTCATGGTTTGCGGTTCATTCATGTATATCTAGTAGGGGCATAGGTTTTATGGGACCGGGTTTGAAGTAAAATAATGAATTGATGATCATTGGAGCATCTTCAGATAATCAGAAGCATTACTGTGCATAAAAGTGAGCCGTAAGTGGAGGTGATGCATGCGAAGGACCTGTAGTCACGTGGTCAGCATATGGTGGGGTCAAAAATGCGCGAAATCAACGCGGCCGGAAATCTTGACGCGTCCATTGCACATCAATCCCTCTATCAAACAATAATCTGCGGTACCCAGACGGTACCCAGAAACTCCAATTAAAGTACAGCATACCCTCTCACGAATCTACACCTGCTCTGCGACACCATCCTCGAGATGGAGCCATCGGAATCCACAACCACGCTTCCCAGCACGACAAACGAAGACCTCACACCCCTCGAGCAAGATGTCTTGGACGAATATGAGCGCTTGGCAGAGAATATGAAGAAGGTGAATACTGCTGCTCGTGTATTTCACGCTTCAATTAGAGAGGAAGTACTAAATCTGTGGCAGCTTGCAAGCCTCCTCGATACAATGGCGGGCAAGCCAACGGCAGAGATCTTGGATGGGCTGCGGCAACTGGAGCGCAAGACTAGCTTGGTGTTTACGTTATTGAAAGCGAGTGTGTATAGTATTGTGTTGCAGCAAGAGATATACTCGGGGGATCAAGTTGGTGGGTCGGAAGATGGTGGGAGGTGAAGTTGAGGAACACGGGCGTTTTGGGACAAGGCAAAGGGCTGCCGCAGAGTGGGAACAATGAGTATGGACATATGATGGGAGCATTGGGGAAAACAAGGGATGCATGGCGTTTTAGAGGTTCGTTGATACCCAGGGATAGGAAGATAGGGGTGGACAATTGCAAGACACCGTGCCTTGACTCTGCTTCATGCTATTCTACGCCTTTCTATGCAAGTCCCGTACTCATACATACATGATATCTACATTTATACACGGCCTGCATAATACACTTTCCGTACATCTACAAGTTTCTTCCCCCTCCCCCGTGCTATCTCGTCCGGTATCCTTTGCTTGAGCAGCGCTTGATATGTAGCTTTCACGGTATTCATCTTGTTTCGAGATCGCGGTACTTTTGCGGCGAGATCATGGATTCCTGCCGCTCTAGCCATTTCAAAGATGAGATGTTGACAGCGTAGACCAAACCCTATGTAATATTAGCAAAAATTCAAGCACGAGTTTAGGTTCAAACATGCCTGGTGGTCTGCACATAAGCTTTACTTCTGCGGCAGATACTTTTCCTTCAACTTCTCCAAATATTGTTCGTTCTTCATATCGAGGAATAGGTTGCATGCTACGGATAGCAGCGATTTTGGCGTTGCTTGAGGTCTCCTCGGTCTCCTGTCCTTTCGCCTCTCCGATACCGAGTCTGCCATTTCCATTCCCAGCCACAGCAAGACAGTAAACACTCGCAATCTTCCCCAATCGCGTTTGATTGACAACCCGATGCTGGACCAATATTTTGACCTTGTATTCCAGGATCTGATCCAATGTCAGACCAGTCTGCTTGATCAATCGATTGTAAACCCCCTCGGGATCTCGTGGATCCGCATCGTCCTCGTCATCCTCTTTCTTGACTTGAGCCTTGGGTTGTTCATCGTTCAAGAACGTTCTAGGTAGGCCAGGAGCAAGCATGGAAGGAGTGTGCGCTCTCGGTATTGGGCCATTTGTGCCCATGTAATGGGGTACCCTGTCGTCTGCTTTCATCCACGCAATCCGATCGGAACCTGTCAGCCTTTCTTTTCGATCTTCGGCCTCCTCTTCTGTCTTCGGTGGAGGCATTTCCGCTTCGCGCACTGCCTGGTCATACTCCTTCTGCCAAGCGTCGCTGAACTCTTTGTCGGTCATGCGTCTGGCATTTGGATCAATTGGTCCCTCGTAAAGCTGGTCCCTATCCACCACAGGTCGTAGTTTACTCAGATCATCAAAGTACGGGAGCCCACCAATATCTGTGCGAATCACACCGCGCCTTTCGAGATCTTCGACATCGATTGCAGCCTCTCCAGCCAGGATCGCCTTGATCTGCCCAGGTGTATACCTCTTCTCCAGAGCTTCCAACTCCTCACTGGTATATTCCTTGAAGTTTTTGTCCTCCGGATCAGGAATCTCCATCTCAGAGCTTTCTTGATCAATGAGGTCCATCTTAGAAGCTTTCGCGCCAGGGAATTGAGGCCGTCGCTGTTCGTAGAGGTTAAGGGATGTGTGGAAGTTTCGACATCGCACTCGTGGTCGCGAACAGCGTATCGAGGAGCCGGAGAAGAGACATCTTACAGGCCGGAAGACGCTCATCACTGTCGTGGTATTTGCAGTCCTCCAAGAAGCTTCCAATGGCTCAATGCTGCTGGGTGTCTTCTCGCGTGAGGAGTACAACTTTCTTTTGAGGCTCGTCTCCCATGGTCACGTGAACCCAGAATTCATTTCAACGACAATTGATTTGTGATCCTGCTTCTTTTCATTTACCCACAACGAACGACGATATTTTGCATGTCGACTACGGCGGAATTTGTCGATCGTGTAATTTTGGGTGTTCTCTCAAAAGGTATTTGAAGTTGCATTCGTGTTCAAGGGCCTGCCTGAGGACAAGGATTCATTCTTTCATCTCAAATCTCATCACCCAATATATGATGGTCATTTGGTCAACCCATGGCTACGTCGAAGTTCCTTTCCTCCATTGTTTTAGTTTGTGTTCTATGTATTACGCTCATTCAATTCCCATTCTTTCAAAAAAATCAGACTTTGGTAGGGAAGAGATCTGGTCCTAGTAGCCGGCCCTGTTCAACGATGCTAGTTAGCCAACCTATCCTAAGCCATCAAAGACCGTTTGCTACGGTTTCATTACTGTTCTGTCCAAAGCCAATGACAGCAATATGCAATTTGAGATGCAAATTCAAATTATTTCATCAAAAATCGGTTTCGGGGAAGTCTCCTTCGATCATGAAGTTTTCAGTGAATAGTTCAGCTTCGTGCTTTAAAACTGTAGTTATTGGACCCATACAGCGGGTATGATGCAATTGTACGCAAAAGCGATGGTACCCTCAGCATTTTTCTCAGTAGCTACGCAATGTTTCCTTGCATTCCAGTATTTTGCCAGTGCTAATACCCCAAACCGTTACTACTCAAGCCTAAAGGAAGTCTTCAGCGGGACCCAAAGACGGCTCGTAACCTCGTTCAGCCTCTAGCTCAAGAGCCTAGAATTAGATTCTCAGCACGCCCTACCACTCAACATATTCTCCAATGTGTCAAATTTCTATGCTTTCTGTTTCTCTACAAACAGTTCGGGTACTTTCCGCACCATTACTTCATACTTGCTGCGAATTCTCGTAATTCTGCCTCCATATTAAAGGTCCGAATAACGCAGCCCGAAAACCCTACGAGGATTGTCCCTACGAAGATTGCCTCGGGCCTACAGAACTGGCGGCTCTGCGGTCCTCTTTCTTTGGGGATTCTCTGCCACAACCTACCCGACCGCCATAAGTCAATAAAAGACATCCTTTGCAATTCAACACGGCGCCATAGGTAGCCATTACTCAATAAGTCTGAGATGCTATCTTGGATTTGGTCGTCATGCCGATATTTTATGAACGGCTCTCCATGCTCAATCAGGAGTAAGCTCACAAAAGCGTCCCCTAAGTGTACAATGACTCAATATTTCAGGAAGGCCACCGCCAAGAAACAAGCCTAGCAACAATGAGCTCGATATCAAGACTTTCTCCTTCACCCCAGTCGACGAAGCGATCTGCCAACTAAATTCCCATCGTTATGGGCTCACAGCAGAGGTCTCGGCTTCACGATTAGTGGAATATGGCGAAAATATCCTGTCCACCAAGAAACCTCCGACCCGGCTAATGATCGCAGTTAGGTCTTTTTGTGCCTGGTTCAACATCTTGTTGCTCATTGTTGCAATTATGTCTGCGATCAGTCAACCTCCCGACTGGAGCTCGTTCACGATTGTCATGATCACAATAGTGCTTGCATCGTGCATACAATTCTTCCAGGACTGTGCTGGAACTGCTGCTGCAATAAAGCTCCAAGCTGCTATCCTAACAACTGTCTGTGTCAGGAGATTTGAGTCTGCTGAGAGCCACAATAATGTAATGATTGATCAGAAGCATTTGGTGCCAGGGGATATCTTATGTGTTGACCCAGGGGATACAATTCCAGCAGATTGCATTGTTATCGAGGCAGATGATCTCTCAATCAGTCAGTCTAGGTAAGAAACCGTGCCTCGCCCATAAAATCGACTCTGACTGATTCATTAGTCTTACGGGCGAGAGCGAACCTCAGCGGAAAACTTCTTCTTACCAAATGGGGGAGTATGGCACTGAAGCACTCGAACTAGAAAATGTTCTATATATGGGAACAAATGTGATTTCAGGGCACGGGGTTGCTCTGGTTGTCAAGACAGGGGATGGTACGAAACCCTGTAGTTCTTAAGGTTACCTAAATTCTTACTCTGTACAGATACCTATATTGCTAGAATCATGAAGCAGCTGAACCAGAGGCAACTTTTGACGGTGTTTCAACGAGGAATTCGACTTGTGACATGGATGATGCTTGGATTTATGGTCATCATGGTGCTTGTTGTAAGTTTTCGCTTAATTGCCATGAAGCAAAGTGCGTAGCTTATCGTGAGTACAGGTCATCCCCATAAAAGGGCTAAGCACCGGTAAATGGCTTGTTTCATTGATGTTCGCCTCAAGCATTGCAGCTGGGCTCGTGCCTGAGATGTTGCCCGTGATTGTCAATGCCAATCAAGCAAGAGGAGCATATGCGTTATTTAAGCGAGGAGCAATAGTTCAACGTCCGGATTCAGTCCAAAGCCTAGGTGCTTTGAGCATTTTATGCAGTGATAAGGTTAAAAAAAGGGGCGGTTATCATCATACAATGCTTACTGGTTACAGACTGGAACCTTAACTAACGATGAAGTCACCCTGAGCCATTGCATTGATCCGCTGGGCAACGACAGCTCGTCGGTTTTGCTTTTAGCACAGACCAATGCTATGAGTCAAAGTGGCAAGAAGAACGCAATCGATGCCGCAACCCTGACGCACGCTGCCGAGACCGAAAAGATGGAAGGATTAGGGACCAAGATTGCCGAGATCCCTTTCACATTTGAAGCACGGAAAGCGAGTTGCGTCACACGAACAAATTCTGGCAGAATGATTCTGACCTGCAAAGGAGCTTTCGAAGAAGTGTTGTCAGTTTGCTCCTCTATTCGAATAGCGGGAGACGTTCTCCAAATTAATGAGAAACGCCTCGATCTCGTGAGAAGAGTTCGGAGATTCAACGCAGATGGCTACCGAGTGATTCTCGTGGCGACAAGAGATATTTCTAAGTGTTATCGAGATGACGGTGCTTTCAATTTCCAAGGTCTCGACACCGATTTGACAGTCGAAGGGCTTCTGACTTTTCTGGATCCGCTTAAGGATGATGCAAAATCTTCGGTGGCTCGATTGCAAGAACTTGGAGTTGATACTCGAATTCTTACTGTACGTGTTAGGAAAGAATCCTTTCTTGTTTCTGGCCGTCTCCCACTTTCCCCCAATACAATTGTACCAGTGGCCGCGAAACAACATCTACTGAGCAATTGCTGACTCGTCCATTGCTTAGGGCGATAATCTGGGTGTTGCTTTGAAAATCTGCCGTGATCTTAATCTTGTCCAGCAAACGGATGAGGTCTCCGAAGCCATTACAGGCGCCGAGTTGGCAAAACTGGAAGACACGGACGATTTTCACAAAACGATCAAACACTGCAAAGTTTTTGCCAAACTGACACCTATCCAGAAAGGGCAGGTCATTGATAGCTTGAAGCTTCAAGGAGAAGTTGTGGGGATGCTCGGAGATGGCATTAACGATGCTATTGCCCTAAGAAAGGCGGATGCTGGCATATCTGTTCACACAGCCACCAACGTTGCCGAAGATTCTGCCGACATTCTGCTGATGGACAAGAACCTTTCCATAATCATCTATTGCGTTGTTATAGGACGTACCACTCAAGGCAATACGTGAGTCTTTCGTGCTTGGTGCTATAGTGGGTTACTAACAGCCCATAGGATCAAATATCTGAAGATGGCGCTCGCATCTAGTTTTGGCAATACCGTCAGCATTTTGGCTTCTACTGCATGGCTCCCATTTAGTGCAATGAGTGCAACCCAGCTGCTGGTCCAAAACCTTTTGTTCGACACATCGCTGTCCACTCTTCCTTGGGACACGGTAGATGAAGAATACCTCGCTGTGCCTCAACCATGGCGGATTTGGGATATACTCAGATACGAAGATCATGGCATAAAGTATCGGGAATACAGGGCATTATTTTATGAAGGCCACTAAATGCCCTGTAAGGTCTTACTTTAATCTCCCTGTAGCTAGTCCTAGTTCCCTGTAAGCCCTGTAAGGGTCCCCTGAAATGTGGCTTACCTCGCTAAACCTCCGATTTCGATTATTTTTTGATCAGTTCGATTCTATCTTATAAAAATAACTATCTAATATATAATCACTTTCTCTTGGCCCTTGTTCCTACCTTCTTTATACTTATTCCCCCCTTATCTCCTTTACATAATCAGGAATTGCTGCAATCCACTCTTGAATCTTGCTCTGGGGAAGGTCTTCCCAGCATTTCTCCCACCTCACTCTCAGCTTCTTTCTATTACTAGTAGGTCCCCGCTTGGTAGTCTCCTTTTTCATCCAAAACCAGGCTTTCTCAATTGCATTGAGATCAGGTGAGTTTCCTGGCCAAAGTATCTTTATAATCTTCATTAGAATTCAGAACAAAGTGTGTATAGAGAGGTGTGCATTAGGGTTAATTATCCCCCCTTTACTCGCTACTAATTAGTGGACTCGCCTATATTTATGGGCGTTTGGGGGCGTTCAGTACCTGTCAAGCTGCATAAGCCCATATTAAGCCTTCAGGGCACTTTTAGTAAGCTTATAGGGGCTTACAGGGAACTAGGACTAGCTACAGGGAGATTAAAGTAAGACCTTACAGGGCATTTAGTGGCCTTCATAAAATAATGCCCTGTATTCCCGATACTTTATGCCGTGATCTTCGTACATCGTCCTCATTGGTCCCGTAACAAGTACAATTGATTTCGCTACATTCTTTCTAAACTGGTTCTACTATGGCCTTCGGTCTGGGACGGACATTGGGGCTATCAAGGCTTTCCAATCCAACTGGTTTCTGCAGGGGATTTTGAGCCAAACCCTCATGGTCCACATCCTTCGCACCGGCAAACTCCCATTCGTTCGCAGCCATTCCGCCAGATCGGTCTATATCAGCACATTCCTGGTCTCTGCTGTGGGAATCTTGATAGTCTATATCCCCCCTATTGCGAACACTTTGCAGATGGTCGGACCCAAGGGAATGTTCGACTTAATTCTCCTTGGTTTGTTAGTTTCGTTTTCGGTGATCCTTGAATTGTGTAAGATGCTTTACATCGAACTGTTCAAGAGGTGGCTATAGAGGCGTTTCCAAACAGAGCGGTAAGGTGGTAACAATGAGGTTTGGCTTCAAATGTTTTGTTCAAAAAGATATGCTAGTAAATATTTCCTTTCGAGTCTTATAGGTCCAGAATAAATAGATTAATCCTCCCTAATGCAGCGCCTTGCATATATTGTTTTCATCTCGCGACGTGTTAATTGGACAACGGGTTCGCCGAACTGCTCACCGAGTAGCAAATCGGCACCACTGCATGCAGACCTGTTCAGCCCTACGATTTGAGAACAAGATCGGGACGGCACATCTCCACAACCTCGCTCGCACATCCTCATCACAAGGTTATCTTCTTTAGATCAATATCACAACCTGCAAACATCACATCTGAATGACTTAAAGGTTACGAGGTTAGCAGTCGATTAAAATGACCATATTTGAGAACGAACTGTTAACAAAGCTACAAGGAATACATCTGCAGCATCCCGCTTCAATAGATTGCCTCCACGACGACGACGACAATCATGAATGATGCAAACCCGCCCCCATGGGACAGACAAGATCCCGCCCGGGGAGCGCAACGAGGGGCGCCACTGTCCATTACGACCTCAAGACCCCAAATCGATGGGAGTCGTGCTGGCCAATACCAGGCAGACCAGAATTTTGCACAGCCACGCTCCTCGGGCCCTTACCGAACAACTAGTGACCCGTTTCCACCACCATCCCCTGCACAACGAGGCGCCGCTACGAGAGCCTCGTCAGGGGATGTGCCAAAGTCGGCTGGCTATACTGATAGCAGTTTGCGGTTTCTGAAGGGTGGTAAGGGTGATAAGGGTGATAAGAGTCCGTCGTCGAGTAGGAGTGACAAAGGGGACAAGGCAAGAAGGAGGCACTCTTCTAATAACTATACGGAGTGTGGGAGACATGGGGATGATTGGTTGTTTGGAGGGTTCTCTGTCTCCGACTCGGTGAAGAAGTTGTGGGAAAGGGACAAGAAGTCTTGAAAAGGTGAACATGGTATCGGGGAAGGGTCGTGGTCATAAGTGGTATTTTGGTGCGAATTTTCTCTGACAAATTGTGGTAATCTCATTCTGCAGGGAGCGGGAAAGTTCTTGATAGAGAGAAAGTGGTACAAATTGCATAAGTTATCTCAGGTGTGAAGGATGTTGAAGGTCGAGTTTGTTTTATATCACGAATCAGATTGTCCCTGGTGGAGATCGGTACATAATAATTCACGGCAGAAAGAAGATCACAATAATCAAGTTACTCGAGTTACTCATTCAACCATCAACCACATCATGGAAGTGAGGGTTGAGAAGCTTTTGGACCATGAACCAGCCAATCAGCCGACAAGACATTGCTTCAATACGTTGTCAAGGCCGTCACTTCCTAAGCAAGTCTATTCCACCGAGGATCATCTAATCAAGAAAGACGCATATGCTGTAAGATTTCCTGGCAAGGGGGAGAGGGGGGTTGCTGTGCCAAGACATCGGTTGCACAAGTGGCTCCCCTTTCCTTCATTTTTCGCAGCCTAGGAAATTAGATTGGGCAGTCAGGACCCACAACGCAGACTTCGAAGCTCACCAGGTGGTATTATTCTTGCTTTTCAAGTTTTGATAAACAGCAAGATGACCCAGGCACAACGGGAACAACACAAATGCACCAGATTGAGACCTTACTCTCTGAACCCTCGAATGCATACTTATTGAGCTTAGAAACTTTCGCTAACTTGAACATCTGTGTGCAGTAGCTTTGCACCAATATTTCCAAAGATAAATATAGAGGCAAGACAACCTATCTCCGCTGGAGTTGTCTCACTTCTTTAGTTCCACTTGAGCCTGCATTTCCACATCACTTTCCACGGCTTCTCCAGTCTCGCTCCCGCTCATATCTGGAGATGGTGGCTTCTCCTCAGGTCGTGTCAAACCCTTGTCCTTAATTAAAAAGCTCAACGCCAAACAGGACCCCATGAGTGGTACCCACATATAGAAGACACCTTTCGAAGCGCTCATGTATGCATCCAATACCTCACTCTGCTGAACTGTAGATAAGGTTGGTAAATCTGGTACTCGTAGAATTGATGCGAGGATGGAGCTTTGGATGCCTGCAGGCAGCGGTACCGACAACGAGTCCAGTGATTTGCTCAAGACATTTGAGAAGACAGCTGATGACAAGGCTAGCCCTAGGGAGCCACCCAAGGCCCTGAGAAAATTCCGAGCACTGATGACCACAGCTCGATCGCGCTTCAAGGAATGTGCCTGGGCAGCTACAAGAGTAGGCTGGAACACAAAGCCAACCCCAGCGCCCTCAATGGTCAGGAAGACAACAATTTTCCACTTCGGCGTGCTCCTATCAAACAGTAGGACCAGACCACAACCAAGGGTCCATAAGACATATCCACTCCAGATGATCTCGCCATACCTCTTCGTTCGTGAAACGTATTGACCAGAGAGAATGGAGAAGACCGACTGCCCGGCAACGAAAGGAATCGTCAATACTGCCGAGAGCAGTGGCGAGAATTGCCTGGCATTCTCGTAGTAAATAGGCAGGTAGTAGAGATGTGAGTAATAAACGATGCCGAAGAGTAGGTTTTGTACTAGTATTGCGCAGACCGCTGGGATTTTGAATAGATGCAATGGCAACATAGGCATCACTGCAATTTTCCACTCCACGATGACAAAGAGGACCATGCAAATTCCGCCCAGTGTGAGCATGGAGATGACCATCGGGCTATCCCATTCGAAGTAGGTACCTCCACCAGAAATTGGAATGAGAAGGAGCATGACAGCCGAAGAGCTCAGAACCACTCCATAATAGTCGATAACCTTGAGCTTGGTTTTCATGTCTCCATGGACCTTACTCGGAGGAAGAGTGAATGCGACCAAGACTCCAGCAAGGACCGCTAGAGGGCAGATACACCAGAAGAGAGCACGCCATGTTGCTGTCTGGATAAACGCAGCAGCCAAAAATGGTCCAATTGTGTTCCCAAGGCCGACACAGCTACCCAGAATACCCTGATATCTGAAAATGGTGAGCATGTTCCGAAACGTCAGACTTCTCGTACGTACTTTCCACGATTTTCAAGTGTTACTATGTCCGATACAATCATCATCGCGAGGGCTGTAATCCCTCCATTTCCAACACCTGATATGCCTCTGAAGACATACAGTTGAGGTCCCGTTTTTGCAAATGAGCATAATAAATCGCCAAGAGCCAGTAATCCAACGGATGAGAGAAACACAACCTTTCGGCCTAGTATGTCGGACAGACGTCCATACAAAACTTGGAAGACTGTATTTGCGATCAAGCTCGATGTTCCCGCCCATGAAATAGTTGTTGCCGCATGCAAATCTGCTCCGATAGTGGGTAAGGCTATCCCAATTGAATTTTGATCAATGAATGATACAAGTAGACCAAAAGAAAGACTACAGAAGACAACTATAAGCTGCGCCTTCGGGAGGATGTTGGTATCGATCCGAACCAAATCATTGCCCGACATTTCAAGTGCATTGTTCAAAATAGAATGTGTTCAGTACAGTACACATAAGCTGGGATTGAGAATACTAAAGTCTGGAAGCATTTCACTTCTTCTCATTTCCAGCACAAGTCCGAAGGAAAAGGAAGAAAAGTCTTCTATGCCGAGAGAAAACTTTAACAGGGAAGAGAACGGCTAAGTCGGCCCATCATAGATCGCTGGCTCTTGGATCCACAATTTTGACAGCAACTGACAGCGAATCTGCTTGATAAGACTCCTTCATAGCATCCCAACCGCGTCCACTGGAACACAACGCTTTCACGAAAGCGGCCCACTGCTATCGCAGTTCCGTACCATGATTTCATCGTTCCGTGGCGTCATGATGCCTTTCATCGGAGCGCCGCCGCGGTCATTTTTTCTGATCTCCGACCAAGATTCACCTCAAGAGTGGGGGTCTGGGAAAGGAGGCGAACTTGTGGTGCTGGATGATACCTGTGAGAAATTAAAATTATGAGAGGGTGGAGATCGAAATTCCATGTGTTGTGGAACAGGAGCGAAACTTGATGAGAGAAGATGAAGAGTGGCGGCCGAGAAAGCGACTTCTCCAAGTGCACGCAGAAAGGGGTTGGGATGACTCAGCCCTCTACTCCCGAGAGAGGTTCAAAATTGAAGGCTCTCTAAGCAAATGCTGAGAAGGTGTATTTGCCGTCACGATGCATTTTATTGTAAGGAGAGCCTTTGATGTTTTCTGTATCGACTATGTGTCGTCCATACCAATGCCGTCAACCTTCCCAAGAAAATCTCCCTTGGCTCCTTTCAACAGCTCATTAATATCAACCGTACCAGCTGTCAAGTATCTTTCACTCACTCCTACATTGACACGTTGCGCCAACAAACTCTTCAGCTCGCCACGCAATGCACCCAACTCTCCCTTGGTCAGCGCTCTTGCCTCTTTCTCCTTCAATTTCCTCCCCGTTCCCCTTCCTTTCCTTCCTCCACCTAAAGCCTCAAACTCCTCGCTGTCATAATCAACACCAAGCTCCTCAGCTGCGTTCTTCACCCAATCATCATCATGTCCCTTTTTCTCCTTCGCCAAAGTACTGTCCGCAATCTTCTTTGCTAACGTTACCCTCGGCTTTAATCGTGCGACAACTTTGCGGTCCATATCCAATGATCTCATGTAATACTTAGATTTGTTGCCTCCTCCAGCAATAGCGTTCTGTGCATGAACCTTGGCAACAAGTCTGCGCATTCCAACAACCTCTTCGGGAGCACATATTAAAATGCTGGTACCAGAAGCCTCTGCTCGAGCTGTTCGTCCTGATCGATGCACATACATATCTGCCGCTCGAGGCAGATGGTAGTGTATCACCAAATGTACACCTCCAATGTCGAGACCTCGGGCGGCAACATCGGTAGCAACAAGGATCGATCCAGTCGCCTTTGGCGATGAGAAACGCTCAATGGACCGCATTCGAGCCTTTTGAGCCATCTGGGAATGCAGCGCATGTGCTGGAAGGTTGAGGTTCTGAAGCATAGGAGTGAGACGCCGGACAGAATGAATCGAATTTGTGAAGATTAAGGTCCGTTGATTCGGATGATAAAGAAGGAGAGCATATAAGTACAGATCCTAGAAAGCTATCAGCAAGAGCAGGGTCATCAAAGAAGTTAGTCGTACCTTTTCAGTCCCTGCACATTCAACCATGCCTTCTTTCAATTTCTCTGCCATTTGTGATATTGGATTGACATCAACGAATTTTGGATTGTCCTCACGGAAGTTGAGCTTCTTGAGGAGATACTCCATAGATTCGCTTTCGTCTATTAGACCCTGCTTCCCCTTTCCCACCAACTTCTGCTGCAACCCTTTGTGGAAAGTGGCCGAGAATACCAAAGTTTGTCGAGAGGAAAGCTTTTCTACCTCGTCTTCATCGGGGTCCTCTTGTCGGTCCAGGGCACCCAAAATCTCCTCGGCTTCTTTGAAATGCCCTTCAGTCAAAAGTCTATCTGCCTCATCGATGACCAAAAATTTAATTTCCCTCAAGGAAGCTGTCAACTCTCTGCTCCCACTCATGACCTCCCAAAGACGTCCCGGTGTGCCAATAACAATATCCGCTTTTGCAAGTTGACGCTGCTGCTTTTGGACTGACAATCCACCAGTGACAGCTGCTACATAAGGAGCATTGGAAAGCCCTTTGCATAGAGCCGTGATATGCCCTGTCAATTGGTGAGCTAATTCCCTAGTAGGCGACAAAATTAATGCCGTGGGAGGCCGCGAATCTTCCTCCTCATCTTCAGCTAACTCCCCGTAAGCCTCAATCCAGCTCTCAAGTATAGGAATTCCGAATGCTAGTGTTTTCCCAGATCCTGTGGAAGCTTTCCCTACAACATCATGTCCTGCCAGGATTTCCGGAATGGCAGCAGATTGTATAGGCGTTGGTTTCACAAAGCCCATCTTCGACAACGCAGAAAGTGTATCGGGAGAGAGGTCCAAATCTTCCCATGCGGAGACGTCGGTTCCCTCCTCGGCAGCATCTTCTTCGAGAGCTTTGAATACATTGGTTTCAAGGTCGAGAGGCTTGGATTTTTCTTCTTTCGTCTCTTGCTTCTTGGCTTTCTCTTTCTTGGTCTTCTTCTCCTTCACCGGTTTCGCTAGATCCGGGATGTCTGGCTGAGCTTCTGCCGCTTTTGGTGCCAAATCACCATCACCGAAACCCTTGAATTCATCCTCATCATCGGCCATTTGCGTCACTGCTGTCACCTAAAGAGGGTAAGTCCTTGATCTCTTGCCAGTCAACGGTACGTACAAATTTGACAGTATCTCCTTCCCGAATTACTTCAACGCCCTCTACCTCTTCGAGACCAAAAAATCCTTCGGCATCCTCAAACATATCAGGCATTTCGACCTCGTTCCATGGCAGCGCATCCAATGCTACTGCTCTTTTCCCAACCTTTGCAGTGCCATTCTTGACAGGCTCGATTTTCTGGCGTTTTTTGGACCGCTGACTTGCTTTTGACACGGGCCTAGCCCGCTTCTTCTGTTCTGGAGCCATGGGGAATCTGCGAACAAGGTATCTCGAGTGATGGCTGAGGTATATGGCCTGGCGTTTATTAGAACATCATCTGTGAAGTCCCGCGAGAATTTCTTTGCAGGGGTCAGCCCCATATTTTTAGCGTTCCCGCCCCCTGTTTAGCGTTCTGAGAACCTTAGGCCTTCGCTCTCTCAACCTTCACTCAGGCCAGTCCTGAACTTGGTTTTAAAAGACCTTTTCTAGATTTCAAATTGCGTGGTCTAAGCAAGGCTAAGTACTTTGAAAGCTTTTATTGAACTCTACTTATCTCAGGGGTCTCCCAATCAATATCTTCTGCAATGTGAGCATTTTCTTAACCTCAGCCTGCTCTCCACTTCAATCCTTCTAAGTCTCCTTAACTATTCTCGAGGTATTCGACTCTTCACGTCTCCTTTTGACCTCATCTAGTCTTTACCAGTCAAGCAGATTCCGAACATTTTGGGCTGCCTCGTCACGCTGGCGCTCAAGTTCGCTTATTCTCCTTCTTTGAATGTACATCCACAAAGCTATTGCAAGGCTTCCTGGTAGAACGTATGTGAAATAAGTACTGCTACTACGAAATTTAGACATTGAATTGCACCCTAGGTGGTGGAACTCATGATGGATTGACTTCGCTGTCCTTTGGAGTTCTGCTGGGACTGTGTTTTTATAAATGTTGGAATATGATAATTAGAATTTTATGGTTTTGTTTGGGTTGATGAGGCGAAGAACGTAAGTTTTGAGTAAAAATAGTAGGGGTTTTGGACTGGGCTGGAGATTATCCAGGTATTTGGTTAGTTTGGTTGACGTTGTGGAAACGCAGCAAAGGTAAACTTATAAACCGCATGTTAAAACTCTGGGTTAAACGAATCCGGCTTGGGTTTATAAGAGCTTCAATATAATCTTCCTAATGAGGTCTTTCCGTAAAATTCTTCCAAAGCTACCGGTACTCCTGTGCCTTGTCGGCTGACTAATTCAGAACGACCCCTGTCTGCCAGCCCCGCGCTAGTGAAAAAGCCTTCTCAGCCTCGTTCCAGCGAACTCTCTTCTCCCACAATAGTACAGCAATGATAGCCAGGAGGTAACAGCAATTGTTCTCGCAATGGGAAAATCCTCGAAAGACAAGCGTGATGCTTACTACAGACTCGCAAAGGAGCAAGGATGGCGCGCACGGAGTGCCTTCAAACTCCTTCAGCTCGATGAAGGTACAACCAGCTATAACTCTCAATCGACCACCAACTAACTAATACTGCAGAATTCGACCTCTTTGCCGATGTAACACGAGTGGTAGATCTCTGCGCAGCGCCCGGAAGCTGGAGCCAGGTCTTATCTAGGGTCTTGATCAAAGGAGAGAAATTCGGACGTTCAGCATGGGAAGACAAGCAGGAGGTGTTGCGACAACAAATGCTCAAGATTTCCGGCGACAACACCGAGACTGAAGAAGCAAACGATGAGGTGGAAGACAAATCTGAAAAGGAGCCTGAACTCAAACCTCGAAAAGATGTCAAAATCGTTGCAATCGACCTACAGCCTATGAGCCCTCTCGAAGGCATCACGACCCTCCGCGCCGACATCACGCACCCCGCAACGGTACCCCTCCTCCTGCGCGCTCTTGACCCTACTTACGACCCCGAATCCAAGTCCCAGCATGCCTCACATCCCGTCGACCTCGTCCTATCAGACGGCGCGCCAGACGTCACCGGCCTGCATGATCTCGACATCTACGTGCAATCACAACTCCTCTTCGCCGCCCTCAACCTCGCACTCTGCGTCCTACGCCCTGGAGGGAAATTCGTTGCCAAGATATTCCGAGGCAGGAATGTGGATCTCTTATACGCACAACTGAAGATATTTTTCGAGAGAGTGGTTGTTGCGAAACCGCGGTCCAGTCGCGCGAGCAGTGTCGAGGCCTTTATCGTCTGCTTGAACTTCTCTCCTCCGGGGGGGTTTAAAGCTAGTCTTGAAGAGCCATTGGGTGTTGGAGACAAGCTGCCGAATATGGTTATGGCGAGAGTACGACAGGAGCCGATCATTGCTCGTACGTTCTTGCAAGACCCAAGTACTGGGTCCTGGTCTGGGTGTAAAGCCAAACCTCCCTTGGTTCAGAATGAGGATGGCGTGTTCGAGCTCAGTCTTTCTGAGGATGAAGAAGACGCGAGGCAGAATGGGAGGTGGATTGCTCCCTTCCTGGCTTGTGGGGATCTCTCTGCTTTTGATGCAGATGCTTCGTATCATTTATCAAAAGACAGAGTCACTCTGGATCCCGTGCAGCCTCCGACTGCACCTCCATACAAGCGCGCTCTCGAGATGAGGAAGGCTGCTGGAGGGGCCTATGGGAAGACAAACCTGAAGTGATCATTGCCACAAGTGTTTGATTTAAAGCGGGCATAGCGCGGCGTTCGGCAAACTATGGGATAGAAAGAAGGTCGTCATTGTTCAATTTCACACCTTAGTCCCATCAAGTCATCAAGTGAGACCTCCAGTGAAGATGAAATGAAGTATCTTCCGGATATGCTACCAAGAGATATATGTACTTGTCTAAAAGGAATAAGCACCCAACGATAGTCAGTGCCGAAAAACGACCACCAACTCCAATCAAACTTGCTCCAAGTTTGTGGTTGGAAGTATGCTACCATAACCAATTTTTCCTCCCACCCTCCAACATGCTGTATCACTTCGTGATGAAGCCAAGGTAGTCGGCCACGATTAAAGTTACCATCCTATTTACTTGCGTCAGAAACACGGTTCGTCAATTCAAGAAAGGGGAACTCACGCATGCGGTGCAATCCTCACGTAGTACGTACTAAACCCCCTATAAAACCTCAACAGCCCCTCATCCCTCGCTACCTTCTTAAAGCAATCCATCATCCCCTTATACGGCAGCGATCCATCTGGCGCCTTCTGCTGTTTCTGCAACCTCGTCTTCACAAAGTCAAACGGCAGACTGAAGAAACTCGCAAAGAAGCCCGCCACGGCACTCGCCGTCAAAGTCTGCGCCCTCGCCGACATGGACGTATCCTTCAAGCGCTGCTTCGCCTCCGAGAAGAAGGCCAATTGGCCGAAGTTCAGGGCCATGGCTCGCACAACTGTTGGCGCGGCACCGGCCCAGAGAGCACCGACTCCTTCGGACTTTGCAATGCTGCTCAAGGCGTCGATGACGGATTTGTAGTTCTTCCTTTGCGCTGCGGGCTTTAGACCGTCGGATTGCATACGGATGAGAGCCAGGTCTGCGGGGTTGCCAATCATTGCTGCCAGACCACCGGCTGATAGACCAGCTGCTGCGCGCTCTCTGAAGCCAATCTGATTGCCCTTCTCTTTCGCCCGCACGGTGAGCGAATTCATAAACGTGTCAAAGAAGCCAAGTCGAGCGGTTGTGTAGACCGCTTGCCGGAGGAGACCTGCTGAGAGGCCAGTGTAGAGATCCATTACTTTGCCCTGGGCGAGAATTTCCCTCGTCACTGATATGGGTGTTGGTTTTGGGCCCGTCCTGGCGCCCTCGCCGGCGAGCTGGAGACGCACTTTGATCATGTCGATCGGCTGGATGACTGTTGTTGCTACCATGCCTGCCGCCCCGCCGTTTATGAATGGGAGAGCGCCGCGCATGAACGGGGTGTGCAGGAAGTCATTTTTGGCAGCTATGGGGTCCGCCTTTGCGGTGTCTGCGATCCGCTTTGTGGCATCCATTGCCTCGGACGTCTTGTTCCGCGCTGCTTCAGCGGCTTGCTTGATGGAATTGGTGGTAGACATCGAGGGGGAGGAGATGGAGGAGGAGGAGGGGTGGTAGATGATAGTTAGGTCGAGCAGCTTGATGGCTATCGCCAGGGGAGAAAGCTGTTAGCCAGCCGAGCTTTGGTGGGAGAAAAAGAGACGCGGAGGACATGTTGAGAATATGAATGGATGTGTTTTGCTGAGCGTTGAAACTGGGAATGCAGCCCTGGTGAGAGGTGGGGCGCAACAGCAGGTTGATTGGCCTTGCCGCGCAGCATTGGGACGCGGGAGACGAGAATGGTATATGAAAAGCACCGAGACACGGCGGGATCGGACGGAGAAACAGAGAGATAGCCTTGGTAATTGAAGCAAGAGACGACAGAGGAATGGCCGAAGGGTCAACTCACTTGCGGTTGTCGCACTGGCACTCGCCGGTCCTTTCCTACCGAGCGCTCTGTCGCGTGGGTGATTGGTCTGACGTGGACTTGGACGTGGACTGGGGTTTATGAACCGAGAAGGTCTCAGGGGATGCTGCAGCCTTGTTTAGTGCGGCCGTGGGGGCATGGACGAAGTCGTCGACGAGATGGGCTCTGGTGTTGTTGATGAGGGAATAAAAAGGCGCGCGGTCAGAATAGAATTAAATATGTGCCTGTTGTGTTTTGCAGTGGTGGTGGGTGGCACTGGTGAGCAAAAGCCCTTCCCGTTGGCCCTTTGAGGGCATGCTTCCGTTGGAGGAGATGCGGGGTTGCCAGGCACGAGACATGGCCTGCGCAGGCTGGATGTTTGGGATCCAAAGGATTGCCATTGCGCTGACTGGATGCCGGGCCCGGGGAGGCAGGTCAATACACAAAGTGCGTTGGACGGAGAAGCCCGATCACCGCGCACACCCCTTCGCCCTGGAGAGCGATCAGGTGTTGGAGAGGCACGCCGCTGATGAGGAGGAGGGAGGGGGAGGAGGAAGGGGAGGAGGAGGAGGAGGAGCAGGAGAGGAAGAGGGCATCCCGATGGCCCTCCCTCTTCTCCGAGCAGACGGGAGGAGACCCCCGAGCAGCGAGAGGCTTCGTGAGCCGTGACGGCCATGGCCATGGCGACATCTTAGAAGTACTTCCACCGTCGGTTGAACTGATTGACTGCATTGGCTCTCGTGCAGCTGGGTTACACGAGAGCAAAGCTGGACAGGACCTCATCCTTGCCACTGTCTGGACTATCACTCTCACACTCGCTGACACGGTGGACGAGTTCATTCTGCCGCTGTGTGATCCGCTGAGGCTCCCTCGTGAAGCACTCGATGCTGTGTCCTCCGGTCTGCTCGTTGCCACGAGCATCTAGCACCCAGCACCCAGCATCCAGCATCTCGCATTGACGCTGGTTGTCATGGTTCCGTCTGTTATGGTGAAATGCGGGGTAAAAGATAAGCACTGCTTATCGCACCAAGGGAGCGCGGCCGGCGTCGATCGAGTTGGCGTGCAGCAGCTTCTTCCGTGTTGAAGGGACGAAGAGTCGAAGGGTCGATCCTCACTGAGCAGTGAAGTATCTTATTGTTTTTGTCCCAAGTGCCTTCTCATGTACAGTACGCTACCGCTCCGCTCCAGTTGCTGACCCAACATCCTGCCAAACAGTTCACCACGAGTTCACAACTCATGGACAGACCCGCACGTGCTTCTGATCGATCTCGGTTTGGGGCCATGGCTTGGCGTTTCCCGCCGCCTTGCTGTCACTCATCGGCCGGATTCTGTCTAGCTCCAAACTCGCTGCTCGTCCTCAATGCCTCGTCCGCCTCCAATTCCTTCTTGCCTTCCGGTCCCTTTTCGTGGTACCTAGGTGCTTTGAGACGAGACTTGTTTCTCTGTCACATTTGTCCGAGGTTGTCTCGAGTTTCATTTCCGCCGGCGGGTTGTATCGGATGAATCCAGGCGGAGCGCCCCACTCCTACCCGTGCAGTCACGTGATGACCTCAACAATCCACGTTCAAGGAGGCCAAAAGCAAAAAAAAGGGGGGGGGGAGGGGGAGGGGCATGATAAGCTGTTGCTTCACGGCCATTCTTCAATGCCAGGGGACTGCACCAGATTTCGAGCGAAATCGGTGCCTAGTTCCAAGTCCACCTCTACAGCAAGCGGCTGTTTGTGCCGGCACCCCTGAAGCCCCCCACGGACTTCCTACTTCAAGCAAACTTGTGGACGATGCCAATTCAACTTCAAACGCCTCCCCTTGGAATGGTATGCTGCGATCTAAGGGTCGGACGAGCCAGACACGAGCATATCGACCATGTGGTAATTGCAGAATGGAAGAGGACAAGCCTGCACACTGTACTCTCGCCCTCCATCATACTTCCTTCCTTTCAAGTCTCTCTTGTTGTTGGTTTACTGCCAACCTACGCTGACTAGGCAGCATGTCATGCCTTGAGAAGGCACGTCCTCATAGCAAGCGCTATCCGTGGACCGATGCTTTGTAAATGAACCAGTCTTGCCCAGAAACGTTGGGGAAGCACACACAAGTTGGCCTTGGAGAGCCTTCACCGCCCCGGAGAGCCTTCACGTCCCAAAGGAGAGCGAGATCCTCCTATTGCAAATCGGTTCCCTGGTCAACAATCTGGAAATCATGATCCCCATGCGCGAAATCTAGGCACAAGTGATGCCTCCGTTAAGAATTGACCGATCTTCAAGGTCACAGGGTCACGTTCTACCATTCACCGTTGACATTGTGGTTATTGGAGTTGCAGCAGTGTAACAGTTTTGTTGGCAATATTGTTGGTTTTAACATCAAGCGATTCGCTGGCTTCTTCCCCGGCCAGCGTGCAGCATGGCAATGCAACCAAAACATCGGGCTTTGTGCACTAATCCGGGTTGATGGAGTTTCGCATTGCGCCATGCCGAGATCAAAGATGCCGGCCCGTATGGGTCAGTGTTCCGGTTCGGCCTGCAGTTCGGTGCAGCAAAACATGTTGGGGCGTATATCAACCAATGCCAACAGCAGCATTGGAAAGCACGATTCATTGCAGCCCAAGCAGCCTGTACGATGCCTCATAGAGGAGACAGTACCTCGAATTGCTGCGGACTTCAGTGGTGAGATGGCAGATGTCAGACAGGCAGCTAGGCCCTGGTAAGAAGCCTGACGACCCAAGTATGCGGGCATTCAGAGTAATTCACCTTCTCCATGGTGTCCCATAGATGAAAGGTAGGTGTTGTTTCCCCGTTCTCTTATTCAATTTGAACAGAGTTTTCATCCTCAAATTTTCGAACCATCTTGCAGTTTTCCAAGAATTAATTTTCCATGTTTACGATTACTTGCTGCACATCTCTTGCTCCGAAACACCACCATGGATTCTAGCCGCTCCAGTCAGCGGCCTACGACCAGCCAAAAGCCTCTCGGAGTTTCGACAGAGACTGACATTGAGACGGGACCTCGAGAAGTCCGCTCCTCTCTTGGTTCTCAGGGGGGTGTCGTCGTTAGCGAAGACAGTTTGAAACTACCAAAAGTAGATGGAGGAAAAGATGCCTGGTTGTTTCTTGTGGGCTGTTTTGTATTTGAAGCTTTAGTTTGGGGTAGCATCCGTATACAGATTGAAGGGCCAAATCGCTGACGTTCTCGCAGGTTTCCCCTTTTCTTTTGGTGTTTTCGAAACGTACTACACAAACAACCTCCCCTTTTCACAACACCCGAGTGGCATTGCTGCAATCGGTACCTGCTCTTCAGGAGGCATGTATCTCATTGCGCCTCTCACGCTGTACATCCTCGAGGCGTGGCCGTCCCTTCGTCGTTTATCGTCTATTTTCGGTCTCACCATTGTTGTTACAGCGCTCATCGCATCGAGCTTCTCCACTCAAGTCTGCCACCTCATTCTCACGTAAGGTTGCTTGTACGCAATCGGTGGGAGTTTCCTCTATGCACCAACAATGTTCTACCTCGACGAATGGTTCATAAACAAAAAGGGCCTCGCATTTGGAATAATGTGGGCAGGAGTCGGAACAGTACGCTCCCCATCTCCTCTTTTGCCCCCCCAATGCTAACAAAAACCCCAGTCCGGCGTCATCTTCCCCTTCCTCCTAACCACTCTCCTCGACGCCCACGGCTTCGCAACCAGCCTCCGCGTCTGGGCCATTGCCATGCTAGTTCTTTGCCTGCCCCTAATCCACTTCGTGAAACCCCGGCTCCCCACACCGGCCCCCCCTCTTCTCCGCCAACCAATCTCCTACGCCTTCCTCTTCACACGGACCCACGTCACTCTGCAACTCTGCAACATCCTCGAAGGGCTCGGTTTCTTCCTGCCGGCCATCTACCTCCCATCCTACGCCCAATCCCTTTCCCTGCAACCGATCGCCGGCACCGCGCTCCTCGCCACACTCAACATCTTCTCCGTGCTAGGATCGATCGGGATGGGATTTCTCTGCGACCGCCTCTGCGTTCACACCGTAATCGCAATCTCCACCGCGGGTGCAACACTCTCTGTCTTCCTTCTCTGGGGCTTGGCGACAGAGTTGCCGCTGCTGGTTGTGTTCGCAGCAACGTACGGCTTCTTCGCAGGCGGCTTCTCGGCGACTTGGGCGGGCATGATGAAGGAGGTTCAGAGGGTTAGTACGGGGGCGAGGATGGGGACTTTGATGGGGTTGTTTGCGGCGGGGAGGGGCGTTGGTGCGGTGTTGAGTGGGCCGGTTAGCGAGGTGCTTATGAGAAAGGATCATTTAGGGGGAGGTGGGGAGGATGGACGGGGAGCGAGATTTGGATATGGGACGAGGTATGGGGTTTTGATTGTTTTTACGGGTGTTAGTGCGGGTTTTGGGTTGCTTTGCTTTGGGGCTAAAAGGAGGGTTGTTTGATGGGTTTGCTGATGTTTGCGGATGAGGTTGGTATACTTGTGGTGCTGAAGTGTGTGTGGGTTTGGTTCTTTGACCAGCCAGCCTTGGTAGTCCAGTGTGCATTATGTCATCTCTTGGGCTGTGATTCTTATGACCTTATCAGTGAGTTACTCGACTTTGGGCTTCGAAAATGTAGCTGTATAACGAAGCAACAGATATGATAATAAGAAGTGCCGGGTCTGAAGTGATCCAACAACAAGTATAAGGTAGAATGATTAACGTTTTTATATGCGAGCACCTAGTGCAAGTAAAGGTATCCTCCTCTTCAGCCATAACATCTAGCTCCGGCAGAGCATTTTCGCTACGACTTGCTAAACCCCTCCCAAGTGCTCCAAATGAAGCATAGCCAATGTACGAATCCTTCTGGGAAGAAGAAGCAATATCTGCTACCATGGCATTGCCCAAAGCTACGGTGCCACTATTACCACTGCTCTAAAGACAGAGTAGCACCATCAGGGCTGCATAGCTGTCCTAGAGAGAAAGACTAATATTTGCTATTATGTATACCGCGAAGGAGATGAGATACGCCAGCCGTTGACCAGCTACATCTGAAATAGGCCCTACCACTGTAGGGGCCAGACCTATGAATATTAGGTAGACCGTGATAGTGAGATTGGTTAAGCCGTATGATACGTTCAGGTCGTGGGAAAGGTCGTTGACTGCGGGATAACTATTGTAAACAATAATATGAGGCCCAGTGTAATCTTGGTGCTTGGTAAAGCAACAAGCAGCTCGAATGTGAACTTCAATAAGCTATGGCTCAAGAAGGAATACAAGAGGAGGGTACCAGACGATTTGAAATACTGATTCAATATTTGTAGTTAGGGGAGACAAAAATGCTGCCAGACTTCCAAGTATAACAATCAACACTGTTTCCTTCTTGCTGAAAATTGACCAAGGCACTTCCGAAGGTGATCGAGAAAGTGGTTCGCCATTTGCAATTGATTGTCTCTCTTCTGATTTTTGAGGTGAGTGATCGATAGGGAGTCCATCATGCTGCGCTTGCCCAGACATAGCTACAAATCAAACAGAACGACGACAATGGCTGAGAATATATACAGTGAACGTATTGAAGGAGCGACATTCTGTGAGAGAATGATTGGAAGAAGAATATGCGGTAAGGAAAGAGACTCTTAAACTGTTTCGTGATTGAGAAAGCACCGCGATTAGTAACATCGGCTCCTCAGGACCGCGATTTCGGGGTGTTTGCAGGGGGGGCCTACAGATACGGCGCCGTGTCCGCTTCCGATGCTGTATCAAATATGTGTATTAAATTCCTATTTCTTCCAAATACAGATGAATAATATTTTGCCTGCGCCCAGCTTTCTCTGTGGGAAAAGACTCAGAAGGTCCGCAGAAGAGGGATGCCTCAGAGTTACTAGACCTGAAGGTCATTTGCTCCGATCACTAGGCCTTACCTAATTGGAATTCTTGCAAAGAATGGTAGCCATTGGAATCCGTGAAGGTAATGAAGAAAGAGCCGAAAATGCACACATAATTTTTTGGGGGATAAGTCCATGGAGAGGGGGCACTAACCCACTCCCCGCTTGCGAATTCTGAAAGGAGCGCAAGTCATCTCATTCATAGCACTGCTTGAAAACCCATGCCAATATCGAAACCCAATTTACATACAATCTGCAATCAACCTTCCGAGCCTCCCTTTGAACTTAACTTCTCCCGTCGCTCTTCTCATGCGGTCTTCTTCCATTGTGTGTAAACTCCGATCAAACTGCTCACGGTTCCCGCAAGACCAACAAATCCATCATCAAAGTTCGTCAAGCCAATCGCCGACGTAGGAACGGTAAGATCGCAGAGGTCAGATACAAGTTGGAGATTTATCGCAGCACGCTCCCTGAAACATAATTGTTAACAAACCATTTGACATGTGAAGCATGTGGGGCCTTCATACTTCTCAATCCTCTTGCTTGCAACAACGTCTTCTCCCTCCTTCTTATCAAGCCTGGCTGCTTGTTGTCGTAAATTGTAAAGAGAATAAGCGCCAGAGACGGTGCTGAACAAAAGTCCAATCATCCAACATCTGTAGGCCTCTCTCTGCAGCCTCTGCGTCGCGGGGCTTTTCCTGATACCAGCAGCATCCAAAACTGTAACCGCATCGAAGGTGAGATATCCCGCATAGCCCAACTGTCTGCCGACAGCACAGTATTTAACCACGGGGTCCAAAGTCTTGGAGTCCGCTGCGATTGCTGCGGCTTTAAAATGCTCAACATTCTTGCCCACGCGCATCAACTTCCGCGCAAGTCCGAATTGCTTCTTGATTGCGTCAAAGGGGGCGATCTGCCCTGGCGTTCCATTTGTGCGGAATAGGTACCAGGCGTAGAATCGGGAGAAGTATTGGAGGGTTCGTAGGAGCTTATCCCTTCCAACTGTTGTGGAGACGAATTTGAGATAATGGGCCACCGAAGGGTGGTAGACCAGCGTATCTGCGACCATTTTGAAAGACTAGTTGGGGTGATAGAAAGGAAAGAAAGTTGGAAGGAAGAAAGGAAAGTGGGTTCTCAGGGGTTTTGTTGCAGAAATTGATTGCTTGTGAAGTGCCGGCAGTTCATGTGAAGGGGCCGAGGTTGGAGATTCCCGAAATGATCGAAAATGAGGCATCAATAATCACGGTCACGTTACTTCGTGCTGAAGACCTCATTTCGTCGCGTCGACCTGAATCTCGACGCAGAATCCGCCCCCCCTTTTCATCGCCTCCAAACAACTTGCAAACCAGCGTACCAGACCATTGTCAGACTTCAACATGCCTGAAATTGCGGAGGGTCAGTGTATTTCAGTCAGATTTTCAGAGCCATTGCTGATTTGACTCATTTAGTTGCTCGGATTGTCCACTACATGAATAAGAGCCTCGTTGGCAAGACTCTCGCAACCGTTAAAGCCATAGATGACACGAATGTGTTTGGCAAGGTCGGTACAAGTGGAGCGGAGTTCCAGGACGCCTTGACGGGCAAGAAAGTCCTAGACGCTGGCCGTCAGGGGAAATATTTCTGGCAAGAAATCAGACTTATTCTACTGTTCTATATAACTAATCTTCTTAAAGGCTTATCATGTCTTCGCCCCCGCATCCCGTCTTTCATCTAGGAATGACAGGTAACGATTCAAATTCATAGTACACAGCACGTGCTGATGTTTCAGGCTGGATCTACATCCGGGGCGAGCCATTGGCCCATTATCGGCCGAAAGAAGAGGAAAAGGAAGAAAAATGGCCACCGAAGTACTGGAAGTTTATTTTGGAAACTGACAGCAAGCCGAAGGTCGAAGCAGCATTTGCGGATGCGAGGAGATTTGGACGTATTCGACTTGTGAACTGCGCAGCTGAGAATATCCGAAAGACGACGCCACTCAAAGAAAATGGACCGGATCCAACTGTCGACACCAATATTCTGACTGAAGGATGGTTGGAGCAGAAGATGAAGAGCAAGCATGTGCCCGTCAAAGCCCTCTTATTGGATCAGGCAAATATTAGTGGGATCGGCAATTGGGTTGGGTGAGTAATTTGCAAAACCTGGAGTCTGAAACTTGTTAACAACATATCAGTGATGAAATACTCTACAACGCCAAATTGCATCCCGAGCAGTATAGTGACACATTCTCCTCGGCTCAGCTAAAGCAACTTCACAAATCTATCCTCTACATCTGCCAGACGGCTGTTGATTTGCTGGCGGATTCAAGCAAGTTCCCAGAAGAATGGCTATTCAAGCACCGTTGGGGAAAGGGGAAGAAAGATTCGGTGGCCACTTTACCAAATGGAGCCAAGATCACGTTTCTCACTGTAGGTGGCAGGACAAGCTGTGTGATTCCCAGCGTACAGAAGAAGACAGGGGCGGTGGCTGGCGATGTGAAGGAGGTTGAGAACGGAGACGAAAAGCCTGCTGCGAAGAAGGCAGCCAAGAGCAATGGAACGAAGAAGAGAAAGGATGCTCCAAAGGTGGAGGAGGAGGATGCGGAGGAACAGGTGGAGGAGACGACTAAGAAGCTGAAGGGTACTAGCAGGGCTTTGACGAAGTCTACTAAGGTCAAGGAGGAGATCGTAGATTCGGGCCGTCGTCGTTCAGGGAGAGGGAGGCCAAAAGTATAATTCTGATGTATCTGACATATCGGAGAAAAGGCTTGGACTTATGGGTGAGTTAAAAAATTCGGCATTCGTCAGTCTCCTTGTACTTTGGATAAACGGAAAATAATCTTGGCATCCGATGTTTTCTGTTCTTGCAGCGTGTAGACGCATTGGTCTTCCTCAAGATATTAAAAGTCCAAGGGGGCGATGCTTCATTAATTTCATATTCGTACATGTCGTTCAATTGAGTTTCGTAGTTCGGTTCCATCCTGTGGCCTTGATTGGTATCAACTCTCGGAGGCAACGGTTCTCGCTAGCTCGCGTGTTGATTGTGGGGGGCAGTTTTTCTGATGTCCCTTATTCGTATTCGTATTCGCATTAGCTGACAAGGCCACTAAAAGTGCCAGATTAACTCGAGCACGGAGCAGCCAACATAGCGGCGCCTCTTGAACTTTCAGGACTAGCATTTGCAGGTCATTTCGCGCCTTTGAAGGGGAAGTCTTTATTATACCTGCATATACGCCGTCGAATTACAGTACTCCTAGATGGACGAGCTGGGTCGTTGCCCACATCGGGTTTCCTCCTCTTCCGCACAAATTTTATACAGCATGCACAAATGATAGTTCGGGCCCATACGTGGTAGTTTTCTTCCTCGGTGAAGCTTGAATCCGCGTGCTAGGCGTGCTCTGATTTGCTCGTCCAAACGAAGGGCTAGGGGACTTTTGGTGCTAATCGGAATAGATGAATCTTCCCCCTTCTCCCTTCCTCCTTCCCCTCCTTCCCCATGGGCGGCGGCCACCAAACATCCCAGCCCGCATTTGGGGCCGCTGGCCATGTTGACAAGCCTTTGGAACGGCCTGAACAATTGCCGTTCCGAAACTAAAGAGCCCCGCTAACAGGGCGACTTTAGACTCGGATCGTCAACCGGGAGGCCCGCCCCGGCTGGCCTAACAGTGGCCGCCGAGCTCTTAATCGTACTCGGAATTTAGCTGCAACTACGCGTGGAATTATTGCAAATTATACAATAAAAGTGAACTTCTCGCGTCCTCGTTGATTTTGACAAACACCAACTCTACAGCACAATGGCGCCACTCCTTCGTCTCCAGTTCAACCTGTGATTTCTTCATCAATTGTTCTTTCACCACCTCTGCTACTGCTGCGTCAACACACCTCACGATGTCGTCTGCTTTGCCATGGACTGTTGTCCCCGAGGCAGAGGGCGTTGCGGCCAAGGTGGAAGGATCTGTAGCAGAAAAGTTGGCTCACAAGGAACACGACCAACTACGCGTTGATGAAACCCCAGGACACTCAGTTCTAGATAGTTCTGATGATGGAGAGAAGATTCACACGCTTGCACGCCGCCTGACAGAACACTCTATCAAGAGCAATGATATCGGACATGTCAACCCTTTCAACGACACTGACAACCCTTTGTTGAACCCTTTATCAGAAAAATTCAGTCCTCGAGCATGGATGAAGGCTTTGATTGGAATCCAGTCCAGAGACCCAGAGAGATACCCATCAAGAGTTGCTGGAGTTGCTTACAAGAATCTGAGCGCTCATGGATTTGGAGAAGCTACGGACTATCAAAAGGTGAGCTCTTTTCCATATAGATTTGCTACTTTTTGGTCTTTGAGAGTTCAGCGCCCAGGAGCTTCTCGGGAGCTGACAGATGCCTTGCGCCGTTCAGAAACGGCAAATTTTCATGCTAATTCGATGGTTAGACTTTCGGAAACTATCCTCTGGAACTTGGCAGCTTGTTCAAGAGACTCATTGGAAGAAGACAGCAGACCAAGATCCAGATTCTCCGGGACTTCGATGGACTGGTCCGTTCTGGAGAGATGCTCGTTGTTCTCGGTAGACCCGGTTCGGGCTGCTCTACCCTCCTGAAGACGATATCTGGGGAGACGGATGGTTTCTTCGTGGACTCCCAATCGTACATCAACTATCAAGGCATTTCAATGAAACAGATGCATAACGATTTCCGAGGAGAATGCATTTATCAAGCCGAAGTTGATGTTCATTTCCCACAACTGACAGTTGGACAGACCCTTGAGTTCGCTGCTCGGGCCAGAGGTATGATTGACCTCCTCCGCAAGATAGGATTCACTAACACGTTTGTAGCTCCCAGAAACAGAATACCAGGTGTTACCAGAGAGCAGTATGCCAAGCACATGCGAGATGTCATTATGGCTGTATTTGGCCTTGGTCACACACTGAACACCAAAGTTGGAAACGACTTCGTTCGAGGAGTTTCTGGAGGAGAGAGGAAGCGTGTCAGCATTGCCGAAGCGTAAGAAACCTTCTAAGTGAGACAATACGGACTTTGTAATTACTAACACTCCATTTAACAGCGCCCTCGGCCAAAGCCCTTTGCAATGCTGGGACAATAGCACCAGAGGTCTCGATAGTGCAACCGCATTGGAGTTCGTCAAAAACCTTAGACTATCGACTGAGATGTCTGGCTCGTCTGCAATTGTTGCCATATATCAAGCATCCCAGTCGATCTACGATGTATTTACACCCATTCCACATGGAAGCAAGTCTGACAGATGTGATGTTATAGATATTCGATAAGGTCGCAGTTCTGTACGAAGGAAGACAGATTTATTTCGGGGAGGTTCATGCGGCGAAGGAATACTTCATCAACATGGGATTTGAGTGTCCACCTCGACAAACAACTGCGGACTTCCTCACATCTATCACCAGCCCTGCTGAGCGTATTGTCCGAGAAGGATTTCTCGGCAGGACTCCCTTTACCCCTGATGAATTCGCCTTGGCATGGAAGAAAAGTGACGATAGAGCCCAACTTCTGCAAGACATCGAGGAATTTGATCGCTTGCATCCAATTGGTGGAGAATGTCTCGAGAAGTTTAAGGAGAGTCGTCGAGGTAAGCTTTCATGTTGCTCATATCCCCAAGTTGTGCTGACTCGTGTATGCAGCCGCTCAAGCGAAGTCCCAGTGAGCCAGGATCCCCCACTTGTTTATATAGCCCCTTACTAACCCCAAGCGAGACGTATCAAATCTCCGTATACCATCTCGATCTCCATGCAGATCAAACTTTGTATCGACCGTGGATTCCAGCGTCTCCAAGGGGACATGAGTCTTATGCTCACGGGTTTCATTGGAAATGCTATCATGGCTCTTATTATCGGCAGTGTCTTCTACAATCTCAAGAACGACACTGCTTCTCTTTATAGTCGTGGCGCACTTCTTTTCTTCGCCATTCTGATGGCCGCATTTCAAAGTGCTCTCGAGGTAAATTTCAAATATTGAAACCACATCATGCATGATACTAAAGACACCTCTAGATCTTGACCCTCTATGCTCAGCGCGGTATTGTGGAGAAGCATGCCAAGTACGCTTTCTATCATCCATTCGCCGAAGCAATAGGTATGTGTTCTGATATTTTTCACGTTCAAGTGGAGCATCTAGTAACATCGTTTCAGCATCCATGCTTTGCGATCTGCCAAATAAATTTGGGACCGCTACCGTCTTTAACCTCACTCTCTATTTTATGACCAACCTCAGAAGAACTCCGGGTCACTTCTTTATATTCTACCTGTTCACGCTCATGTGTACCTTGACTATATCAATGTATTTCCGCTCTATTGGAGCTCTGTCTCGGACCCTTTCACAGGTAATATTTCTCTGTCCAAGCGTTTGGCCATTTCTAACAGCCAATAGGCCATGGCACCCGCCTCTATTTTCGTCCTGACTTTGGTCATTTACACTGGTTTTGCTATTCCGACAAGATACATGCATCCCTGGTTCCGCTGGTTAAATTGGATTAATCCTGTGGCATATGGATTCGAGTCCTTGATGGTCAATGAGGCATGCTGTGTTTAATTAATTTCTCACCTTTGCTTTTCACTGACAATAGTTGCAGTTTCATGACCGAAAGATTCCATGCTCGGCAACAATGTTCGTTCCTGCAGGTCCCTCATACCTAAATATTTCACCTGATCAGAGGATTTGCTCTACAGTGGGGGCTGCCGCAGGAGCAGACTTCGTGGATGGCGATGCATATATAAACATCAATTTTCAGTACTACCACTCTCACCTGTGGAGGTGTGTCATTCCATCTTAAAGCCTTTTGGTTCTTCACATGCTAAAATTACGCAGAAACTTAGGTGTTATGGCTGCTCTCATGGTATTTGGCTGCGCCGTCTACCTCCTCGCCACAGAATTCATTTCCGCAAAGAAGTCCAAAGGAGAAGTCCTTCTGTTCCCCCGAAGCCGTGTACCGGATCTTGCCCCACAAGCTGACGAAGAGTCGAATATCGATGATCGAGTCAACACCGAGACAGCTCTGACACGGGAGAAGACTGTTCCTGATGCGCCTGCCAGTATTCAAAAGCAAACGGCAGTGTTTCATTGGGATGGCGTCAGTTACGATATCAAGATCAAGGGAGGTAATCGGGTACTGCTAGATGATGTCGATGGTTGGGTAAAGCCTGGAACGTTGACTGCTTTGATGGTTCGTAGACTTCCCCCAGTCCTCCCTTTTACAGTTCTAATGTCTGTCGAGGGTGTCTCTGGAGCAGGAAAGACCACGCTTCTAGACGTCCTTGCTAGCCGAACCACTATGGGAGTAGTTACTGGTCAAATGCTTGTTGATGGCCGAGAACGAGACACTGGATTTCAGAGAAAAACCGGCTACGTCCAACAACAGGACTTACATCTGTCCACCTCAACAGTTAGGGAGGCTCTATCGTTCAGCGCTATATTGCGTCAGCCAAAGTCGATCCCGCGGGACGAGAAGCTCGCCTACGTCGATGAGGTTATCAAGGTCTTGGAAATGGGGGCATATGCGGATGCTGTCGTCGGTGTTCCTGGCGAAGGTACGTTTCTTTCGATTTCTATTCCATGTGACGGCATTCGTGACCGCTAACATCTTAACCACAGGACTCAACGTTGAGCAGCGAAAGCGTCTCACGATCGGTGTCGAATTAGCTGCTAAACCTGCCCTTCTCCTGTTTCTCGACGAGCCTACTTCTGGACTCGATAGTCAAACCGCATGGTCCATCTGTGCTCTTCTCCGCAAGTTAGCAGATAATGGCCAAGCTATTTTGTGCACCATTCATCAACCATCCGCAATCCTGTTCCAGGAATTTGATCGCCTCCTCTTCTTGGCCGCCGGTGGAAAGACCGTGTACTTCGGAGAAATCGGAGAGGACTCCAAGACAATGATAAGCTACTTCGAGCGCAATGGCTCCAGAAAATTCGCGGCTGACGAGAATCCTGCTGAAGTGATGCTTGAGGTGTGATAAACTTTCGTAATGGATTGATGAAGCTAACGGAGGATAGGTCATCGGCGCAGCCCCTGGCTCAGAAACAACAATCGACTGGCCTCACGTATGGAGCGACTCACCAGAGCGACAAGCTATCAAGGCAACACTGGCAGATATGAAGGCTGAACTCAGCCAAAAGCCCGTCGACCACGACCCGACCTCCCTGGATCCGTTTGCCGCACCCCTGACCACCCAACTCTGGACCGTCACGGTTCGAGTCTTCGAGCAGTATTGGCGCACACCCTCTTATCTGTACAGCAAGACAGCACTCTGCGTAGCAGTCGGTCTCTTCGTCGGTTTCTCGTTCTGGCAATCACCGAACTCGTTGCAAGGAATGCAAAACCAGCTCTACTCGATCTTCATGATATTGACCGTATTCGGAAACATCTGTCAACAAATCATGCCCCACTTCGTCACGCAGCGAGATCTCTACGAAGCCCGTGAACGACCGTCCAAGACGTATTCTTGGAAGGTATTCATCCTTTCTAATATCATCGTTGAGATGCCGTGGAACACGCTCATGGCTGTCCTCCTTTATATCTGTTGGTATTATCCAATCGGCCTGTATCGCAACGCAGTACCCACTGGTGAAACTGCATCCCGTGGCGGGCTGATGTTCCTCTTCATCTGGAGTTTCTTGATGTTTGCTGGAACTTTCACTGATTTCATCGTTGCTGGCATTGACACGGCGGAGAACGCTGGGAATGTAGCGAATCTGCTTTTCTCGCTGTGTTTAATTTTCTGCGGGTGGGTTCCTTCCCTTCACCCCTCTCATTTTTGCAGACATGTTGGCTAAGAGGAAAACAGTGTCTTGGCATCACCACAAATCCTCCCCCGCTTCTGGATCTTCATGTACCGCGTCTCACCCTTCACTTACCTGGTCTCTGGTATGATCTCCGTCGGACTCGCCAACTCAGAAGTCGTCTGCAACCCTATCGAATACCTGCACTTCAACCCGCCCTCCGGTAAGACCTGCATTGAGTACATGGAAACGTATATCTCCATGGCAGGCGGCTATCTGCTCGACGAGAACGCATCGACCGATTGCAGCTTCTGTTCTGTGAGGGACACCAACACGTTCTTGAAGACCTTGAACTCGGATTTCAGCTTGAGGTGGCGCAACTTTGGACTGATGTGGGTCTTTATTGTCTTTAACGTCTTCGCAGCCGTGGGGATGTACTGGCTTGCGAGAGTTCCGAAGGTCAAGAAGGCGAAGAAGGAGAAGTCTGAATAGAGCAGGGCGCGAGCGTCGTATTCGGGGTGGTTTCTTTCTTTCTTTTGCTTTTTTTTTGTGATACCCCCATATTACCCAGCAGCGAATTTCTCTTCTATTGCGAGAGGGGAAGGGAACAAATAAGAAACTGTAGGTATAGAGAAAATAAACCACACTGTAGATAGCTGATGAAAACGATTGCCATTGCATTCAATGCTAGACTCAGGTTCTGTTCTAGAGCTCGTCAAGAGGTCGCAGACCCAAAAGATGGTAGGAGCCCTCTCAGCGCAGAAGAGGATGGTCAAGGCTTGTACGATTGCCACACTTAGAATAAATAGCAAAAGTCTTGCATGGTCAGCCAAAATCATGGCGACTTGAAGCTCATAAAATTCTTAAAAAAAAACGAAAGAGGCTTAACAGAGCTCGATGGCTGAAAGTATGGTAGGACGCCATCGAGAGCTGGCACAGGGGATGCTTGTGAGTGTGCAAAGGGATGAAGCTACGAACAGCCGTCGTGGATGTGCCTTCTTTAGCGAGGACAAGCTGTACATATATTGCTCCATGCACACCTGCTCTCTCAATACAACATCCCTCCCCCAATTATCTGCCGCTGAGGCTTGATTAGGTAATTCCGGAAGGAAAGCTTGCCCAAATGGTTCAAGCCTGACCACAAGCGACAACTCGCTACTGGACAAGTACCGGTAAGAGGGTGGACACACACCCTGTCTATTAAGCTTTTAGAGTGTAAAAGCTTCTATGGCAACAGCACGGTGACATATGATCGCCTTTACAAGGGACAAGCCGATGTGTCCACCCTCTTTACCAAACTGGTCCCCTAACTGCTACAACTCCCAAAACCCCTTATGATGCTTTCCCGACTTGCTTTCGACACCCAAAACATGCGGTCATCAATCACGCGCCACACCACCTGCCAACGGTCCTCTGTATCAAGCTCGCTGAATGCCGGGCCCTCCCAATGGGTACAGTGCAGGTGGATGAGTATCGGCTTGATTCTGTACAACCGTACAGCCGAGCTTGATTGCGGTCATGCAGACTATGCGAACTGATGACCATGCTTCATGGTACCACGACAGGAATTAAGCACGGCTTCCGGCTCGGTGTCGATCCACTAAGCCACTCAAGGAGGAAATTTAAGACAACTTCCAGGATTAGAACACTGGATGGTGCATCAACCTGCAGCTGGCATTGGATCGGGAAGACAGACTAGAGCCAGCTAAAGAAGCTTCAACCCACAAAGCGTCACTGGAATGGTGTGGACCCTGCCTGCCTCGCAACTAAAACTCCACTTGCTGGCAGCATCTTCGGGCCCAAGGATTTTCTTGGTTCCCCAGAAATTCATAAGTATTCTCCGTTTCCCCTAGTTTTTACTTCTTGTCCTCCTCAGCACTCTGGGGCCTCTCCGTAGCTTCAACGATATTTTAGGACAACATATCAGATCGTCGAACCGACCACATGCACAATGTTGGGCATCGGCAAGAACGATCGTCCTGCCACGGGAATTGAATCTGGTTCCGATATACAGAATGATCGAGCGGAGGAAAATCTGAAGTCTCGATGGGAACGATTGTGGCCTGTAATGGCTTGCGGCGCCGGTCTCTTCTCAGACGGTTATATCAACAACGTGTGCACGCTTCCATGAAAGCTCAGCTCAAGCACTGACGGTTCCCAGGTCATCGGATCCGTTTCTACCATGCTGGGCAAAATATATGGAACAGAATACACTGGATCGAGCTCACAAAAGAACATCTCTGCAATCACCTTCGCAGGTACAGTCTTTGGACAGCTCGTTTTCGGATATACCAGTGATAAATGGTCGCGATCGAACAGCCTTCTCCTCTCCACAGTCATACTCATCGTCTTTGCCGCCCTCGGTGCTGGATCCTACGGAGCCGGTGGTAGCATTCAAGGCATGTTCGCTGCCCTCACCGCATATCGATTCCTTGTCGGGATAGGAATTGGGGGAGAATATCCTGCCGGATCAGTTGCGTGCTCCGAGGCTTCAGGCGAACTGAAGAGTGGGACACGAAATCGTTGGTTCATTCTGTTCACGAATGTGATGATTGACTGGGGCTTTGTGATTGGTGCTTTTGTTCCGTACCTGTTAGTTGTGATCTGCACTGAGCAACACTTGCGTGCGGCATGGAGGATTTCCTTGGGCCTTGGTGTCGTGCCGCCGTTAATGCTCTTATGGTTGCGAATCAAGCTTCAAGAGCCCGAGGAGTTCAAAAAGTCCGTGTCTCTCATCAGCCAATGATGTTTCGCTAACGAGAAGTTTAGGGAGAGTATGAAATACGTCAAGATCCCATATTGGTTGGTGATCAAGTACTACTGGAAGAGACTCCTCGCCGTCTCCGCAATCTGGTTTCTGTACGACTTCAGCACATATTCTTTCGGCATATTTTCCTCGACCATTCTCACCAATGTCATGGCTAAAGATGCTCCTCTTTCCCAATCCTTCGGCTGGAATACGGTCATAAATTTGTTCTATGTTCCCGGCGCAATGTTCGGGTCGATCTTGTCCGACTGGATTGGACCAAGATATGCTCTCGCTGGAGGTGTGCTCGCCCAGGCAATCGTTGGCTTCATCATGGCTGGGCTTTATCCCCACTTAGCAAAACCAGAAAACGTAGCAGGCTTCGCAGTCGTCTATGGCATCTTCCTCTCACTTGGAGAGGTAGGACCCGGTGATAACATTGGCCTTGTTGCCTCCAAAACATGCGCTACTGGCGTTCGAGGCCAATATTATGCTATAGCAGCGGCTATGGGCAAAATTGGAGCCTTCGTTGGCACGTACATCTTCCCATATATCGAAAAGGCTGGTGGCAGCAACACCAATACCAGCGCTCAATATCCATTCTATGTTTCAAGTAGTTTCTGCGTCTTGATGGCATTCATCGTCCTCTTCTGCCTTCCGCATATTGGGCAAGATACAATCAAGAAAGAGGATATTGACTTTAGGCACTATCTTGAGACACAAGGCTGGGACGTCAGACAGCTGGGTTTATTGCAAGGAGAGACCGTTGAAAGCAGAGCGACGGCCCCAGCAGCTTTGGTGGAGAACGAGGCAGAAAAGAAGGAATAAGTGCCTCGATCTTGGGACTTTTTCATTTGCAAGGAATGATGAACACCCCCCTCTTAATGAATATGAGATTTCAAATACAAAAATTCTTTAGAAGAGTTAGCCTTCAATTTTGCTATCCAGCTAATGAAGTCGCTAGTTTCAGAGAGGCTTGGCGTGTAATGGAGCAGATTTACGCAAACCCAGTTTTCATGTCATGGGTCATTATACCAGTGACATATGTACAAAGGATATAGCAATTGGGATGCTGTGGGATAACATTTTCTGATAGATGGTGGGCATCAGGAAACAGAGACATCTTCCAGTGTTGGAGATGAGAAAATGAGATGAGTACCTTCGAAGAAGGGCAAGAAATCCTCACTTCATCAATTTCCCACACTGCGAGAATCCAGAAGACTTAAATTTTGGTACCAGTTCTGCGTGCATGACCTGCGAATGAGAGCTTCATCTCTGGGTTCTGGTTGAATATTGCGCCGTATTCCGGCAGCGTTGAAAACTCCGCAGCACTGGCATTGATGATTAAGCTAGGGATTTAGATTGCGAATGATACTGGCTGTAGTCATTGCCATTACGTTGTGCCTCCTCGGACGTCTTCGTCCCCTGGATGGCCCCTCGGGGCGTTGCGCAAGCACCTCCCTCAACTGAGGGTCATCTTTGTCTTTGTCGACATGATGAACCCTAACATGCCTTTGGAGATAATTAGCTTTTGGTAGACTTCCTTTCAGCCCATTTAACCATACCTTTGCAAGTTATCCGGTCTTGGATATTTGTGCTCACTATCTGAGCAGAATGGACAGACATATCCAGGCGAATCATGCACCAGACCATGCCTGATCATCTCATTCTTTCTCTTGAAGCCTTTTCCCCCCTCAGATCTCGGGCAGCCTTTTACCGGACAATGATGCGGACGGTTGCTGTGGTAGACACTCAAATGACTATTGAGAAGGGACTTTTGGATGTGAGTGAAAGGCTAGAGGTTAGAGAATTAAGTGCTACTGACCAGATTCTGGAAAGGTTGGGCAGTGCAGTCCGGATATCTACACTGAAATCCTCCAATCTGAGGGTTCGAAACAATATCAATGCTCATACGATCAATGGACATGCTGGCCGCCCTAGTTCCGGAAGATGATGCCGTGCTTGGTGTGCAAGTACTACTGCTGTAGTCGGTCCCGGATTGGTACTGGTAGCTCTCAGCCCTCTGGTTTTGAGATTGTGTGTAATAACTATGCGACAAACCCCATCTTGGGGGAGAAAGTTCCCTTCGGAACGAATCCGAGCCAATGGGCATCGACGAAATTGGGCCTCGGGGGAGCGTATCGTAAGAGAGAGGTTCCCCAGAATCCTCAAATAATCTCTTTAGGTAATCCCCAGAGGAGGTGAAGTCGTTGCTAGGCACGCCAAGTGCAACTCGAGCAGTCTCATAGTCTTCAGGTTTAGGTAAGTCTCCCGACTGTAAAGAACCATCATCTTCAAAAGACTGAGTCAAAGGATCGTAACTTCCAGAAGTCGAAATGAAAAGTCGGACAGCGAGGTGCAAGTATTCTTTTACCCATGTTAGCTCAAAGCGCTGGCCTTGAGGGCCTTCGGTCAGAGTTATCAGCGCCTTTCTCACTACTGCCTGGATGCAGAAGCTGTAAAATATCGGTAGCCACCATGCCTTGCTGCGCATGTCCTGTTTTTGAAAGAAGACACGCGACAACTCATCCAGAAACTTGTTCAAATAGAGACTGAGATTTGCAATACAGTTAACCTTGCAAGTTGACAGTGGCGATTTTTTTTTGCAAAACTGATGGCTCCAAGGTGTCAATCTTTGAGTGCTTGCGAGCCTCTTCACCTCTAAGCAGGTAAGGAGACAGAGCAGTGATTGGGAGATCAACTCATCCTTGACATGAAAGTCAGCATCTCATATGCCCGAAATCACATCGAAAGCCAATAAGCCGCGAAACCAGTCTCTAGAGCATGCAACGCGTAGGCCAGATCTACTGCGTGTAACGCATGAGGGGCACATTTATTCTGGAGCTCAGTGCTTCAAAGAAATGTGTTTTAAGAAGGTGAGGTGTAACTTACCTTTTCGGACTTCGCTTGGTAGAGTGAGGCAGAGCGGAGGAGAACGATGAACTTTACTATGTCTCCGTCTTGGATTAGACACAGTGCTGACAAGTCCAGAATCTCCCAAGTAATAGACATTACACAGTTATCGAGAGGTAATAAATTCGGTAGGGAAGGATGTTCGTCTTGAGAATTTCTTGAGAGGCGAAATCCTTGCAAGGCCAACCATGAGCCTTCGTGTTGTTGAAGTAGTGTATCTATGTCATGACCATTTTCGGTGACAAGGATTCCCGGATTCTCTAGGGCTTGCTCCCGTCGTAGAAGGTTCTCTTTTGCTGACATATTCACCATCGTAGGCCAGTTCCTGATGGTAAACTCGGGACGTGACTGAGGATTTTCAACAAGCTGTGGGCACATCTCAATTGGGGCCATCTCCTTCCTGATACTACCACGTTTGCAACCAACAGAGAACCAACCCAAGCCCCGAAGCTTAGTGGATCCAGAGCACATGGCACACGGCGTCGTGGTGTCACACTAGAAGCATCGTCAGCCATGTTCCTTTCCCAGTACTACATACTCTCAGTTATAAGACTTCACAATGGCCGACATAATCTTTGTCAGCCTTTGCCCAAAGATGCCGTGAAAGTGAAGGGGAAACTTGAATTACTTTGTCTCTCAGGACTCGGCATCGCCAACATGCACCTAGAGCCTTCACCGCCTTGCTGGAAGCACGTGCAATCGAACCTAGAGAAGCTCGCCGGCTGGAAAAGCGTCCAGGTCGACCAGAAGAATCACCGTTGGAAACATGACTCTTACTGCCAGTCGCGATACCGGTCTCAAAAGTATCGCTACCATCAGCCGCGAAGGACATGAGGACTGCATCTTCTTGACTTGGCCTTGAGCTGCTTCGTCTGATCCCACGGTTTGTCGGAGGGGGCGAAGGAGATGGCTGTAAGTTCACACGGATGGGTCGCAACGGAGGACTGTTGGCAACTCGAATGTCATCAAAATAAGAGATTTCGTTCTCAATTTCGAGTGAAGGGGATGCTCGTGATGGCGCTGAGTGGCGGGAAGGGGAATGATGATGCGACTGTTCCTGACCTTTATCTGCTGACGGAAAAGATTCAGCTTGTCCCGTCCTATCAGTAACTTCTAGAGTGCCGCTGACACTTCCAGCAGGCGGACCCAAATCTTGTAACCAAGAACACAGATCTAACGGTGCACGGTCCTCGCCATCATTCCCCAGAGGAAAGTCCTGATCAATGACAAGTGAATCATCCCAAAAATTTGGTACTGGCGGAGGATGCCCTGCATGTGTTTGCCATTGAGAAGTGGAGAGCCCTTGGAAATGGGCAACGGTGTCATCTGAAGTATGAAAGGCAAGGCGTCGGGTTATCCTCGCGTTTCCTGTCGCCAGCGAGAATTCATATTCTAGATCCAAGTTGTGGGCGATAGCTTGCACTGCTCTCTGGGTGGGTTGATCCGGACCAATGAACAGCATATCATCTCTCAAGATATTAGTTTTAAACAACACAATATCCGCAAAGAGAGATCGGTTTGCGTCATCATTCAAATCTGTTCCACGATCTTAGCTGGACGAAGTTCAAACTGTTTTCAGACTCACCGACTCCATCAATCCCCATTCTGAACGTGTACTGGTGCTTCGCTTTGATGCAAAAGTGTCAGACGGCCTCTTAGTTCATATTTTACAATCAAGGCCGGAAACTTCATTGCAGTCCGTGTGAGGCTGCCCATCGGTTAAGTATCGTATTGTTTTCCTGTCCTCGATTCTGCTTCCAACGAGTGGCAATGGCATTCAACACACGAGCGTCGATTCCCGAATGGGTAACAGAGCTTTTGGATAGAGGACTATGGCCTTTCCCTATTCACGGGCCTGCAAAGGGAGACAGTGCTGCCCGTACCGGGGAGTCGATCCACGATCGTGGGGCTTCACTCCAGGTGAAAGAACCCGAGAAATTGTCAGAGCTGTCTAAGCCAGCAGCCGGCGGAAGCTTGGCCTTTGCGGAATTAACAATGGCTCGAGTGTCACTTTTGATCAAAAAACGGGCAGGAAGGCAGGTGTGAAAAACGAGGCGAGGCTGCGAAGAAACTCGAAATCACCACCCCCTGTAACTGATGCATGAAATGCACAATATTCGCTTCGTCACCAAATCAAGCTTTGCGCCGCAGCGGTCGCTATTGAAGACCGCCAGCCTCACGTCGACCGCCTCCGGGCCTCATCTCTCGGACTGCTTTCTACGCACCACCGAAGATGAAGATGCAGTTGCTTGCGAGCCAGGACCAATATGCGCATACGGAGGCTGCTAGGGACCGCCATCGCGGCTTCCGAGATGCCCTCTATCAGAAAAGCCTTTCTCCGTCTCGCACTCCTTATTCCGTGGCATCATATGAGAGCATATGTGCAGAGGCTCGTTTGGACCGCTGCTGATAATCCCCAGACCGGCCATGCTCTTTCGATGAGCAGCCGACTATAAATTTTCAATCTGGACCCGTTATTTCAATGATAGCTGTTGACCCTCAGCTGTGCAGTTTCCCGGCATCGTTGCAAGCATGGATTTCCGGTTTTCTGCTCCAATAAACCAACCCTTTCGCTCTCTACCAACCGGTAATGGCATTTCATGTCAACGTTGCAGCAGATTCACCCAGCAACGGAACACCAAGCCCAATATACGCAAAAGCCAAATGCATCGGATCTACTGCGAGATCCCAGGATGTGCGTCTAGCTTTGGTCGTCCATCAGATCTAGTTCGACACTGGAAGTCTATACACGGCCCAAAGCAGCAATGCATGGTTGGGGTGTGTGGATATGCTACTGCGAGACGGGACAAGATGGCTGAACACGTGAGGAAAAGGCACAACGAGCAAAGTATAAACCCCCCTATACAATTGATCAGTACCCTTCTAAGCTGACTTCTTTGCAGATGGCTTATCTAACGCGATGCCATCCGGCAAACTTCGCCCTGCGGAAGACGGAGCCAAAGCTGTGGGTCCATGTGAAGTTATGGAATCTATGTGGTGGGACCCTTTGTTTGGGTCTGAGCTTGATTTTCAATTGTTGTCGTCTCCCCCCGAACTCGTTCCCTTTGGCGGTGGTTCTGCTTCTGGAATTCAGTCCAGCTCCGGGTTCGGATTCCATGAAATCCTAACCAGTTGGCCGTCTGGTGTTCAGGGTGTCCAGTAACGGTACGAGGAATTCGTACGAACTTAGCTGAATTGCAAATTGCAAATGAGAAGTATAACTAAAACATAATGGCATTATATGTGTGTCTCTAAAAAGGATGAAGAATTTTGTAACATTACTTGAGGGTTATATAACTTTCAGCCGTGTTCTTACAGTATCTTATTCAGTCCGCTCAGCCCGCCCAGGATGGAGCGGATCGCGCCGCTTCTACCGAATAACTCTTGGCCGAGCATTAGGCGAATAAAGAAAGCTGGTGAAGGCCGCTCGTCCTCTCTGATTCGGTGACCAGCCTCGCGGTGGGTCGAATCACGAATTTATCCGGAGCCAACGTCTTCCTGTGGCCGAATCGTGCGTCAGGACTTGCACCAAAGCCGTTGCTCCCTGATATACCAGGGGGTCCATATTGGTGCGAGAATGGCCGCACGATAACTTTGCGAGAGTCGATGACGTTCTGCGAGTCATCCGTTTCATTCAATCAGGCGAGGCCGTGGGTACATTCATAATGCCAGAGCTCTCTCCTTTCGAGGTTGAGGCCAGAGCACCACTATCAATCTTCGAGATCAACACCCGCCATGGCATCCATCATCGGCTTCGCAGCTCGGATCTGGAACCTCAACTATCCTCCTCAGCCTGCAAAGAAGGATGGGGCCGTACGGATAGGCCTCCTGGGCGCGTCGGGTATTGCGTGAGTGAAGCGTCAAAGCGTTTGAAAGCTTCACACTAATAACTCGTTCGCAGACCAGTGGCCGTCATCCAGCCCGCGAAATCACACGCTGAAGTGATTGTTACTGCAGTCGCTGCGCGCGATGTAAAGAAGGCAGAGGCATATGCAAAGAAACACAGCATCCCCATTGTTCACAAATCTTATCAAGGTTAGTGTTGAGCGGGATCAATTGGAAGCTTTGTCTGACTGGCATCCGATTTGAGATGTCATTGACGATCCTGCAATCGACGCGATATACATTGGCCTACCTAACGGTCTACACTACGAATGGGCGTTGAAGTCGTTAAAAGCTGGCAAGCATGTCCTACTTGAGAAACCGTCGACGTCAAATGCTGCCGAAGCTGCTTCCCTCTTCCACCATGAACTCCTCAAACAACCCAATGCCCCTGTCCTCCTCGAAGCATTTCACCCATTATTCACCCCAGCATGGCAGTTATATCTGTCTCTCCTCGATCCACCAAATCTTGCCTCAGCACATGCAACATTGCTAGTCCCAAGCATCCTCTTTGGCAACGACGATATAAGATACGTCTATGATCTAGCTGGTGGAGCATTGATGGACTGTGGGACATACTGTTGTTTATTCCTACGGCAGATGTTTGGGTCAGAGCCTGTGGAGTGTATAGAAGCCACGCCGACATTTCTACCAGAGCCCTGGGACCAGAAATGCGATCAAGTTATGGAGGCTAAGTGGCGGTTCCCTAATGGTGGCATTGGGTCTATTGATGCGAACCTGTCGAACCCTGTGCTCAAGTCAAAGCTTCCGTGGTGTCAGGCTATTCATAAGGAGAAAGTGGTTCAGGATGAGGAGCTAAGTGAGGAGAAGGAACATGTGGTGGTCAAGAGGGTTGTGGGGACCCTGCTGATGCAGCCAGTAGTGTGGCACCGTATCTCAATCACCGAGCAACACACCATACGCAATATCGCCGATAAGAAAGCTCTGAAGTCGTGGACAACGACCGAGTACATGAAAGCATACAAGTGGGAGGAATTCAACGGGAAGAAGAAGGGCGAGGACTGGTGGAATACCTACAGGTGGATGCTGGAGGAATTCGTGAACAAGATCAAAGGAAGAGAAGGGAGTGGAGTCTGGATGTCCCACCAGAATTCGATCCACCAGATGGAGATGATTGATAGCGGATATGCCAAAGCTGGCATGGCGATCAGACCCTCCTCGCATGTTCTCCAATAAGGAATCTGCTTCCAAATCCTTCAAGAGCAACGCGTCTTGGTGTTGACGGCTTAACCACCTAGCTGGTGATCATGCTTTCAGTCCTGACAAGAGGGACCGAGCGGATGTCTCCCAGGATACGGTCTCTGGGAAAGAACCGTTCCCCCCCCCCAGCAATCTCTCCAACGGGATTGGGTCGCAGGAGTGCTTCAGTTCCCTTTCCTACCAATTGAAATTCTTCCCAGAAATCTTCCCTTGCAGCCCCTCGGCGGGGTCGCCCTTCGAAGCAACGATAGCCGGTGTCCAAAGGCCAATCCTGTCAAGAAGGATTGCTTCATCCTTGTGATTTCCTGCCGTTCGCCAACGATCACCAGTATCCACGAATGGGAAGGGGTGGTCAATCCCTCAAGGCACATTTCGGGGAGTTCTTGCAACAATTCATGCGTGGGCGAAACGTTTTGTAAGAGAGGATTTGACAAGCGGGCCGTGCGGGGCCGCTGTCGCAGCCACAGGGGCAAGGCCCTCAAAGAGAGGCACAGCCTTGGGACGAATTGAATCATGATGAACGGAGATCCGAGGGTCTAGTCACTAAGCGATGTATCTTGACGTGGGGTGTGAGCATGGGGTTGTTTCTGCATTGGTTTCTCGAGCCCCTCTTCTTTGTACAAGTGAGTGAAATAATATGTAAATGTCTCGACCTGCTCTGGGAGGCGCAGCTTTCGCCCTGGTACTGGTCCTAGGTGTGGAATCATTCCTCTATTCTTGTACATTCCTTCTCTTCTCTCCTGTTCATTCAGTCGAGTCCAATTCATGCAAAAATGTTGTTGCAGTTGTTGTTTGTTTCTTCGCTACAATGGATCCCAATACGAGCGCAAGTTTATTTCAGCCAGCCGACGGCAGGCGAGATCATCAATGGCGGGGTCCCGTTTATTGTGTCCTGCATGGATTCCTACACTGCGCCATATTTTAGCCAGATGACCAATTTCTCCTTGCTCCTGCTCGCGGGGACATACTCGTCTCCTGTTTGTCCACTTTCCAAGCCACATTTCAGAGCTGTATTGACTTTTGCCTAGGTTACACTCTATGCATGGAACCTCTCCAACACTTCTCCCTCTACCGTCTCCAATAGCATTATATTCCCGCCTTCAATTGGTCCTTCGGCAACCTCGGCCTATTTTCTTGGCATCAAAGGCTCCATTCTAGCCAATACTTCCATCTCAGTCACCTATTTCTCCCCACACTTCACCCTGCATAACATGACCGGAGATACTTCACTCATTCCCTATGTCCCAGCCGCTACGTCTACAGCTTCCAACTGGGTAATAGGTGGGACTACGATTCCTGTGACCCAAACCGCTTCACCGGGGCGGATGATCATGTGCACATCTTCAGATGGCGCCGTCCAGGAAATAGGAGAAACGGGCGGTTACGGACCAATTCTGGATGAGAATTGTGAGCTTGAAGCGTTAAATTATTTGCAAGCCCTAGTCACGCAGACCAGGACTGTGACTGCTATTTCCGCACCGGTCATAACTACACCACCAGCCTTTGCTGCTTTCTCGGATTTGCTCGCCCCATTTACGCCTTCAACTTCCGTCTCTAACCATCAGCCTTCTGCTACAGTCTCAGGTCAGAATCCAACAAGTACAAACAACAATACCAACGCCGGTGTTGCAAGTATAACTTCAAGCAACCCCCAGAACGCAAAGATGGTGGAAATGTTGATTATCGCGGGCATCACGCTCGCAACTGTTATCATTTTATTTTTCATCTGGATGAAGTATGGGAGGAGGCGGTATCCGCATGGCGGATGCGAACATCACGACTGTGATTGTTCGGGGATGAAGAAGATGTGGGATAACGTGAGCCGGCCGATTTTGTATGGGAAGGTGGAGCTGGATACTGAGAAGGGAGGTTTGGTGACTGTATGGCGGAAAGAGAGGGGGGGTGAGGAAACGCAGGGGAGTATGGAGTTGGATGCTAATCGGGAGAGAGGAGAGTTGGAGAGCAGGGAGGGTAGTGGAGAATTGAGTGGACGGGATAGCGAGCCTGAGGTTGAGGAGCCAAGAAAGGCGGTTGTGACAGAAGCAAAGGCATCTTCAAGGTCGAGCAGGAGGAGTGGACGGACAATCGTGGCGGAATTGGAAGGCGATACGGTTGCTGCGGACCCAATGGAGATGCCTACTCCGGACTTTGAGCCCGAGATTATGTGTCCTGTGCCAGTACCAACAATTGGGAAACGAGCAGTCGTCGTTGGGAAATGCGAGCAAGGGATGGTAGTACGTGGAAGAGAAGCAGCTGTCATCGTTGCTGTGAGCAAACGGAAAAGAAGTGATTCAGGGGCGACCGCCACAATACAGAGATCTGGGGATCTGCTACACATTCCTCCGAAGGAGACTCCCGATGTTTGTGAGGATTATCTGCGGACCAAACGGCAAGAGCAGGTGGGGGTGTTGGCGGATGCGACAAGGATACGTGACATGAGGAAAGAGAGTTACTTGATGAGGAAGTCCGAGGAAGGTGCAGAGCGAGATAGGCGGGAGGGACTAGAAGGAGAAAGCTGTGCTTCTCCGCTTGTTTCTCCATGTGAGAACTTCGTGCCTATATCTTAGGAAATATTTCAATGTACAAATATTTCAAGGAACAATGTCTATTTGGCAAGCTTCACTCTCATTCATGGGAAATGAAATGATTCCTGTTCTCTGGTCGAGGGAGGAGGGAGGGACTGCTGCATTCATCTGCACGACCTCTCTGAAACGCAGGCTGATCAAGAAGTTAATTGGAAGAACAATCGGTCTACGTATTCGAAACAACACTGCATGCTGAATGATTGCAGAAAGCTTCCATAAAAGTCAAATGAGCTAATGACTGACAAGCAGCCGCTCCAGGGTATTGCCTCCTGCCCCTGACGAATCTACGCCTAATCCAAAGGCGCCTTACTCCAACAGGACAACAAACGAAACCATTTACACCAGAGACATCTATGTACCCCAATCTAGTTTCTAAGACCAAGATCTAGTTCACCATCTTCTACCAAACACATCATTCTCCTTGGCAGCCGCACTGGCTGGTCTAATTGTAGGAGGTATAACCTTTCTGTCCACCGACCCCTCTCTACTCGAACCCGCACTGCTCGACGTGGAGACTTCCTTCAAGATTCTTGGCTTGGCACCTAAGTCATACTGGGCGGCAGAAGGATGAGGTGGTGCATGCTCAGCATCACGTCTGAACAGCTGCAAGATCTCCTTCATGCCAAGCTTACCTGCACCACCCTTACCACCTTCAATAGTCTGGTTTGCAAGCTCGCGCTTCTTCTCCTGTAGATCTAGGATTCTCTCTTCCACCGAGTCCTTGATAGTAATCTTGTAGACGACGACGTCGATCTTCTGAGTGAGGCGATGGACTCTGTCAATTGCCTGCTCCTCAACGAACTACATTTCATTAGTAAGTAATTTCTAAAGCTTCGGAAAACGAGCTTACAGGATTCCAAAATGGTTCAAGGATGACAACTCGAGTGGCAGCAGTAAGGTTAAGACCCAAAGATCCGCATTTGAGACTGCAAAGCAAAATTCGGCAATTCTTGTCGTTGCGCAACTTAGCAAGGCTGGCTTCACGAAGATCATTCCTCATCTTGCCGTCGTATCGAGTAAACTTGAAGCCTCTCTGTCGTAAGAATGGCTCGATGAGATCCAACATTGACGTGAATTGAGAGAAGACAATGAATTTGTGTTTGGCTGCTTCCTTGCCGAGGATTGCAAGTAAGTGGGTGATTTTCGTAGATGTTGCTACAGAGGCGAGTTGTGCCTCTTCGTCGGAAGAGCCAAATTCGTCCTCGACCTCTTCGTCTGAATCTGTCTCTGAATCTGAGCTTGAGTCTGAGTCCGCATCTGAATCAAGATTGGTCACTTCTCCCTTCATCGTCTGTGATCCTTGCAAATGAAGCTTCTCGAGCGAGGGAAAAGTATCATCATCGGAGCCAATCCACTCCCCGCCACCTTCCGCATTTTCGTCATCAATACCGCCCGCTTTTCCCAGTGTGAGAGAGCCTTGTTGATACTTAGGCACAACCCAGGATCCCTCCGCGTCCTCATCTTCATCATCGCTGTCTTGAATGATAGCTCGATTTCTCGGTTTTCGGACTATGGTCTGAGACTCGGATTTGATCTCACGGTGGTGTTTCCGCTTCTTCTTGTCTTTCTTGGACTTGCGATTCCCTGTGATTTCTGCCAGATCTGCCTCGCAGTCCAAGCAACGGATGGCACCTTGTGCAATAGCGTCCTTGACGAGATCCAGTTGGCAGACCTCGCATTTCTTAGCACCAACCCCCAAGGCACCAAACATTTCGGCCATTTCATCAATCTCTGCATTTGCAGTCTTCGACTTCCCAGTCACAGTAACTTTTGTGTCACCTGCAAGAACCTCGCTATCCTTGGCCAGCTTGCCCGCAACAAGTTTTGGGTGATTGCAAGCTTGTCTGAGACGTAACAGCAGAACTAAAGCACTTGCATAATTGACCTTGCCGCTCATCATCTGCTCGATGCTCGCATCAGTACGTTGCTCCAGGCGCTCGTAAAAGTGGCGCTCCTCCGGTGAGAATTCTGCAAAGACTTTTTCAATCTTGCGTTCCGTGACTTTGAAGCCTGTGGTGCTAGCTTCTCCAAGAACGGATGGCTTTCCACCAGGATTCAAGGCGCCTTCCTTCTTCAAGATTTCCTTTGTTCGGCGTTTCATACAAATATTCAGAAAAGCACGAAGGCGTTTAATAGCAACGTCACCTCTGCCATTCTTCATAGGTCGGTCGATTTGATCCTTCCACTCTTTCAAGTCATCGTAAGGCTTGATCCGCAAGAACTTGATGAGACTCTGCAATTCCTCCAAGTTGTTCTGCATCGGTGTACCGGTCAAGCACCACCGATACTCACTCCGCAGAGCATAACAAGCTTGCGTAGCCTTGGCATTGCGGTTCTTGATGGTGTGGGCTTCGTCGAGAATGACTCGATACCAATGAAGACCAAAACATCCAACCTTGAGTCCATCTGCCTCTGTGGAAGAATTTCCAAATTCTGAAACTAGGATTTGGTAAGTGGTGATTACCACATCGTACCTCTTCAAGTCTTGGAAGCGTTTTGTGCGTTGTGGTCCGTGGTGAACACAAACGCGAAGAGCATGAGAGGGTTCGACTTTCTCCTTGATCTCTAATTCCCACTGTCGAATAAGAGCCAAAGGGGCAACCACCAGTGTGGTTTTCTCCAAGCCGGAGGGAAGCTTTCGCTTTGTGATGATGGCATCCTCTGTGGGTTTGGGGTTGGTAAGGATGAGAGATATGGATTGCAGAGTCTTTCCAAGCCCCATATCGTCGGCCAAGATTCCGCCCTTGGGGACCTTGCCTTTTTTCCCGGTGCCAAGTTCTCTGCCTGTCATCCATTCAAGACCTTCAACTTGATGTGGAAGCAGCTTGACCTTGACTCCCTCAACAGTGCCATCATCTTCGTCTTCGTCCTCGTCCTCAGAAGCGACGTCGAATTTCTCTTCATCTACGCTCAAGCCCTTCAAATTGTCCATTAGACTGTCGAATCCCAAATCCTTTCTCTTCTTCCGTAATCTGGTTCTAGGCATGTCATCTTCGTCCTCGATAACTCCCTCCAATAGGGCTTTCAGATCCTCTTCTGCCTTTTTCGGGTCGACAAAAGTGTATGGTCCGGGGGGGACATATGTTTCGCGGTAGTTATTCATGGTAAGATCGACATAGTTGCTACTATTAATCGATTGAAACCCTCCATATGTTCCTCCCATAGAGCCAAAAGTTTGAGGAGGTGCAGCTTTGGTTGTGGTATAAGAGGGGATTTGCGGGCCCGGTGCTCGAACTGGGACAGAATTATGGCCACTATTCAATACATCAGATCATGACTGGCGAGGAGTATGTGATTTTCTTACGCATAGTTTGTCTGGTACGAAGCGGGAGCCTTTGGCACGAAGGGGTCGATTACTTTGCGGGAGGCATCTTTAAAGGCTTGCAGATGGGGATATGCTGCATCACATCAGCCTCAAGTACTGAGAAAAGGATCCAAATTTCATACCGGACTTCTCGCCATCCCTGTGATGCTCAGGTCGAGACTTGGGCTGAATAAACACACTTGATGATTCCCTAGCTGGAGCTCGATTGAGTGGCGATTGCGGGAGTGTGGGCTGGCCGAATTGAGGTATGCCTGGCTGAGGAGCCTTAAAAGGATAAGAGCTCTCTGTCTGCTTTGGGAGCTGTTCGTTGGCCATGACGGGGTTTAAAGGTGGATTGGGTGCCTTAACGGGTGATCTTTCATTGACCATTTTGTTTCGACGACTCTGCTCTGTGTTCGATGCCTCTTCTTTTGAGATACCAAATACGAATGGGATCGGGCAGCTGTTTTCGGTGGACTTTATGGCACTACCAAAGTCGAATGAAGCAGGGGAGTTGAAAGAGAAGAGCGAGGAGGAATCGCCAAGTTCGCTGAGATTTTTGGTTCTTGAGGTGGGCGAGTTCGCGAGCCTGTGATGCGAAGGAAGTTCTGGTTGAGAAAATATTGTCCTTTTCGATCCTGGAATCCGTTGCGAGTCGTTTTGTTGACTTGGGGAATCCCTCCCTTCCCTAAAGTTCGGAGTGTCTCTTGCACCTAGGGTATTATGTGGGGTGAAGGAACCTCTGCCATGGAAGGTTAGCTGAATAGATCAATTAGGCATTCAAAGGGGACAAACCTCATGGGATTCGGTCCCTGGCAGTCGTGTTCTTAGCACCTGCTGAGAAATTTATGGTGTGTATGAGAGTCTGGTACGTGGAAGTCGCGCTCGCGTTGATCGTCGTCGTCATAGGCAACGGCGGCATAAAAAGCAAGGTTTGTGGAAACCACTTTACGCGCAGACGCGTACAATGTATGCGTTATTATTTGTCGACTACTTGAAATACTTGTGGTGTCCCACGTACAATGAAAGGCCAACCAATTACTCAATTTCTCCCTCCCGACCATTTTCCATTTCAGTAAATACAGTTCCTGTTTGACTGATTTCATATTCTTCTAATCTAGTACCTCTTCTCATCGAAGGAAATACCCATTTTTGGAACTGAAGCCCAGAAAACTGCAACGGTTCATCCAAGCCCGAGATTTTTGGGTTCTTCTCATCATGTTTTCGCAAACAATGTTTCCAGTTAGACTCCATCCATTAAATCTTTGGGTATCTAATTCCTCGCTATTCATGCCCCGCGCGCCGAGATCTATGAGAATCTATAGTCATACAAGTACAATTCCTTTTCCAAATCCACCGTAGCTTCCGCGTATTATCAAGAGGCGGGAGACTCATTCCTGGTCTCAGGCCGCTGCAGTTTCTTCCCCTTTGTCTCAAAAAGGGACTTAACTCTTCTCAACCGGCGAAGCATTCTTTTGTCCTTTTCATCTCGAATACTTTTCGCAGCTTCGTCGTCGACTTCCGTTCCAAACGTGCTTTCAAACTCACTTGCATTGTCGACTGAGGGCTGTCTCGACTCTCTGCTCCCAAGGCGTTCCCCACTTGATCTCAGATGATGATGATTCTTGAGAATCCGTATGATGATTTCCCAGCCAGCCAAGGCACTTGTCGATGATATGGCAGAAGCCTTCAGCCCATTTTGTGAGGCTGCGTTCTGCCAGGGACAGTAATCCCTATGTTCTTTGACGATGTCTAACTTGCTCATCGCCGCTCCTGTGATTTCTTCTCCAGCCTCATTGACCTCTTTGCTCTTAAATAACCAAAGACCAAGGACTCTAAAACATGCTTGGCATGAGACTGATCCAAGTTGTTCCCCTAATTTTTCATGATTATGCCCTTGCCATCCGAATAACGCCATCACGAAAGCTACCCGGTTCACTTCTTGTTGTACAGGATTTTCGACATGTTGAGCAGAAGTACATGCGAAGAAGTCTGATGGAAGGTAGCTCAAAATTAAGTCTAGGTCAAATCCCGGAGGTGTCCGCACATTCATCATATATGGAAGAGTCTCCTTTCTAGCGCATAGCTCGTCGTACCGATCGTGGAGTTGGTGGATCGTTGTGCCTGGATGATTGAGGGGTAGCTTGAATATAGAATCTAGCATGAAATTAGTATTTCTGATTTTCAAACAGAGGAACACTGACCGTCACACCCTCGTTTCCTCCAAAGGCAGCTTTCTTCGTGAGACGTCTCGATGAGTTCCCGGTACTTTTGCACCAAAGCATCCTCTAGAAAAACGTCAATAAAACCGTGATCCAAGGTCGATAGATAGCGTACCAATATTCTGCGCAACGTATACAGGCACCTCCTTGCCATCCACCTCTTTGCGATTCAGTTTCACCAGGATCTCGACATTGCACAAGGAGCAGCGGACTCGCTCCAACTTCTGGCAGACCCAACCTCGTTTTGCCCACTCGACCTCGTTGACCTTGGAAGGCTTCGGTGTCCAATCGGTCAGATTCGAGAAAGACTTTAGTCGCTGGAGGAATGCCATGCGATCCCAAGGAGCATATTTCGGTGTATCGCCAGAATCGGGGCCTACCATAGACCTTGTGTTTTTGTCTCTCATCGTTGGGTTGGGTCTAAGAAGAGTAGGATTCGACTCATTTGTTCCAGAGAAATCCGCAACTCGACGTTTCTTAGCCTGCAAATTTTCGCTCGTTGTTGAGATCGAGTCGGCATTGTTGGCTTCCTTTGAAGAAACGTTGGTGGTCGACTTTGTCCCAATCCCATTCAGGAGGGCGTTGAATTTGCGCTTGGTTGCATTCATGGTAGGTCTCTGGCAAGTACTACCTCTTAAATTATTTCCAATGCGTAAAAAAAGAGGTTGGAGGCTGAGTTATCCAACGTATCAAGTATGCCTGCCGTTACTGTCCACGCGCTTCCGCTTAGTCGTGCTATACAACCGCCAAATTTGTTAGCGAAGCCAGCCTGAAAATCAAACTCCCGATTAATTTCTTTAACAGCCAGCATACTTAGGTTCCCTTGAAAAACACCATTAATTAATGCGCAGTCTATAGGAGTACCCCTCTATAAAGTTGTAAAAATTTAATTGCCATTGTTATGGAAGTTAATATAGAAAACGTTGATTTTCGGCCCGGATTTCGGTGTATCGCGACTCCGGGCGTGCTGTCGCGGTTGTCAAAAGGAACTTCTGAAAGTTGTGACCGTGCCATCCCTGCAACAAAGGACGCCCACAACCTTTGACACGATGACGAGGGATCTGCTCCGCAAAATTCCCAGTGGTTTAATTTTACCATCCGCTTATGAAAATGATATCTCGCAAGGTTTGGAATGTACATCTATGTCACCACAAGCCAAAAATACTTCGAAATCGTCTCCAAGACTTTTCTCCTACCGGGTCATCTTCACTTCAATCCTCGTCGTCACTCTGGCTGCCCTGCTGACAAAAGTTCTGCCCCGCATTTCTCTCCTTTCTCGCCATCTTACCCCTCCCAGAACCCTCTTTACAACGACCAAAATGTCTGCATACAGCAAAGAGCTGGAAGTGGCACAGCTCGCTGTCCAGAGAGCATCACTTCTCACCAAGAAAGTCTTCCATGAAAAGGCCAAAGGAACAGTCTCTAAAGATGACGCATCCCCAGTCACCATAGGAGACTTTGGTGCTCAAGCACTGATCATTCAAGCTATCAAAAAGAACTTTCCGGACGATCAGGTTGTTGGTGAGGAGGAGGCAAGCACATTAAGAAATGATATCAAGCTTCGAGATCAAATATGGGCTTTCGTCAAGGATACGACACTTACGGATGCCGACGCCGAGAGAATTGTGGGGGGCCCAATCGAGACCATCGATGCCATGTTGGGTGCCATTGATGCTGGCAACAGTGCCGGAGGGAACAAGGGAAGAATTTGGGCTCTTGATCCTATTGATGGGACCAAAGGCTTCCTGAGAGGAGGTCAATATGCTGTTTGCCTAGCATTGATGGTGGATGGAGATGTCAAAGTTGGTGTTTTGGGCTGTCCAAACCTTCCAGTGGATGACGCGGCACCCTTAACTGCACAATCAGGTGTTGATCAAACGGACGCTGAAGGAAAGGGTGTTTTGTTCTCTGCTGTTTCTGGTCAGGGTGCTACAAGCAGGCCCTTAGGGACGGCTGGACTTGGAAAGAGCAAACCCATTCAGATGAAGCCGGTCGAGGATATCACGCAGGCCACCTTCTGTGAGAGTGTGGAAGCAGGACATTCTTCTCACGGAGATCAACACGCAATTGTCACAAAGTTGGGTGTGACGAAACCTAGTGTTCGAATGGATTCGCAAGCAAAATACGGTTCTATTGCCCGAGGAGCCGGCGATATCTATCTCAGATTACCAGTTAGCGCAACCTATCAAGAGAAGATTTGGGATCATGCAGCTGGAGACCTTATTGTTCGGGAGGCAGGCGGAGAAGTTACGGATACCTTGGGAAGACGCTTGGATTTCAGCAAAGGAAGAACACTCCAAGAGAACAAGGGTGTGGTTGCAGCACCAAAAGCTGTTCATGGCAACGTCCTTGAAGTGGTGAAGGAGGTTCTAGCCAAGAAATAAAGTGGTTCGGGCATTCAATGGAATAGAAGAAAATAGACTGTGTTCTGCCTATTCTCGTCCTACCAACGCCATATGTTTACATATTCCATACATATTACATTATACAGTCCAGCCAGCTTCTACTTAATCTTCTTCGCCTTCAACTTGATCGTTTCCCCATTCACGAATATACCCTTCCCCTTGTACGGCTCCGGTTTCCTCCACATTCTAATCTTGGCGGCAAACTGTAGGATAACCTCCTTTTCGACGCCCTCTAGCAATATTCTTGTTGGCTGAGGAACAGTAGCCTTTACACCTTTCGGTACGGGAAGCTCGATGGGATGCGAGTATCCAACTTTCAACACAACAAATTGCTGGCCATCGAATTCCGGGGATACGGTGGTCGCAGTGTCCTCGACCGTAGCTCGATATCCAACTCCCACTAATCTTAAAATAGCTGTATGACCTTCTGACACCCCGAGGATGTGATTTTGTAGGTATGCGCGAGTAGTCCCTGTGTAAAATAAGTACATTGTCCCATTTCGAAAAGGCGGATGCCATACCCCACATCTCACGCTGTTTCTTGACCTCTCTGTCTTCAACTGTGACGTATGCCTTCCTTGTAGCTTCATCATGTTCAAGATTTACAAATGCCGGAATAGTCATTGACATCTTGCCTGTCATACAATCAGAAAAGTCGGTCTACGATTGCTTGAGCAACGTACCCAATGGCCCTTCAATCACAACAGTCGGCCGAGCTGCAGCTGGCGCCATATTCTTCTTGATAACAGGTGGAATGACATTGAATTTGACTTCTGGGGGAATTGATAAAGGTGCTCGTCCGATTTGCGATGGCCGGCATGTCGAAGCAGAGAATGGCCGTGAGGGAATGATTGGAAAGGCTGGCAGCAGGAAAGCTGGTAAAGAAACGGATGGAGAGGCAGCAATTACTCTCTCCAGTCCTTTTGACCGCGTCGTAGAGAACATTGCCTATATGCTGTCCTTGTGGGGGGATGTTGAACTTCGAGGTCTCAATATTTTTAGCCCTTTCCCGTTCAAGCTCCAGCCAGACACGTGATCAGGAGAAGAACCCCTGTCAGCATTTCCTCGACTCGAACGACTGCAGATGAAAACTCGATTTCATGAGAAGAAAAGCTCAACGAATATCGTCCATTGTGCAAAACTGAATGGCCCCCCGACTCGGAGAAAGGTGCGAATTGGATCTTGAGATCAATGTAGTATTACTATGTTCCTCTTGAGCAGTTTTCGATTTCTGCTCAAGCAATGTGAGCACAAAGCATGGTCTTATTCCGACATTGTCCTTCCAATTATCTCTGATAAGCCTTGGAAACGCGACTTGGTGAAGTATTGGAAGTTCCCAATGTTTCACCATGTCTACCGCCATTCTCTAAATCTCAATGTCCGATGACAACAAAACACATTGGTGGCATGGGATGAAAACAGACTTCAGATGATACAAATCAATTGAGACGGACACTGAATCAAGTGTCAAATCAACTTACTCTTCTCTTTAAGAATACTTTGGCCTATCATATATCTTCACATGGTTTAAGAAAAGCCAAATAGAGGCGGAGAAACATGCATCTTTGTTCTTGCACGCGTCCTCCCAACATTCACACTCTTTTTCTGCCGGACTGTAAATCAAGTCTCCCTCTTCCTGCTTCACAGCCTCATCGACCACATCAGGTACATAGAAGCTCTCGCTTATCGTGTCGATAGACAAGGCTGAGCCCGTGGAACACCTAGAGGACAACTACTTTCCTGGGGTCCATCTTCTCAAGCTTTCCTTCCTCCAGACCCTCCCACCTTCTACCCTCCCCATCGCTCCACTTCACGACACCACCCCCTCCGAACCCACACCACTTCGTAAAACATTGATCAACCACTCCATCCCTTTACAACACCATCAAAGATTGTACCACGCATCGAATCGCGATCAGGGTCGAGGCTGACGAGTTTCGGAAGATTGACCTTCACCTTGGCCACTCACGTAAGTTATCCCTTCACACCCCTCCTACTCCTGCTTCCTTGAAGTCTTCGCGTTATCTGACCATCACCTCCTAGCAGCAGTAAACATCCACCGGCCCAGCCATGAAGATCTCAAGACTCCTTCCGTTCGTGGCAGTATGGTCTCGTGCTCTTGCCTACAGCATGTTCAGCAGCGCCTCATCCGAGAAAATGACCGACAATGGTGAGTCACAAATGTACTGAGGTCCTGTTGTCTAACAAATACAATAGGTCGAAATGAACTCGAAGATGTCGCTTTCGACTTCAATCCAGCTGAGCTGATCGATCCGAAGTCGCGTCGACCAAAGATCTATATTAATGCCATCATTGAGCTCAAGCGTCTGGAAGAAGAGCCTCTTTGCCACCGTATGGCAGCTCAACTTCTAATCAACAATTGCCGTGGGCTTGAAAGCATCGACGAGCACAATTACGATGCAATGAAGAGCCACCTCCAGAGATCCCACGTCGAAAGCTTCGCATGTAGTCTTGCCATTTGCGATATGGAACGAGCGAGATCGCCAATTCCGGAACAATGCAGCCCATATGCAAGTTCGTCCCTCCTCCGAGCCGCTCGTGATGCCAATTCCAAGTTACAAGTGTCTCCCGAGCAAGTTGGGGACTGCCTCAACGCCCTCACCAACAATCCCAATCATTGGAACACATGGCTCAGTTACCGCGATAGGGCGTTGCTGTTCTGTCGTGCTGCCCGCGTTGATATCGACAAAGGTTTGATTAATAACCCTTTCAAATGTAACGATGTTCTGATAATTTCTAGATAATTCAATTCATCTGGCTAAGAAACTAACTGAAATCTTGGAGGACTTCACCAATGATCTCCGAGTAGATCTTGATGAATTGAATCAAAAGATTGCGCACAATGGACGTGAATTCGATTCGTATTTCGAGAAGATGTCAAACCATGTCGAGGACTGGGTGTCTAAGGTTCAAAGCAGCTTCGAATCGGTTTCGGTGAATGTTGAGGTAAGATCGATTCTTTTGAAGCAGGAGTAATAGCTTATCACGGCCAATAGACTGTCAAGTCGTCAATAAAATCGGTTGCCGATACCTCAAATGATGCGGCCCATAGGATGGAAAAGATTATCAGCACATTCTTGCAGGGGCATGCGCAGATGGCAGACGAGCAAGAGAAGGCTCTGGAAGTGACTACGAACAAGGTCCAATCACGTATGAAGGCCCTTGCCGACCTGGTTGGAGAGACTCACGAGGGTACAATGGAGCTGAAGGCTACTTTGCAACTTCTCATTCCCGTGGTCCTTGATCTTTCCGCCCGCCAAGCAGACATGGAAGATGTAAGACCTCCTGCTAAATTGCTGCACGTTATTGACATTTTTCTTAGAAATCCGCGGCGATGTTCTCTACCCTGGTCAATGCTACTGAGCTCTTGCAGACGCATACGCAGAAGCTGGCACAGGCACAGACCGCTGTCTCTGGGATCCACGAGAATCTGGACCGAGCTGCTGAGGCTGTCAAATCATGGACTGAGAACCTTCCAGCCGGTGGTGGGTGGTCAGATTGGGGCTTACGCATCGGTACTCCATTGGCAACATTGATCCTTGGGAATTATGGCATCACTCCCACAGTTACTATGAACGCTGTGTTCTTGATCTCTGGTACGTACTTGAGAAAACACTGAAGATCGTTGAGCTAATTTACATCAGGCTTGCTTGGTGGCGAGACTGTTGTTCATCTCCGACGTCTGGGGCTATCGTACAACTGGTCCTGGATGTGGTGGCAAAGCAGCGACTCCGAGAGGCTATATCATCCACACATGCCTCAGGAGCAAGCCAAGTCATCCCTGGTGACAACACCCATCAAATTCGAGACTGCTTCGACATCCACCAGCACGGATTCGAGCTTCCAGGACGTCCATGTTGACATGGCGTGACGAATGTTCCAAGCAACGGTTAAACATTCGGGACAATTCACTACCATACACAACATCATGAAGTCTTTAACCTTCTCGACAGATTGGGGGATTTCCTCACAAAAAATATTGCTATTTCTGGCAAAGGTTACGAATATCGGGGCATTTGCATCTAGAGCTTTGCAAATTAAATGGGATACTATGAAGGAATTGGAGGAGGTAAACGGGATTAATTGCTCTGGAAAGGTATAAGCCATTGGGTTGAATCGGCCTCGAAAAATGTGATTTGCATACGGCGGTTTGCAAGTAATAACATAAGAGGGCGGGACTGGAAGAAGGAAAAAAGGAGACCGCTTGGAAGACATATGAGAAAAGGGTTGAAGGAATGAAGTGAAAGGGAACGGAATGGATATGGGGAATATGTTTATTGGGCTTGCATTAGCGGATTGCTCATGCTGATATGCTAATTGGGGAGTGAGGTTATCGAATGTGGAGGGAAAAGGATGGATTGGGGTGCAGAACCTCAGGAAAAGGAATGAAAAATTGCACATATGCGTCTCAGCTCGTATTCCCGCTTGTCCTGATAATTGTGAATAATTAAACGACCGGTATCATCAAATTGATAACTTGCTGTAGCACAATCGCGGTGGACAGGAAAAGCGGTACGAATTTTCAATGTCTGCAGTCAAAGCTGGACATTCATTTGGGGTCGAGGGGGGCAGGAACAGGTATTCTAGATACCTGAGATATCCGAAGGGGGCAGATAGTCTTCGTTTGAATGTGCAATATCACGTTGGTATATTTAGAGGAAGTGTTGGAATGCCCAGCTCGACTTGGGACATTGAAAATGAGTGCTGCTTTCTGTCCGCCAGGAGGTACAGTCCAAACGAAGAAGCGAAGATTCATGTAATTCCATAACAAAATTATCTGCTTACAAAATCCCACATATCATCTCCATCGGAAACGACGCCACAAATGACACGAATGCGATCCCAGATCGATTGTATGCCAAACGTGCTCGCCCGGCTCAATACAAGAGATAAATGTAGTTTGCAATTATTGTCCGATAAAGAGAAGTTACAAATTGGGTATAGGGTATCGTATGCCAATTTTGGTGCAAGTGACGAACTGAACCAAGGAGAATGGAAAGAAGGAGGCCTCGTGCCATTAAAGTTGTTGTGACGGGATCGGGTACACATCGCCTGGGGAGGGATTCGGAACGGTCGTTTCTTCTCTCCGAAGTATGGAGAAATAGGCCGTGCAGGAAGCTGAGAAGAGGTGAAATTAGGCGTTGACCTGAGAAGTCGACGGGGAGACATCGGTGATCGACTGGAGTGACCTGTTGGGGGAGTTTGAGTCGCTGCTATTTCAATCCGCAAAAGGGGGTGGCATACCTCAAGTTGTCTTTCTTCAAATCCTCATTCATTTGCTCCAATTGCTGTGCTGTGATTCTAGCTTTCGCTATCTATATTCCATCAAAAATAAAGCCGTCAGCAGGTTTGTCCTTTTGCGGCCGTGCAGCTGGGGAAGTCGAAGATTGAGAAGATTTTGCAAGAGAATGGTCTAAAGGAAAACAGGATTAGGAGAAAGGTTGCCGGACCGATGCTAATGCGGCTGATGAACTGTCATGCTCACCTTCCACCGCATCTGACTTAGCTGGAGCAGCATCGTCTTCCTCAGCATATTTGCTGGCAGCAAGCCCCTTGGCAGTTGTGGGCGTCTTGGGTGAAGGAAGTGCGGTGTTCTTGGTCTGCGAATTCATATCAGGATCAATTTGTGAAAACGCCATCAATCAAATGAAGGAGAGGTGTACCTTTACCTCAGCAAGCTCAGCATCCTTCACTTTGAGATTGGCTTCGGCCTCCTTCAATCGAGTTTCAACATCCGCAGCCTTCTTGGTTGCCTCTTCGACAAGCTGACCCATGGAATCATGCAAGGAGTTGTAGTCAGACTTGCTTTCCTCCTTCTGTCTAGCCAGTTCAGCCTGCAACTTCTCGAGAGACGCCTTCGTAGCTAGATGCTCTTCTGTGGCTTTTGCTGACTCCTGTTGAGCAGTCATAAGAGCTGCTTGGTGTTGGTCTTTCAAAGCTTGAAGTTCCTTGCGGAGAGCATCTGCTTCGGATGTATCTGGCTTCTTGCTCTTAGCAGCTTCCAGGTCGGCCTGAGCAGAAGCCTTTTCCATCTTCTCACGAGCTAGATCCTGCTTCAGAGCATCCAATTCAGCGTGCGCCTTGAGTAAGGAAGAATTCGTCTCTGCAATTTCGGCCTGCAACGCAGTCACAGTGGCCTGTGAAGTGTTAGCATCCCATATCACCTAAAAACTCGGTCACAGTGTTACCTTTTGCTTCTCGGCATCCGAAGACGTACTCGCTTGACTTGCCCCATGCTGCTCCTTCAGGGTGGCTATTTGTTCGGAATAGCTTGCGTGGATCTCTTTCACCTCGCTAGCATGAGTGGCGTCCACAGCAGTGGTTGCTCTGTCGTGAGCCTCGTCCAATTTTTTTGCGTGAGTAGTCTTCAGATCCTCGAGTGCCTTTGCATGAGTAGTCTTCAGTTCCTCGACTGACTTTGCCTGTGCGGTCTCTCTATCATCAAAGACAACAATAGCTGCGGCATGGTCTTGCTTAAGTTTTTCCAACTCCTTAGCATGAGTTGTAGTAGCATCAGTATGGGACTTGATGAGTTCCTCATGCTTTGCCTGAAGAGCATCCAATTCCTCCCTGACACCGGAATTGCCTTGCAACGAGTCGATTTCCTTTTGGTAGTCGTTGGAAACGTTTTCAAGTTGTTTTTGGTGCTGTTCGACTTCCTTTTGGTGTTTCTGTTGCAGCGATGCTATCTCTTTGGTCTTATCTTCGAGACTCTTCACGGTAGCGGCAAGCTCTGCCTTCACCTTATTGTGCAATTCATCCCTGCTCCTTCCATCCGCATCAAATGTGTCCATCATCTGTTGAAGAGATGTAACTTCTTGCTCAGCCTTGGCCCGATCAGCCTTTGCTGTCTCTAATGCCTTTCCATCTTCTGAACTCTTGAGCTGCAAAGCCTGAAGCTTCTTTGAAGTGGCACCAAGTTCTTCCTGGGCTAAAGCGAGTTGTTTCTGAGTTGACGTGGACTTTTCTCCTAATGCTTGAACCTCCTTGGTTGACTTTGCCAACGAATCCGAGTCAGCCTTTGCCTTCTCCTCCAAAGTAGCAAGTTCTACCTCCAATTTTGAAATAATTGCCGCTGACTCCGTTTGGTGACTGTCCAGCGTTTGCTTATGTGAAGCTTCCAAAGCGGTCTGCGCGGCAGCTGCCGCCTCGAGTTTGCTTCGAAGCTCGCTACTAGAAGCCTCATGCTTTTGGGTAAGGTCTGCAAGTTGCTTTTCGTATACAGACGAAGCCTCCGTGGTGCCCTTCACAAGCTCTGCAGAATGATCAGATTTTAGTGTAGCTACGGCAGACTCATGCTCAGCGGCTAGCGACTTCTTCAAATCGTCCAGTGTTGTCTGGTGCTCAGCGATCAACGACTCCAGCTTTGTCTCGTCTTGTGCAATTTGGGATTTAAGAGCTGTAATTTCAGCTTCCTTCTCGGCGGAAAGCTTCGAGGAAGCGGAATTGGCCTCTCTAGCACTAGCTAATTCGGAATTGAGTGCTTCAACGGCGGAGGCATGTTCAGCGGTCAGCTTTTTAAGGGCCTCCGCTGTCTCTGAAGTTCCCTTCGCAGCTGCAGCCTGGTGTGCCTCTTCGATAGCTTTCAAGGACGACTCATGAGCAGTCGCCTTAGCAGCCTCAGCCTCAGCCAATTGAGCTTGAAGTTCCTCGACATCGGCCTTGTGTTTTGCGCGCAGCTTCTCGACCAATTCATGGTGTTGTGCCCCAAGAGTCTCTTCTGTCTCGGTCACACGCTTCGCTTCCTCTTCAATTTGTTTTCCCAGCTCCAGCAATTTCTCTTGGGAAGACGCAATCTCTTTTTGAAGTTCCTCGACTCGGGTCTCGCTGTCTGCTAACTTTGCCTTCAGTTCGTCCACTTCTTTCGATGAGACGGCAGTCGTTGAGTGTGCTGGGCGTGCGGCGGGCTTTGAAGCACTTGGCGACCCTGATATTGTCGAAAGGCGCTTCTTCGTATCTGCAACAACACTGGAGGCTGCTGGCTTAGCAACCGGTGCAGACCTGCTCGCAGAAGTGCTTGAAGTCAGAGGGGCCCGCGTAGATGTACTGGATGTGCTCGATGTTGAAGGTTTGAGGGCGGGCTTAGGGCTCGATGCGCTCACTGAAGTCGCTGGCTTCCGAGCGGTGGTCGAAGAGGTAGTCGTGGTTCCTCGCTTTTCGGCCAGCGTTTCCGACTTCACAGGAGTGTGATGAGCACCTGAGGTTGCTAGAGAGGTTCTCCGAGCTGCTGCTGCAAGCGGCTTCTTCTTCTCATCACCAGATCCACCTCCTGTTGAGGGAGTGGATTTATGTCCAGCACTGGCAGATGTGGGGGCGGTGGCGCTGCTTGTCGACTTTCGAACAGAAGAACCAACAGGTGGTCGGGTTGGAGGTTTGGAAAGCCCACCAGCCGTTGTTCGAGTGGCAGATGATGTCGTGGGCTTCGTTGCAGACGAGGTTGCCGTTGTGCCTGGCCGCTTCGGAGCAATGCCACGCTTTGGGGGAACATTCTCCTTCTTGACGCCATTGGCAGCCTCCTTTGGCGGGGCTTCTTTCTCAGTCTCGGGGTCGATTTCCGATGTTACCCCAGTAGTGTCATGGTCAGATAAGATGTCCGCAGGAGCTTCGTCCTGATGGGCGACTTGGGGAGCTTCAACGTCGGCCATGACGCAGGTCGCTAGATTGGAATGGTAGGCTGGATTTGGGGGAAGCTCTAACACTGGACACTGGAAAATAATTAATGAATTAGCCTTGTTTCAACGATTTGATTTGAAGAAGCTGAAGTGATGGAGCGCAAAGAGCGGACGCGCGCCAGTCAACACGAGTGACACGTCACGGTCCATCAATGGAGTTTTCTTGACCACGACAACAAGGGAGCGCAAGTGAAGATGTTCTTGCCAGAACAGATGACCGCGATCATCCTCGATCTGCGGGGGGCTCGAAGACTTACATCGTGTTCTGCACCGCCTAATCCGTTTTTGCGGTTGCGCGAATTGAGCGGAATACGCGACTGTTGATAGCTCCGTGAATCGTATCTCTGCGTGAATATCGGCGACCAGATGGGGATAATGGTTCTTGGACAACGGGGTATCAGAATTCCGCGCTGATGAAGCGAGAGGGATAGCAGATTATTGCTATGGGACTTCGTGCAAGGAGACTGGCTCGGGAGCGGATGATTTAGAGCTCGGGGTGGTTCAGTTCAGGGGTTGCAGACCCAAGCTCCGCGATCCACGCAGCTAGCCGCTTCCAAAGGTCCCTGCGTTCGTGCAGATGTCAAAATCTTTCTTGCACCACCAGCACTACTTGATTTCTGTACGCAATTTATTCCTTAGTCTAGTGGTTGCACATAACAGAACCCATTATTATTCAGTTGTCGCTCAAGGCTGGGTTGCGCGAAGGCTAACTCTGCGATCAGCGAGTCGATTCTCCATTGCAACCTTCTATTTTTACCCACAGACCTGAATTTGACGCGAGAGCTCTTAATCAATTGTGGAAATAAGACCGCAATGGCGCATCCCGAACGAAGGCTGCTTTATTCTCCCGGTCCCGATCATTTGGTCTCAAGCTGCTGGTCCTGGTCATTGCAAGCGTTTTGTCGAGATGATATCGTCTTGAAGCTTCTTGGGGGAACTGTGGAACTTTCCCCCTAGAATCATCCATTTCTTGATTCCAATTGTTGTTATTTTGGTCTGGTTTCCAGCAGAGCAAGTAGGGACTCGCAGTGGACACATAAAGCAGCACTCATTTTCAATGTTCCAAGACAAAGTTGTACATTTCTACTCCTCTCTGAATGTACCCCCGGCTTGTGGTCCATTCTCCATTCAAAGTCGACCTTCGCGAATATCTAAGAGATTTTGAACTCTGGAAATTCCTTTCTAATACTGAGTCTAGCTAACTTTCGAACTTTGACTTGGGACATTGAAAATGAGTGGCGCTTTTTCTGGGTATCGTGAGGGGGACCAGGAGCCGTGTTCAACCACTAGTCAGGAACAGAGGGCAGTGGCTCTCGCGCCCAGACCTTTACACTTTCTAAGTGGGAGGACCTGATTCAACAGGCAGTAAACAGGCATATCACAAGCATGAAGATGATCATTCTGGTTTCTATCCAACTAGTTTTGTTTTATAGGTGGTCGATTAGACTTCAGAAGACCGTAATCCTGTATTACTAAGATGTATGATGCTTGAGCTAAATCAGAGGTTGAGTTTGAATCGAAACAAAATCCCATGAGTCCCACAACGGAATTGATGTCTGCACAGGTCCAGAGAACACACTCCCTGATACACTGGCATATTAATCATACTGCTTCCAGCCCCCACACATTTCAACGGGGCCACCCAAAGTATTTCCCAAACAGGCATTCGTGCAAGCTTTCGCTCTACCAAGCTCGTCGGAATTGGAGCCGATGCTACTGTGGCGGCATAGCAGTCTCTTCCGTGCTCAAGGCCAACGTAGTGGTAGTTAGTAACCGGCACCGCGGTCTTTCGAGATGAGGCTGCGGAGATGCAGAGTGCTGGGTTCATCTTGTGGGTTTTCAAGAGGATGGTCATGTCTTGGTCGGAAAAGTCGCCTCGAGCGTCAACTTCCAGGAAGCAGCCAATATGGCTCCACCCGAGTGTGTGCACAGGAAGGCTGGATGTTGAGGTTTTGGCGGATGAAGTAGTCCGGCGAGAGGAAGTGAGTAGAGTAGTAGAGGATATCCGTCCAGAGGTTGATGTCGAGACTGCATATTTGGATGAAGATGAGCTTGAAGAATGCACGGAAGAGGAAGGTTGTATCAAGGACATCGACGTGGATTTCGTTGTTGACGAGGTTTTCGAAGTCAAGGTTGAACGAAGGGTATAAAGATTCAATCTCAGAGCAGCACCGCATAAATCCTGGCTTGCCCCGCCACAGGGGAAAGAACTAAATAGTGTTGGTTTGACAAGATACCGGGCTACTACTAACGGAGGAGCTTACCGGCCTGAAAGAGGTGCTACAATACTCTCATAGGATAATGTATCGCCGCAATGGCCTAAACACTGTTAGATATTTAGAATAAAACACAAAAGATTTCTCTTACATTCACGACCTGAACTGCGCATCATCTCAAATTAGCATTTATTTAGAAATAAAAACATGGAGTTGAGATGGTGTCTTTTGTGGCGTTTAATTTCAAAGTCACGGGCTACGGAGTAAAAAGCTCGCAAGACATGTAAGGTTAGGAAATAATGCTCATCGAAAATAGGACTTAACATATTCTGTACCGAACATTCTATTCGACAAGTCAGCCATGTTTGCACTGTGAAGTTGTAGATGAAGAAGCCTTGCCCGTAACCTGCACAGAAGCTGGCACAAAGTTCATTCGTCATAATATTGCCCGCGGACGCCAAGTTTGTTGGAGCACGCAGAAAAGTTCCTTCCGTTTGACAGTTTGAGAACGAATACGGTCCAATTATAGGAATTATCGATGGCGTTGGAGTTTGTGGAAGGGGTGTCGTCGCACGGTAGAGTGACAACCTACTACTGCCGCCGTAAGTCTCGCTTGAATTCGCTGCCTAATAGGCTGTCAAAAGATATAACGGTGTGATTAAAGGGTGTACATTACACATGGAGAATTGCATTCTGGCCTAGTGACCCGGGCGACAAGGTATTGCCGCAGTAACACTTTCATTGTCAGTAAATTATCAACACTGGCCGGGATTTGGGCGAGATACCTCACGGCCATATTCAACGCCCCAATATTTGTAGATGCCTGCACAGTAACCGGCACAGTATTCCAAAGTCATAGAATCAGAAGCATAAGAGACGGTAGTCAGGGCTCTGACATTACTTGGCTCAGCCCAGCAACCAAGATATGTGTATGGTGTGGCTGTGGCTGTGACGGCTTTGGTGAGCCTGGCAGCCAGACCGAACAGCAAGAAGTAGGAAAGCATCATAAGAGTTGAAGTAGAGGCAAAAGAGTGCTGAGTGGCTAGCCAAGGAAGTGATCTGCAAATGAAGGAGTGACTGAGTAGGAAAAAGAGTTGCGCATACAGAGGTTCGCTTGAAGAGATTCGTTGAGAAGGGAGAGCGGATACAGTATTACCCGAGATATCCAGGGAAATATGCAGACATACTGAGATTTGATGCTGGTCGACTTCATTGGCAATAGTCGAGGGGGACTTCATAATTCTCTCGTTGAAGATAGAAGGCCTGATACTACTTGCCTTGCTTGGCAATACTCAATGTTAAGTTCGAAGGGGCGATGTTCTCATGGATCCCCATGGGAGATTGCTAAGAGAAAGTATCCGTCGGAGGGGTTGAAGTAAGGAAGACGACGAGACTGCTTAATCGAGATCGATATCAAGCAAAGTGCTCAGCCAAAAACGCCAGAGGAATCAAAGGACATCGAGTATGTATGACAAGCCAATAATGGGCAATATGGACTTACGTCCATTGCGGCATGTCACCGCTTGCCACCTGGCTCAGAAGTGGACCAAATGTCTTTGAAGTACCAGATGCACGTGATTCTATTGCTCGGGCAAAGAGGGATCCTGACCTCCACTCGTTGAGTAAATTGCCTGGTGCATCCTTCTCTCTTGAAGTAATCCCTCTGAAACAAGAAAGCCCAACGGTGAGTTTAAGTCACGATGGCAATGGAAAAGAATCGGCATCCGCGGTAGCGGACGAATGACTCGATTAATCAGACATGCAGGATTCTGACAGCCAACCATTGCACGATAGTGACACCTCGTCTCACATGGTCATATTCCCATAATTCCAACACACAGGAGGAGCAGAAAATTGAAGATCGATTTGGCTTTCGATACTGTGGGCTTCCTGGAGAGAGGGACGCAAGTCACAGAAAACCAGCCACGGAAGCGAAACGCAAATAGAAGGATCAATTGTAGACTAAGCCAGCCAACGCAAAGGGTATCAGGGTATCGTCCGTCCATCAATGAAGGCAACATAACCAGCCATTCAAGTTGATCCATGTATCGTCAAAGGGGTATTGTGAGAAAGTAAGAAACCTCCGCCATCGCATGAATATCAAAACCAGATGTAATATCCTGTTCGATGCTTCATTACAACCAACCACCTGCCATTACGAACTCCCCGCTCCATCATGATATGCTCTTGCGAACGGAAGCAACTTGTATTCGGAAGAGGTGATCGATCATCGTCAAAAGTGTTCATGCGGCAACAGGTTCCGTAGGCTTGGCGACCGCGGCAGCTGGCTCAGCGGCTGGGGTTGGCTCTGCTGGGGCAGCAGGAGTGTCTGATCAAAGTTAGGCAATGCGAGATTGTCAAGGCGGGTATACTCACCGGCAACTTCGGTCTTTGCTGGCTCAGCAACTGGCTCAGCAGCTGGTGCTGGTGCTGGGGCAGGAGTTTCGGTAGTCGCAGCTAGAAAGGACGCGAGTCGTCAGCGTAAGCAGGAAATCGTCAGACCAGTTACTCACCAGCAGCTGGCTCCGCCGGTGCAGCTTCAGTGGCAGTGGCCCCGTTGGTAGCAGGCTCCTCGGTCTTTGTTGCTGCGGCGGGCTTATCTTCAGCCTTCTTGCTCTTCTTGCCCTTCAGCAAGTTCTTGATCTTCGCCTTCAGATCAGACAGTGCGTTTGGTGCTGGCAGAAAGAATCGTGTTAGCAAAGGTACCATGAGTGTATGGGCACGTTGTAAAAGAGAGACAACAGAGCGTGGAAGGTGTACCCATCGTGCTGAGATGTTTGTCGGATGTGTTGATAAGTATCGAGAGTCTTGGAAATGCGGTGGTCGGGAGATGGAAGTGGGATGTTACTTACGAATTCCAGGCATTTTGAGAAGGAGCAAGCTAGACTTTATTTGTTTTTTGAAGAGTGGTTCGTGCGTGAGCGTGGGCGAGGAAGGAGCTGATGTTTTGTTGGGAGCCAGGAAACAGGAAACAGATTCACTCAAGATTAATGATTCAGTGACCAGACCAGGATCAAATTTGTCGCCTAAGCCGCATCGGGCAACATTTCAACCTTGTGACCGGGGCAATTCGTCCCATTTTTCTCTCCATTTTTTGAAAGCTTTGTGGCTCACTTTCGATTACAAAGTCGCCAAACACTCATCGTACACTTTCAGGGGATTTTGCATCCTGAGTCTCAAAAGAGACCTTATCCGACGGCTATTCCTCCTGTGTACTGTTACTGGTCCCCGTCCGTGTACATTCACGTGCTTTTCACTCAGTTTAAGCAGACCCATGAGTCCCGTTGTCAAGTCAGTGCTTCATGCTATGGTAGTGCAGGACTTCGCTCCTGCAAACATTGGACTTCTTTGTTGAATCGAAGGAGTTCTTCATATGGAAGTCCCTTCCTAGGTCGCTACGACCGCTCGTTGTTTTATACCTTGGTATAATCAACCACATATTGACCCACCATATGTGATTATACAAATCACTGCTGCTATCATAATAGCGATTCTTCTACCCCCTCCCCTCCCCCTATACGCCTCAACCCCCTCCAGAATCTCCTTTATTAGCCCAAGGTGCTCTCATGGGACCATCTGGTATTTGCGAAGGCGGTGGCATCGCTGCAGTTCTCGCGGTCCCCGCCAGCAACTTTCCGCCATGTCCATCAGCCCATGGTGCTCTTGTTGAAGGTTGAACGGTCGGAGCCTGTGTCCAAGGCGCAGCTGTTGCCGGAACTCCACCAACATTCGAATTTGCCCATGGAGCCGTAGCTGATTCTTGTGGAGGAAGTCGAGTTCCCCCTGTACCGACTGGGGTAGAACGAGATGTTGGCTGGCTTGTTGTGTGGATCGAAGCTGGGCCAGGTATAGCGTTTGGATCCTGCTCCCAACTAAATAATGATCCGAACGGAAAGTGCTGAACTACTGGAAACTTTGACAACACCTCTGCGTTGTACATCTTGATCATCCCCTAGCAAAGTTAGAGAGAGTAGCAGTTTCACAAGACTAATCAAACCTTGTTAATCTTCCCCCACCCAGAGCGGACTCCAGATATGTCAAACAAAATGGGACTGTGTTCCCAGAAAGGACCAGTTTTGACATCATTGATAAAGCCCACAGCTGAGAAGTACATGTTGTGCTTCCTCTCTCGATCGACAATGGCTTTCTTGGCGATGTCTCCTGGATTTGGAGAGCCAGACAGAGATCCTTCAACGGGCATAGGATCATTTTCAGTAATGGGGGGGCAGTACTGTGAAGAACCAAAGACGTAAGGCAGGAATGAATGGTCATCCAAACCCCATACCCCGTGAGACCCAGCAGGTTCCAGAGTGTAGGTAAGAATGAGGCGACGGATGACCCGCAAGTACCTAAACAGGAAATTAGAAATTTCGTTCGAAGGGATTCGGGAAACTTACGGCTCTATAATTCCGAGGACAATACTTCTTTCCAAAGCTCCATCACCAGACGTCTCGCTCGTGAATCCACCAAGCTTCCAAATGCAAGCTACAAAGGCCAAAAAGCTAAGCTCGTGACCTGTGCCATAGTCCAATCTTTGTGGACTACCAAACCCGCCAAGAAGATAGGGGGTGAGCTCGTCTAACACAGAGCCTCCGTCCACCGAGGCAGTGATGAACTCGAGTACAGCCTTGGGCAAACAGTTTTGGAGGAGGCCTTGAACTCTTGATTCAAGAATCTCATACCACTTCCTGAAGCTTACATTTCCAAATCTTCGAGGTCCCGTGTCAGGGGGGGCCTCTTCGATTATGGAATCTATGCTTTCCAGGAGTTTTTGGAGCTTTCGTACTGGCTCAGAGAGAATGAGTGGCGAATCAAGCTGCCATGTTTCAACTTGGTCTGCCTTGGAGGACTTTCTGGGACACATAGCAATATTGAGCTGCATTACGAAGATACCGATGTCCCGGTATGCTTGTGATGTGAGGAACTGGGGAACATCCCGGCCTTCATGGATTCTTTTGGCTGGGCTAACAAAAACATGAGGCTCTGTCGGGCTCAAGATAGGTAGGCTCCTTGAGGTCCGAGTCTCCGGTTCGAATTGAGAGTCCATGATTCTTATTCTATCGGTGTCTTGTTGAAATGGTACTTCTTTGTATGGCTTGTCGTTGCTGGGCCAGAGGCTCATCAACAAGCGAAACGCCACGGAACAGGGATCTGAGCTTGGGCAGCTCTCAAGGTCTTCGCAGCGCTGGCATACCAAATTCAGAGTCACTGTCACAAGAACGTTTCTTCGAGGATGATTCACACATTCCAGTGTCAGTTTTAAGTTTCTTGATTGGATATCGAGCTTCAAGGGAAGCTTCGACGGGATGCCGCGCCACAATGCACCAAGCAAAGCTGCCCCTGCAGAACAAAGGAAGCAGGCGCAACTTGACGAAGAGCACGCCGAAGCTGGTAAGTACTAAAAAATTCACTGCAGATTCACTTTCTTGACTGAGCCTGACTTTAAATAGAACATCATGGGGCTCTGACTGAATCTGACCACGCAACTCCTGGCATAAACTCGACTCCAGCGGCACCAACGACGAGCGCCATGGGTGAAGACGCCTCCAGACCTGGCATACGTGGTAGACTTTATGGACTTCTTTTCTCTAGGAAAGCTACTTTGGAAGAACCACAAGATGTGCAGCTGGTCGAGGAAGGAGTGGAAGTTGAAGGGAATGAATCGCCAATTCGTGAAGGGGAAGCGTTCCCTGCCCCATCCACACCGAGAGCACAGCCCGCAACGGCGGAGTCGCCTATACCCAAGTCTCCAAGTCGAGTCTCTGGTTCTCTTGCAAAACCTGCAAAGCGAAAACGCACCTCCAATTCCGAACGGCAAGACCTCTATGAGGTACCGGCAGAAGCTACACCAGACAGCTCTGAGCAGGAAGAAGCTCCTGCAAATAGGCCTGCCAAACGTGCCCGAGGAAATGGCAGAGCAAAACCTCCTCTTAAAATCCCAAAGACAAGCAGAGGTCACATATCTTCACATCAAATCCGTCAGACAAGGGGAAACCGTGCGGCAGAGGGAGAGGACGTGGAGATGACGGCTGATGTGCCTGCATCTAGTCCAGTCAAAGGAGTCAGAGCCGCAAATTTCATTGAAACTGAGCAGCCAAAGTCAAAGAAGCGCGGCCGACCACCAAAGAATAAGAATCCTCCATCGGAGATGGCCCAGCAGGCTGCTTTTCGCAACCCAAAAAGAATAGCATTCCTCGATCGTGCCATTCCAAAAAGTGTGGCGACAGCGAATCATCCAGATGTTAACCTTCAAGACCCAAGAGACGCCGATGAAGGGATTTCTGATATACTCCTCAATCCCAGTCCCATCAAAGTGGGTGCGCAAGAGTTAAGACCGACAGTAGGGATCGCCCAGCAAAAACGACCTCCCAAGCCCAAACACCATCTTCCGGCTACGAACGGGATGCCAGAGCTCTCTGCTGATGAAGAGGAGTTATTCGTCAGCAATGGTAACCCGGAAGAAAGGGCAGAGGTTCCGAATGAGTTGGAGGATGAAGAGGAGCAAGAGGCGGGTAATCAAGATTCGGATGAGCCCCATCGGATTCCCTTCGATCCGAAACTTATTGACAGATTGTGGGAAACTTCCAAACATGTCGGCAAGAAATTCGATATGAAGGAGAAGACCTGGCCGCGAAAAGGGAGGACGGAAAAGCTCTGGACTGGCCCAGGAAAGAGGATGGCCAGACAGCTTCAGACAATAATATCCGGCTACGAAAATCTAGAACAATTGAAATCATCTCGGAATAAGCGTGCGTTTCGCGATGCACACGAAGAAGTCGAGAACGTGTTCAACATTCTCAGCAAAGAGGCGGCGATTGTTCTGGCCGAGAGATTTGCCCCAGACTCCGATGCCAAGAAGGAAGAGGCAATGCTAACAGATCTATATTTCAACATTATACCAAAATGCATTCATGCATTAAAAAACGTTGTCGCAGTCTACAACATTCAAGGAACAATGACGGCGGCTGCTTTGGAAGAGACTCTCAAATTAGTCGATTTGCTTTATGACCTCGTAAGTACTGCTATTAGGCAGCCAAAAGAGATCCAACCTAAGCCCGAGGGAAGCATCTCATACCAAATATCTCAACCCACTCGGTATAACTTACCCGAAATCCGCAATCTGCAAAAGATGATATCAGCCGAGCTGAGCTTTCGAGAGCGTGAGAAAGAACGAGCCAAAGAAGAGCTTCTGCGACCTGAGCGTGAGAGGCAGCTTCTAGAGGAGCAAGAGCGGGAGGATGCCGAGATACTTCGAAGGAGAGAGGAACGGCGGAGACTGCAGGGGGAGTCTTGGTGGGCCGTCCGCAACAACTACTTTTCAGGCTCCTGGAATCGGATGCTCCAATCCGATATCGCCAAACTCGAAGCTGTCAAGAAGGGGAAAGGGAGGCAGGAGTCGGTGGAGTTAGGCTACCCCCCTATGACTAGAGCACAGTCTCGTCGTGCAAACAGCGAAGAGTCTGGCCAGGGAGTGGAGCGTGTCAGCGTGTTCCCCGGCAATAACATCAAAGCGAATAGCAGTATGAGCTTGCTGTCGAAGGAGGATACCCTCGTATTCATTGATTGTATGAGATACGAACAAGGTAAGGAGACTCTTCGTCGTTAACCTAACTTAAATTCTAATGATATGTAGGTGCCGACAGATATGAAAGGGCAGCCGAGCAAATCGGCAGAAGCATGGATGACGTCTTTGCTTTTGCCAAAGAATTCCAGGAAGCTATGGACCTGCAACACCAAGAGGGAAATTTCAACGAGGCTCGAGATAGCTGGACCTACTCGGTCTGGGTCGAGCAGGAATAAATTGGCGTTTATCTGGGAAACAAGGCGTTTCTAGGGGTATCACTGGAGTTTATTATGGTCACACATGTTTTATGATACCCGAAGGTCATGGGAGGTGTGCTGTAAGATTCATGCATGGTTTCCCTTCAGGTCCGCAATTCGGCGGAAGACTAGTCAGTATGGCTAGTCAGTATGGCTAGTCCAGCAAGCAATGTCAGGAGCATTATCAATCTCTTGCTCTTCCATTGTCCCACTAAGCCTGGGACATTCTCAGTTCTCAAAGCTTCTGCCCCTCTCTCCACTCCCTAGCAACATCTTCATACCTACTAAACTCCACCTCTCCTCCCCATCCCTTCAACCACTCAATCATTTCATCAATCATCCCAATCACATGCGCCATACCCGACGTATCTGGGTGCAGCACGAGCGGGAAGATGAAATTCCCTTTCCCAACTTTAAGCTCCGCGGCATCGTGTTCATGGTAGAGAAAGTTGAAGCGTGATTTCCACATTGAGAGGATTGACGATGTGGGCACGTAGCCGTGGGAATTGGGGGCTGCGGGGAGGAATTGCATTGGTGTCACTTATGATGCGTTAGTAAGTGTGGAGGGGCTAAGGATGGGGAAATAGGGGGTAGAGGGAAAGGGGAGGGAAGAGGGGACAGACTGTCTTCCATGTACCAGTTACATGGTAGTTCTACGAGTGTCTTTCCTGTTGGTGATGAAGGCACAGGAAGAGGTTTCATCCAGGATGTTGCTGAGACTTCGGGGGAGAAGTTTATTGGTTTGATAGGTGGTGTTGAAGGGAGGAAATATGGCTCCGAGTCGTGGTGAGTTAGGGAGGTATCTTGTCTTCATCAATTCCTTGTTTGAAGTGGGAGAGTGTGGGAATTGAAGGAAGCACACTGACCATAGAGAAACCCATGTTCTTCCAGCACCTTAACGGTATGTTCTCGTATCTGATAAAGTGGTGCTCGCCATCCTCTTGGCTTTGAGCCAGTGAGAGAAGTAGCAAGCTCCACGCACTTTGCTATCACTTCCTTTTCTTGGGACTCTGTCATTTGAGCACCGCCTTCGTGCGCATAGCCGTGGCAGCCTATTTCCGCACCACTTTCGAGGATCATTTTGGTTTGAGTGGGGAAAGTTTCCATCGAGTGCCCGGGGATGAACCAAGTGACGTTCGAGGAGATCTTATGTTTCTTGAAGAGCTTCAAAAGACGTGGGACACCGACTTGACCGGCAAAATATCCTGAGGAGTAGTCGGCCATATTGTTATTTGCGGTCGCACCTGTGCCGAGAAATCCGGACACGGCGTCGAAGTCGATGCTAAGCAGGATTTTGATCTTTCGAGTTGGTGGTGGGGAGAGTGAGGGCTGGATGATGGACTGTGCTTTCTCCATCATGCGTGATGTGATGGTAGACTGGGTGCCAGACATGACCTCCTCCTTCTTCCACACCACTCGCCCTTCCATGCCTCCGTCTACACCCAGGCACTCGCCAGAGATGTGTCCAGCAGCTCGGTGGCTTGCTAGAAACACCATCGCTCGAGCTACGTCCTCTGGCTTTGCAATCTTGCGAAGCGGGACTGTTGCTTGGGCTTCAGTCCACAACTCATCTGGCTCGTCAAGTCGTCCCTCGATGAGAGGGGTGTCGACCCAGCCTGGCGCAACCGCATTTATCCTCGCTTTACTGTTCAAACGAACGATTTCATTCTTCACTCCTCGGACAAGACCATATTGGAGGCCTGCTTTACCAGATGCGTATTCCGTATGTCCAGCTTGGCCGAATTTGCCGGTCTCTGATCCCGTCACGACGATCGCTAGGTTTTCAAGTTCTTTGCCGGTTGAGATTTGGACTTCTTCCGCACTGAGTAAGAAGTGCTTTATTGTTAGGAAGGTACCTCGGATGTTAGTATTGTAGGTCTTTTCCCAAAGTTCCAGGGGAATCTTCCAGATCGGGTAGGAGTTTGACTCGTCAGTGATCCCGGCGTTGGCAACAAGGATGTTGATTGGACCATGATGTTGTCTGGCTTGCTGAATGCAAGACTTGGTGGAATCTTCTGAGGATATATCTCCTATAACTATAAAGAGATTTGGTGAAGTGGGGAGGTTGGTGATGGGTCGGAGGTCGTGGGCTGTTACTTTGCAGCCCTGATCTAGACATGATCAACATTCGATATTTGTGAACGAAGTCCTGAGAGACCGAGCAGGATGAAAAGTCCCAGTATTCAGCACATTAAGAGTCGTCGCTAAGAGAGGAGACGTTTAAGACGTTTTATCCGAGGAAGCTTTGGAAGTGGGGTAGAAGCGGTGGGGGAAACTCCTTAAGCTCCACGAAATACCATTGCGAAATTTCATTTTAAATAGGACATAGAGCCAACAACTCGAGATGAAAATTTGTTTTGAAAATTTGTACATACCAAGGAACTCTCTCACTGCCTGGCTCCCAATCCCACCAGCAGCTCCAGTGACAAAAGCATGGAGTCCTTCAAGGCCGAGGAAAGACATGATAGGAGTATCTTGCGAGAACTTTCTAGTCCTTTGCCTTGAATTGTGTAAAGAGATGAATTGGGCAATAGAAATAGAAAGATATCGAAATACAGAGTTGTATGACATTGAATAACGTCACTTACAAACAACTTCTCTTATCGGATCTCGCGGCCGCTTGACCTTGACAAAATTTCACGCAGAACAGATGCTTAACGAAGTGGAAGTCACAGGGTCCCCTACACTTTCAGGAATTCGGTATCTCATAACATGCATGACCCACCAGAACCGCTCTCACTAATTGCAAGAGAAAAACCCTGGATTTTAAAGATCAAGGTCTCGTGACCATTACACGTGACTCTACCGGAAATCCCACCTTTTTCGGCGTCTGTGCAGATCTCCAGCAGGGTTGTTCAGCCACAATGTCACCAAGGCTTCGACACCGTTATTGACGACATCAGTGGCTGCCGAGATAGCATGAACGCAGAGTGAGGTCATCGAAATGCCCAATCGCAACGACATGGAAAACAATTTCGAGGGACCCTTAGGGGTCCACTTGGTCCTAAGGGTCCAACCACGATTCCAAGAGGGGTCAGATTTCAGGGTTCGGCGATTTGCTTTTCCCATGTCTTGTGTAACGAGGGTAAGCTTTCCAGCCCTATTTTGTGCGACGCTAGCCGACCAAGAGACTCTTGACCTCAACTCTACTCTAAGCCCAGAAGTCTAGTCTGCCATCTGTTCTCATCTAAAACTTATCCGGAAGCAGGATGATAGTTAGAAGCCAAAAACGAGTCAGCTACAAGACGCACAGTGCAATAAGCATGACCCCAGCTGCAGACCTTCCTGCAGCGCGCCTTCTTCCCAATAGGCATGAAGCAGTCCCAGCGTCCACCGCCACTCAAATTTGGCCCAATGTCAAGGATCAGGTAGCGAAGGCCAGGGAAGAAGCTGGAGAAGTGCAATGGAATCTTGGAAGGCATTCGGAGCTTCGGAGACAAGGCTCTGTGACCAAGGCAAGCCATTTCCGGGGCTGGCATCTCGCCACCTCATCAAGCCAGCATGGCCCACAGACAGACACAACTTGATGCGAGGACAGCGCAACTACCGAACAGTGAGTGTGGTGAGTGCACTGGTGTGGTGGCTTCGTCTCGGTGCTACTGTACGAACGTACAGAACGTTGCTCGTAAGATTATGCAAGTATGCGTGTGGGTAAAATAATTGAAACCGAACGCCCGTTCCGCGCCACAGCAAACTGGCGGCTTCCTATTTGCCCGCCAGACCAAACTTGGGCCATCAATCAATCCACCTCTCGCCTAGCACCGCAATGCCTCCATTGGTGGAGCCGATGAGGAGGAAATGCTCCTGCGTATAGGGAGGAGGCATCGGGAAAATACTCAAGCACAGGCGGAACGGGGCAGAACAAACGAAAGAAGCAGGGTTCCAAAGGCACGTGCAAGTCGCATCGTCGATACAAAGTCAAAAGAAGAATTCGAGATGCTGTGGAATACTGTGGTATCAAATGCTCAATGACGAGTACTCCCTCCGAAGGCGCGGGCGGGAGAGCACAATGGAATGGCAGCGGCTGCTGACCCAAATCCAAACCCTAAACTCCCACGCCGATCCACACAACGGACTCACAACGGGGGTGGCCAGGGCCGGGGGGTAGTTATGGGATTTAAAGATGGCTTTCGCTATCTGTGCCAGACTCCCAGCAAGCCCACCTGCAGTCTGTGCCGTGCGCCGACTTACGAAGTAGTTCCTGGGCCACCAGGTTCCGCTCCGAGCACCCTGAGGGACTAAAGCGTTAAGTGCGTTCGCCACCTCGAACCTCTCCTAAGTGACAGACAACTTGACAAAACCATCCAGGGACTTTAGTGACCTGGGCGGTGTCGCCCAGATCTCCTCCCTCTCTCCGTAGATCTTTCCTGCTCCAACCCGGCGTGCACAATCGTCGACGGTAATACCTTCGTTACTTCACAATCCGCCAGCACCGCGTGCCAGGCTAGGCAATTGAGAAGAGCAACCCTTATTTCCTTTGTCTTCACTTCTGCAGACGGCTCGGGAGGACGACTACTTGACCTTGATGCATGCCCCGCGTTGGCCATATCTCTGAGAACCTGCCAGCACCGACTCAAAGGTGCTTTCATGGCAGAGTGCCTCTTCCGGGAGCCACCTAACCTGGAAAGACGCCTCGAATCTCGCGAGCGTTGAAATCTTTGAGACGTGGCCGGGACCGAACAAGATGGAGGACGGGGATCCCTCAAAGGGGGCCGAAGCAGCTGTCACTGCCGAAAACCCCTTCCAGCGAGAACAAAACTCCGAGCCGATTGGAAGCCATGCCAGGACGTCCTCAAATCCCACTCCAGACTCTGCTGCTTCCGAGTCCCGGGACAGACCTCGGAAACCACGGTTGTGGACGTCCGACGTACAGAACCCCTTCGTTCCTCTCCATAACCATGACAGAGGAATTTCGTCCTGGAGTGCGAGTTCAGGCAAGCAGCTTGGGAGCCCGGGCTCTGCTACCGATCGCGTGTTCCCAATACGGAGCGTTGTGAGTGTGGACTCTTCCCAGACGCCAAATACATTGCCAGGACGAAATTCGAGTGAACAACAAGACTACTTCCCTCCTGCCGCTGGACATGGCAATGCCGCTGGTCACCAATCTCGCCAGCCATTCTCTGAAACCAATGGCAAACTCACTCCACAAACACAACCATCTCCTCGATATTCAGGAGAGCGGATCAGAGGCGAAAGGAAAAAATCCACCCCAATTGCTCACAGCGATTCGGACAGATATGGCGGCGGCCTTCGAATGCAATTGTTCAGTGACGCTACGTCCGAGAAGTCAAATGAAAGTCACTCAGTTAGTGCTCAAAGTACCATGAATGCAGCCTCTTTGGGAACTCAGACCCCTGCGGAACAAGAGAACATTTCTGGACTGGTGACAGCGAGGTTCAAGCATATTGTCACCGCAGAGGGCCATGCTGTGATCACAGGGCGCGACGGGGAAACCTTGCAGAGGTGTGAGGATGAGCCGTAAGTATACTTTTATTTGAATGCTGAAGTTGAATTCAAACATGCAATCGAATTACATTCTCAGTGCACAACAAGAAGTAAAACACCACACTGCAATTCGTTTTGTTGTTATGGAATGCTAACATGTGTTGACATTTGTATTTCAGAATTCATATTCCTGGTGCGGTACAATCTTTCGGTCTTCTGGTCGCTTTAGAAGAGGAAGAGGAAGGTCGGCTGGTCGTAAGAGTTGTGAGTGAAAACTCGCACCGTATTATAGGATATACTCCGCAGGATCTTTTTAAGCTCCACAGCTTTACGGATATTCTGAGCGAGGAGCAATGTGACAACCTCCTAGATCACGTTGACTTTATCCGAGATGAAGAGGCAGATCCGGCAACGAATGGGCCAGAAGTCTTCATGATCTCAATCCGTGGGCCTAGATCAAGGAAGAACCAAAAACTATGATGTGCAATGCATATCAACCCCTCACAACCCGAAATCATCATTTGCGAATTCGAACTAGACGATGATCAGACGCATCCCCTTGTTCCTCCTAACGAGATGACCCCCGAACCACCAGAAGACACATTACACAACAACCCTACTGCGGAAGAGATTGCCGAAAGCACGCACGTTACAAGCAAGCCGCTCCGAGTTCTGAGGAGTGCGCGGAAAAGGAAAGGCGAGGCAGCTGCTATGGAAGTATTTAACATCATGTCCCAAGTTCAAGAGCAGCTTGCGTCTGCGCCAAACTTGGAAAAGTTCCTAAAGGTTCTGGTTGGCGTGGTGAAGGAGCTCACTGGATTTCATCGGGTTATGATTTACCAATTCGATGGCGCATTCAACGGCCGTGTCGTGACTGAGCTCGTGGATCCTCGAGCTACCAAGGATTTGTATAAAGGCTTAAATTTTCCAGCCTCAGATATTCCAAAGCAGGCCCGAGATCTTTACAAAATCAATAAGGTGCGCCTCCTCTACGACAGAGACCTGGAAACGGCTCGTCTAGTCTGTCGTACTGTGGAGGACCTTGAAACACCTCTTGATCTCTCTTTCAGCTACTTGAGAGCAATGTCACCAATACACATCAAGTACCTGGCAAACATGGCCGTACGATCAAGTATGAGTATTTCGATTAACGCTTTCAATGAACTGTGGGGTTTGATAGCATGCCATTCCTATGGCCCAAAGGGCATGCGAGTCTCGTTCCCCATCAGGAAGATGTGCCGACTTGTAGGTGATACCGCCTCGAGAAATATAGAGCGACTCAGCTACGCGTCACGACTGCAAGCCAGAAAGCTCATCAATACCGTCCCCACCGAAGCCAACCCCTCTGGATACATCATTGCTTCATCCGACGATCTTCTCAAACTTTTTGATGCTGACTTTGGACTTCTGTCGATAAAAGGAGAGACAAAAATCTTGGGCAAAGTTGATCAGTCTCAGGAGGCATTAGCCATGTTGGAGTACCTTCGACTTCGCAGAATAACTTCTGTGATCACATCGCAGGATATCAGAGAGGATTTTCCAGACCTACGGTACCCTCCCGGCTTTGATGTTATTGCTGGCTTGCTGTTAGTGCCATTGAGTGTTGGAGGGAGTGATTTTATAGGTGTGTAATAAGGTTTCACTCCGAGTCCCCTTCCATCACACATATGAGATGTAAAAATTCAAGCTTTGCAGTTCAAACCTCATAGAGAATCACACACTGACTCTGTTCTAGTGTTCTTCCGCAGAGGGCAAGTGAAGGAAGTGAAATGGGTGAGTGAAACAAGACAGAATGCTGTTTTGGTTGACATTCTTTCAATACTGATTGTCTAGCAGGCTGGCAATCCCTACGAGAAATTCGTCAAAGAAGGCACGGAAGGCTATCTCGAACCCAGAAAAAGTTTCAAGACGTGGAGCGAAACCGTGGTTGGAAAATGCCGTGAATGGACTGAAGAGCAAGTAGAGACCGCTGCAGTCTTGTGCTTGGTTTATGGCAAATTCATTGAGGTAGTGATGACCTCCCTGAGCCATACTTCTTGCTGATAAATTCTGCTAGGTCTGGAGGCAGAAAGAAGCCGCTTTGCAAAGCAGCCAGCTCACCAGGCTTCTCTTAGCCAACTCAGCGCACGAGGTTCGAACACCACTGAATGCCATCATTAATTACCTCGAGATTGCGCTCGAAGGAGCACTCGACCAGGAAACGAGGGACAATCTCGCAAAATCCCACTCAGCTTCTAAGTCATTAATATACGTTATCAACGACCTCCTAGATTTAACGAAGGCCGAAGAAGGCCAAGACTTAATCCAAGATGCAATATTCGATCTGCCTGCAACTCTGCACGAAGCCACCGATTCCTTCAAGGGTGAGGCGAAACGAAAAGGCCTCGAATACGAAGTCATCGAGCATCCCGGCGTTCCTAAACTCGTCCACGGTGACCAACGGCGAGTGCGGCAAGCGGTTGCGAATATTACAGCCAACGCAATACAACATACCAGATCTGGTTGGGTCCATGTCGAAATATGGCTTCAAGAAATGCTAGAAGACCGAGTGACTGTCGAGATCGTCGTGCAGGACACCGGTGCGGGGATGTCAAATGAGAAGTTGGATGCCTTGTTCAGAGATCTAGAACAAGTGACAACTGATGGTGATGAATCCCCTGATGGCTCTGAAGAAACCAGCCGTCAAATCACAAAGGACAACCGCACCTTGGGGCTCGGCCTTGCCATGGTGGCCAGAATTGTCCGCAACATGGATGGTCAGCTGAGACTGAAGTCAGAGGAAGGCAAAGGGTCTCGTTTCGTTATTCAGCTACCATTTATCCTACCTGAAGACGAAACAGCTAGCAGGACATCTTCAGTGAAATTCAAATTTGAGGCGCCAGCCATGGCAACCCCTCCACCCCCTGCTGCAACTGAGGGAGAGGTAACTCTTATTGACAAGACCAATTCTCTAAGATCTGATGGCGTTGTTCGAAAACGAAGTATCTCGGAAATTGCGAGTCTCCATAGTTACAAGAGCGGTTCGAGCAACAAATCTAACAAGAGTACGAAGAGTGAGGTTGATAGACTCATCGATGCTATCTCAACGCCAGTATCTGTTGGCGAGCCAGAAACAGAGAAAAGAATCATGCAACGATCTACTAGTAGGGGGAGCGGACACAGTCGCAAGAGTGCTGGTAGCATTGGGACACCGTTGACTCGCGCATCTCTGTCCAACACCAGACCAGGAAATTCGAGTCGTTCGAAATCTAATGGAGCGCCAGAGCATCTCCGTGCGCCCATGGATGGTCCAGCAGGGTCTGAATTCGTCACCGACAATAGGACTTTGTTGAAAGCGATCAGAATGCCCGAAGATTTTGTGGCTAGCCCAACGGATGGATCGGCGCCACAAACAGCTTCCAGGGTATTGTTCGATATTTCTAACAACGACGGTACGGCGAAACCAGAAACTACCAAGCAATTAGACGCGAACCATCTTCAGATCTTGGTAGCAGAAGATGACCCCGTCAATAGCAGAATCATTCAAAAACGTTTGGAAAAGAGCGGCCATGAAGTGCACCACACCGTCAATGGAGAAGATTGCGCAAGTACTTACGGAGATAAGCGGGCATTCTTTGATGTGGTACTTATGGACATGCAAGTGAGTATCTCACCGATGTCCCCATTTCTTCTGTCCATCCCAAATTTTTTAGAAGCTGCTCTTAAAACCTATGATCTCTAATGCTGACATTTGTAGATGCCTATCGTTGATGGACTTACTTCTACCAAGATGATAAGATCGTTTGAGAAGTTACACTCGGGAAGTCATCTCTCAACGCGCGCTTCTGGCAACGGTCGAGTACCGATTTTCGCTGTGTCTGCTTCTTTAGTTGAGCGAGAGCGACAGACATATATTAATGCCGGCTTCGACGGTTGGATTCTAAAGCCCATCGATTTCAAGCGTTTGAATGTCCTCTTGCTTGGTATAGTCGAGGATGACACCAGACACTCTTGCCTATACAGGCCGGGTGAATGGGAGAGAGGAGGCTGGTTCAATCGACGTCAGCCTTCGGTGATAGAGACGTCGACAGTTCCATCAGAGAAATCGCCGGTGCAGAGCCTACATCCCAAGGACGTCGCTCAGTCTGACCCTGAATCGCAACATAGCAGCGAGTCCGGCTCAACAACACCGAAAATGGACAACCAACGGAAGCCTCTTATCCACGATGAACGGTTAGACACGGAAGCTGACATAGATGGCTTCCTTCCTGCTATGAAGAATAAGAGCGCGAAGGACGTCACGAGCGATAGTACAACATGAGCTTCTTCCATACCGCATGACTTAGCGCTTCTAGGCGCACAGGATTTCACGAAATATGGCATCCTGGCTGGAGAAGATTTTTTTTGTTGCATGCACATATGCAGAAGCCTGACAGGGTCGGGACATCTTTCGGTCTTGCAGTAACACTTGAGCGGGAGTTTTGATTGGTGTTGGAGAGGAACCAGCAATGAGACACGGCTATGTTCAATGCTTATGACGGTATATAGGAAGGGAGGTTGGCTCTGCGGAGTTTTCTGATAAGCATTTCTATGGGTTGCATGACGTGCCCTCTTTCTATAGGACTCGGTGTCTTATATATCCAGAGAGGTGGTAATGAGATGTGTAAAGCGATTTTTGCTTAGGGGTGAGCTCGAGGAGGCACTTGCCAGAGCTACTCAGTGTATCCGAGTAAAAGTGGCAAGTCAAGCTAAGAATTCAAACACTCGTTCAACAAAAATATCACAATGCAATGATTAACACCATTCGGGATTTTAAATCATAAGGAGAGACAAAAAGCGAGCATCGTTGCGGCCGTCTTTTAGCGGAAAACATCCACGCCAATCAGCATCCCCAAAATCCCGACGCGATTCCCACTCACCCTCGCGTCTCCTGCAGAAACCCAAACTCCACCCGAGGTCCAAACACAACAAAAATGTCATCGGGCACAACACGTCCTCCAGCCTCGTCGTCGACGACTGCGCAGCCGGCAGAGAAGACTTTCTTCGAGCAGCAGCGCGAGGTGCTGTTGAAGGAAATTGGCGTCGTAAGTTATCAAGAATGGGGAGGGGGAGCTGGATGCGAAGTGCTGACGAGAGGACAGAGCTTCGAGCATGTGTTGGCGAATATTAATAAGTTGAATCGGGCGATGGAGGGGGTTATTGCTGTGAGTTAAGAGATATTTTGGGGGAAGAGAGGCTGAGGATTGATTGGCAGGTTGGCAATGAGTTCAGTTCGGTCGAGGCGCTGTGGAGCCAGTTTGAGAATGTGATGGCGAAGGACCCCGATGCGGAAGGGGACGGGCAGCATACTGAGGAGGGGGAGGAGGGACATAGTGGGGAGGAGACGGAGATACATGAGGGGAATGGGCGGAGTTGGTGAGGGTGAAGGGCGAGGGAGGTCACGGCGTCTGGGATCACGATACCCGGTGGGCAGTCAAATTGAGGCATGGGAATGGGAACGGGAATGGTTGATGGCTGTATTTATTTCCTTGGTTTTACAGGGAAGTCATGATACATAAGAAACCCCTATTGTGCACTACCAGCACAGGTCCATTCCCTATTACTGATCAAAGAAGACACACTATGAAAGGAAAGTCGGTGTTCGAGAAAGGAGTCTAGAATGCTATCCGGTCAAGGCACTGTGCTCTTGACAGCAGCCCTCAACCATCTCTCGCAGATCTAGCGCCTCGTATGCAATCGTTGGTCATGTCAATATCGTAACAGGTCGTGGTATAAGATCAGTCATTAGAGGATCTTGCAGCTCCGCTTCTTCTTCCTGATCGCTCCTGTCTGGCCTGTTCCACCATTCTCTTGTTGGTATTGTTGGTTACTTCGATCATTGGCGACAATGGTATCGATTGCCATATTGAAGATATCGTCCACGCCGCTCATCTCCTTGCTGCTGCACTCCATGTATCGTGCTCCCATCTTTTGTGCTACACCCATTCCTTGCTCTTGAGTCACCGGGGTCAGTCCTTGGGTTTTGAGGAGGTCAATGCAGGTACGTTTCGTTCGGAGATCTGTTTTGAGACCGACGAGAATGAGAGGAGTGTAAGGGCAGAAGTGAAGGACCTCGGGGTACCACTATGAGATAATCAGCAGATAATTCTCGAAAAGATTAGAGACGCCTCACCTTGTCCATGACGTTCTCGAGCGAATTAGGGCAATCAATGGCAAAGCAAACAAAGAGAAGATCGGTCTCTGGATACGAAAGCGGTCGTAGTCTATCGTACTCTTCTTGACCGGCCGTGTCCCAAAGGGCTAACTCGACTGTCTTGCCGCTTGACCGATGGGTTGGGAACGCGATGTAGTTCTCGAAGACCGTTGGCACATATTTCTAAAAGGTCAGCTGGACAATTCTGCCCTGGATGCAATATATATTACCTCTGGGAAGTAACCCTGGCTATAGCTGATCAGAAGGCACGTCTTTCCGCAGCCTCCATCACCGACGACAACGATCTTCTTCGAGTACGCTGGTCCCTCTGTAACATGCGTAGCCAATGACTCTCTACCAGTAGAGCCGCTCATCATGGTGCTGACAGTGCCGTCGGAGGCTCTGGCACCTTGCTCTCGACGTGTTGGCTTCCTTCTTGGTGCTTCGTATTTTTCCGACATATCTGAACGTCGGTTGTACTGGAATTCGTTTTTCTGATATTGCGTCGCCATGGTTATTGACGGCGTTCCGGTGCCGGGCAAACGCGTACAGAGGAGTGAATATCGAAAGTTGTGTCAATAATGTTAATTATTCACCATAGTATGTGAAGGAATAATGGCGAAAGTGGCTTTGACTTGAGAATGTGCAGAGTGTCGGGAGGTTTCAATGTGACTGACTAAATGAGGAAGGAAGGTAAATAGTGCGTTCGCTAGCAGTGGTTGCCCAGCAACGCAACACACCAAAGGCGGGAGGCGCCACGGGATTTTAGTTCGACCGGCTTCCGTGCCTCTCGCGTGTCTGACAATGACAATCTGTGGAGCCGAGGTGGGTGAGGATAACCATCAAGGCCGTTTCGACTGTCACTCCTTTAAGTTTATACCGATTGGTCTTCTCAATTTCCTCCTCCTTCGCCGCGAATTTGCTCTTGGAAGCTATAGATGCTGCTGCGCCGGATGCATTGATGTCCTCAATTCCAAATGGCTCGGGCCCAGAGCTCGAGAAATTCCCTGATGCCCCTCCGTCGATAGAAGTCACAGCACCAGAAGAGCCTCCTCATGCAGGACTGCGTAGCTTGAATCATTGTATGTACTCCCCGAGTCTTGGTCGATATATACATATCCTCTCGAGTCACGGTTTGTCCAACCGCATTGTGCATCACGACAAGTCGGATTGAATTGCATGTGCGCCTCGAGGTTTCCTGAACAGCAAGCTGTTCCCAGCTTATAAGTCTAGTCACATTTCAACTTTTCCTTACACTGTTCCATAAGGATGATTAATTGACCGATGGATTCCTCGCAGACAAAAGAAAGCTGCCAACATGGCGGTACAGTCTACGACAGAGCATTTTACCCCTGATACGGTGGGAGACTCCATACCTGGCATGGATGCAAGATAAGATGCGATCACAAACTCTCGACACCTATTTCGCAATTACAGCAAATGCGGGCACTCATACGTTCTTTATGGTGGTTCTCCCTATACTGTTCTGGTGTGGGCATACGGGATTGGGTCGAGGGTGAGCATTGCATTCCGCCTTGAAGATCATGTTGGCTAATGAGTGAAGAATGGTTCATATTTTGGCAAGCGGCGTCTTTTGGACTGGTTTTATCAAAGACATGACCTCTTTACCACGCCCATTATCACCACCTCTACATCGAATTACAATGTCAGGATCTGCGGCATTGGAATATGGATTTCCCTCCACGCACTCCGCCAATGCCGTTTCGGTTGCAGTGTATGCACTATTTGCTTTGCACTCACCGGAATGCAAGCTTCAGTATTCAACCAAGCTAATACTCGAAGTTGTGAGCTACTCGTACGCCGTTTCGATTGTTCTCGGGCGACTTTACTGCGGAATGCATGGCTTCCTCGATGTCATCGTTGGCAGTATCATTGGTGCGCTCATCTCTATCGTGGAATGTGTCTATACGGACATTATTGATGATTACATGTACACCAGTACTTGGGCGGCGCCAGCAATGGTGGCTCTTGTTATCATTGTTCTGATTCGAATCCATCCGGAGCCCGCTGACGACTGTCCTTGCTTCGACGATAGTGTTGCTTTTGCAGGGGTCATGATTGGTGTTGAAATCGGGGCATGGCATTACGCTTCCACCGGTTTCGCGTGGAATCACCCAGTCCCTGGCACCGTTCCTTTCGATTTGGCTCACATAGGCTGGGCGGTGACCATTGCGAGGGTGCTTCTTGGTGTTGTGGTGATCTTTGCATGGAGAGAGGTAATGAAGCCCACTCTGCTCAAGACTTTGCCTCATCTCTTCCGAGTCATTGAGAAGTATGGCTGGATTCTGCCCCGTAAATTTTTCTTACCGGCCTCCGAATACAAGAAGATTCCAGCACGGTTGAAGGTTGACAATGTCATGCCATCAGTCTCGGACTTACCAGGCCTGCTTACTTCCATTCGTCACCCGGGACGAGGGCGATCGGTTTCTGTGGGTCCTCAGTCTGCTGCTGATGCGTACGAGACTTTGGCATATCGGGAAAAGAGACGGAGAGACAGCCTGACAAATACCGAGTTAGAATCCGCGATCAGCCCTCCTCGTTCTCCGAGCACATCATCTACAAAGAGGGACTACTTTTCGACTGGTAACGCCGACAAAGATGGAGCCGTTTCGCAAGTCTCGGGTATTTCGGCTTCGCTAGGAGCTGCAAATACAGGCAACTTGCCTACACCAGCACAATCACGAGTTGGCTCGTATGAACAGATGATGGGACAGGGTCATGTGATGATCTCTCCTGCAACACCAGATGAGAAAGATGATGACGATGATGACAATGCTGAGATCTTCGTTGGCCAGCAAAATGAGTTGGAAGAGAAGGAGATGTTTTCGAGGCTGGAGAAACCTCGTGTTAGATACGATGTTGAGGTAGTCACAAAACTTGTAGTGTATACAGGTAGGCGATGCCACAGAATCTGGCGGATAGGACTAACAGGCCTTAGGTATTGCTTGGCTGGCTGTCGAAGTGAACCCCATACTTTTCGAATTGCTTGGGCTCGGGATGGGCAATGTTCGCCAATTGTACTGAATGCCCCAATCAGTGTTAAGAAATGAAAGGGGGCTTGGAACCTTTGTACTCCTTTGGCATAGTACATAGGAGTTTGGGCAATGTTTGGACGCACAAATTTAAGGCGTGCGACGGCGTATGGGCATAGGATGAATGCAGCGTTTAGCATTTTTGCTTGAAGCACCTTACCAAAGATGCCATTATCACCTTTCCGATGGAGTTCATTGGTTGTCATTCGACCTCACGTGCGCGTAGAAGCAAGCGTGAGGTGTGATTGAAAAGTGAGGTTTCATTTGCCGCTGCACCTGATTTGTGAACCCTAATTCCCGAGGCAACTCTATGAAAAGTTTTCTGTTCCCTGTGAACGCCATTGCCCCATCATTGAAGTTAGATGTTCGTCAGTCCCATTCAATCAATCCTCGGCGTCGTCCGTCTTGGTCGCCTTCCCTGGCAACCTTCTCAAGCCGGTGCTTTCATGATCTCGTCTTTCGCGTTTCGAATGCTCTTCCATGCCGAACCCCGAGAATTGGATCATCCGTTGATTCCCATTGCTTTGTTCGTCCCATCGAATATTGATGAAAACCCTTCGGGTCAAAACTCAAGTCCCAGGATAAGGCTTCACATCCCCAGCCCTCCCCGCAGTGAAAGCCCTCAACCGTCCCTTAAACCCTCTAACCTTCTCCGCAACATCCATCATCGGCCTGTCATCTAAATTCAGACTCTTCCTGCCAAACGTAATACTCCTCCTGCCCTCCTTCACGCCCCCGAACTCTCGCTCTTTATCCGGACTTGCGAAACTATCGACCGAGGAAGTGGAGCTGGAATCTGAGTTTCTGTGATTGTGGCTGTGGCTGTGAGAGGCGAATTGGGTTGGGGGAGTGGTCGGTGATCGTGATGAGCGTCGAGCGGCTTCGTGGGCGTCCATCTCGGATAGGATGTGGAAGAAGTGTGAGTTGGAGGTTGGTGTTCTTTGTAGGAGTTCTGGGCGCGTGAGTTCGCTGCCTTCGGTGAACTTTGAGAGGCGGCGGGGACGTGTTTGGATTCGGAGGCGGGGTGGTGAAGGCGGGGAAGGTGTTGGGTTTGCCATTGCCATTTTTTGGGTCCTTGGTGTTTGGTTGAGCGAGGGTGAAGTTTGTCACGAGGGAGTGAAGTGTGTCTTCAGTCCAAGAATACTTCTTCGATGGATGTTGAGCTTGAGTTCTTTAAGGGGCAGAGGGGGAATCCGATATATGCACAACCTTTGAACAAAACAAAAGAGCCCAAAACGAAACTGAGTCTGTTCAGCGCATATGTATGCACGCCTCCCCTCCACGACTCGGTGGGGTCCCTTCCGGCGCTTTATGACGAGTATCACCTCAAGCCACCTGTGCAGGGCCAGCCAGGCCCCTGAAGGCTGCAGGACGGACAGCCGTGTTCCAGATGCCTGCCGCAGCCCCTGGCACTCGGGTGACGGGAGGACGCCGGACGGGGTCCTGCACCCCCTGCACTCTGGGCAGTGGGAACGAGACCTTTCGCCGCACGCGTACACGCATGCTGATACGAACGATGGCGATCTTGGCCGGAGTTGAAACGGGGGGCGGCGCTGATCCTTCGCGCCGTTGCTTTTGCAGGCGGCCTGGATGCGTGGAGGGATGTGGGACCGTGCGGATGGGTGGGAGAGCAGATTGCCGCACTTGAAGGGCTGAAGGGAACTGGGAAGGAGCCGGGAGCTGTTGAGAGCGATCGCGGGTGCACTTGCTGGCGTGTGTTTGTGAAGATATGGCAGTGTTGACGGTTGTGCTGGTGAGTTGTATAGTTTGCATACTCGTGTTCGGCAAAGGCACCGCGGTAAATTGTACTGTACCAAGTACAGGACAGGCTCTTATCTGATCAGATGAGCAGGCACTGTTTTCCCTTCGGCCTTCGGTTTATTGAAAGCAGCGATCAGTTCCTTTTTGCGTACGGTGCATTTTCGGGGTGGTTCGTGACTTTCGTGGCTTTTTTTCGTGGAACTGATGGACTCGTGGCTGCAGCATTGTGACGCGGGTGGCTTGACTTGGCTTGAAGATGTGCCTGGCCATAATTCGACCATCGAGGCCGATAGCTATTGCGGACGAAGGTTATTCTTAGCAGGAGTCTCACGAACTCTAGGTGCAAACGCTGGATTATTCAGCTTTTAAGAACGTTGAATTCTTCCGAACGCGCATGAAACATGAGAAGTATTCCTGTCCCCGCGAAAATCCAGAACGGGCCGTTTTTTTTTTAGACAAGCGTTCCTGGTATCTGCGCTTGTTCCCTGAAGGGGGCGATCGTGCGAACCTCCTTTTTCCTCAACACAACGTTCTTTTGCCTTGCAACGCCAGAGGAGTCTCTCGCTATCTTCTGCAATACTGTCGTTTCATATAGACAATCCTTGTTGTTAAGCCACAAGCTTGACAAAATCCGTCAATATGCTCTCTGCCACGGTCTCTCTCTTTGGCCTTGCGCTTGCAAGTCTCTCCTTTGCGCAGACTACCACCCGTTCTCTCTTCATTCCCGGAGCTGATTCTCAAAGTCTCATTGGCTCTATTATTGGATCTGTATGTGCGCTGAGGCTCCTTTCCCTCTCTCAATCCTAACAATACGCAGGACTTGGCTGCAATAACATACGCACTGCAATGCGTGGACCCTGATCAATGCGGCATCGGTGGAGGCATCACACTCACAGAAGGGCCCTCGACAGCAGCATACACAATGGCAGAAGGAGCAGCATTGTAAGCTCCTACCGCTCACTCTCCCATCACCCGACCATCTTTAAGAGCCACTGACTAACGACTTCTCTATTCAGTACTGCCCTCTATGACTGTACTCTCGCCGGAACTTCCTCTGCAGTCTGCTTCGAATCTAATGGCGGAAGCGAAGCCAATTCTCCCGGCTCAAGCACCTTGACTCTCACCGGGACGGACTACACATTCATGCCTGTGACCATCACGGGCAGTGCGGGGGCTGCTTCGACGATCAATTCCGAAATCAAATCGGGACCTAGCTTTACCACACCAACAACTACGAATTTGAAGACTTCACAGACTGGTGCTACGACGTCGAGTAAGGCGAGCGGATCTGGAAATGCTGCATCTCAGAGCAGTTCGACGGAAACGAGCAGTAGTAAGGCTGGTGGGCCTGCTATTACAGGAAATGCGGTGTTCGTCATGGGCGCGGTAGCAATGGCCGTGCTTGCATAAAAAGGGAGATGCTTGGACGGGCTCGCGATTCAAATAAAAAGAGGCACTAAATGTACCAAATCAACTGGGAAATTTAAATGGCCACCCATCTTTGTTCCCTCACGTTCTTATACATTCAACACTTCGAAAGTATCTCGGAACGGCACCCCGCGCTTTCAATGTCACCTCGATTTTACCCAATCATGAGGACTGTGGGTTTGGACATTGTGGGATGTTGGTTGATGAAGTGGAAATTTAATCCCTGTATATCTCGAGGAAAGAACCTTCAAAAAATGAGGAATTCTAGAGAGGAGATATCATAAGATGTTAAATACTTCAAACGGTAGAATAACTCTGGAAAGGAAAGGAAAATTGGTCTATTTTCGAGGTGCTATAAACCTCCATTTGCGGACAATGAAGCGTTCCAAAAGTTCGAGCAAGCGATGACGATTACAATGTCAAAGTCAGGGGGATCAAGACTACTCACGTGAAGAAACTAGGAACCTTGCATGAATTCCTCACCGCTCCTTCCTCTTTCATATCCAGAATAAGAAGCTAGCTTATTGCAAAACTGATTGCACTTGCCTGCTCTTGAAATCCGTGTTACCGTTGAGAATTCATGAGAGGTTCCTGCATCTTTCGGAGCAATCGAGGACTTCACTTGCGCTTTTCGTCCAGTTATTTGAATGAAACCTCGCACCTCGTCCTTTCCTCTCATGCTTCTCACTTTGATTGATGTTTATTAAAAGTATGAGTTTCTGTTTTGTTGCAAATGAATCGTTCAAGCCAGTGTAGCCTTGCGTGAATGCTGCTTCGCTCCATCTCTCTCCAAAAGACTCATCGTGCATGCGTTAAGAAGTTTTGTTAATTGTTCTCAAGTGCGCTGAAATTGCTGTGAATCAATAGAAGGAGCAGTCGCCCTGTAAATCATTGAGACAGCCATGTCATCCAAGACACTTCAATATGTGAAATACTCTATGTGAAGATCTTGCACGTTCTTTACTTGCTGGCTGAGTTTGGCACTTTCATTACTTACCTCGGTCTTTTCTCTCCCCACTCTACTTGAGTTGTTTCCTACGTCTGAAAGTATGTGCTGCGAGCAGAAAATGCTTCTGAATTGAAGGGAGATGCTGGGACAAGCTCCAATATCACAACAGCAACTTCAAGTTTAAAGTGGCGGAGGGTCTTCTCATATACTCTTGTAAACAGCAGAGCATATATTACATTCTATGCTCATCTTGGCATTGCCAACTGCCTTGATCTCCTTGCGTTGAGCAGAGAACTCGCCTTACTAGTCCTCTATCTCATCTCACGTGCCTTGGAAGCGGAGAAAGTGAATTCACACTGCCTGGCCTTTATATATTCAATTAGCAAAAACCCTTCGCCTTCGGGCACTCGACATACGACTTGTAAGTAACTCCCCCTATCTACTTTACTCCAAACTAACACACAATAGAATGAAGTGGTAGGGGCGCCACAGTCGACAAATACCTCGTCGGCAAACACCCTGCCCGGATTCCCCAGGATTTCAACGTCGACAATTCCGGGGAAAATCGCCAAGGGATAAAACAGTCTTTAGAAACCCTCCCTGAAGAGACCGAAATGTCTATAAAAGGGACGAGCAGGCCTGGGAAAACCGCTAGCGACACCCACCCCATCCGACGCTCAAAATCGACAGCCCAAAGATGTAGGGCCAGCCTCTCCCGTCGCGGGCATGCTGGGAATCGACCCCCCGAACTTTTGCTATTTTGATACAAGGTTTTGATAAGGTATTATTTAATATTGAATTTTTAGGGATATATATTTTTTTGGTTATTTAAGGCTAAGCGAGGTCAAGCTTTATCTCGAGTACTAATAAATTTAACGTTCTTTCTCAGAGAATATGGCTTCCTCGGTTCTCATAGAGCTTTCTTACAGAATTTTTTTCTGGTGCAAGATATACATTGCATAAATTAATGGATCTAACATTTCAAGTTACGAAGATGAGTTTGATTACTTCAAAAATAACGACAGACAACTAGCTCTCGATCGCCCCTTCGCTTGGTTTGACATTCGAATTCTCATCGCTTCGAGACCCTTGGCTCCATCTCTCGTCAGACAGGTCATTTACGGGTTCTACGAAAGGTTCACTTCTGGTTCATCTATTCATTCAATTATCTTGGGAAGGCTCAGTTACCGCATTACTGATTGTCCAAGATGAAACACCATATGAGTTATGATTATCTGGCCTCGGTAAGGAGCGAGGCGATGTACGAGGCTTGACTTGAGAAGCTCTTCCAGCAAGGAGTTCTGCGAGAGATTGGACTCTTCATGAAGAAGCACAGAGGCGGTGTTGCTATAGAGTTATGCAATCCTGTCGCCGGGGCTTTCAACGCTTGTTTGCAAATGATATTTGGTGACGGCGGGTCTGTCATGATACGATTCCCATAACCAGGCAATATCAGATTCTCGGAGGAAAAGATTCGGAAAGAAGTAGCGATTATACGATATATCGCTGACAAGACCTCAATACCAGTACCGTTTGTTCTTCACTATGGTATGGAGGACGAGGGCCCAGCTGGAATAGGTCCTTTCATCCTGATGGACTACATAACTCATGCACATAACCTGACTGCGGAACTGAATACGCCTGGTCTCAAACGGGAAGATCGACCAATTCTAAATCCCGATATCCCCCAAGAAAAGCTCCGATTTGCCTATAGCCAGATTGCGGGTGTTCTGCTGCAACTGTCCCGGCCCTCTTTCATTCAAATTGGGTCACTCGAAGAAGTTGAAGATGGAATCTGGTGTGTCACAGGTCGCCCCTTGACATTCAATATGAACGAACTCGTCTCAGTGGGCAACTTTCCACCTAGCAAGCTGCCAGCTACAACTTTCACGACTTCAACCTCTTACTTCAGCGCTCTCGCAGATATGCATCTGGTTCACTTATCAACGCAACGCAACGATGCCATCACATCAACAGAAGACTGCCAACACACATACGTTGCTCGGCACCTTTTCCGCAGGCTCATATCAGAGGGCAAATTTCCAAGTGCCCCAGAACAGAAACAAAAACCCTTCAAATTATTCTGCGACGACCTTCGCCCATCTAATGTGCTTGTTGATGACGACTGCAGAGTTGTGGGTGTCATAGACTGGGAATTTACCTACGCTACTCCGGCCGAGTACTCTTACAGCCCCCCGTGGTGGTTGCTCATCGAGTCTCCTGAAAAGTGGCCTCGTGGCATTGCTGATTGGGTGAAAACGTACGAACCAAGACTAAAGCTATTCTTGGAAGTGCTTGAGGAACGGGAGGATACCATGATCCGAGACGAGGGTCTGACAGAAGACCAACGATTATCAGCGCAGATGAGGGAAAGTTGGGAGAATGGTGATTTTTGGGTGAGCCACGCGATCAGGAACAGTTGGGCTTTCGATGCGATATTCTGGGAGAAGGTCAACACGAATCCGCGGTTCTTTGACAAACCTGGGTATGAGGAGGGGCTGAAGTTACTTTCTTTAGAAGAGAGGAATGGGATGGGAGATTTTGTAAGAAGGAAACTGGAGAAGAGTGAAACTCGGACGTTGGATGACTGGGACGAAGAAGAAGTAGAAAGCAATAGGGAAGGTTGGATTTAGTGATATGTTAGACAAATGCCTATTTTCGCAAAACCGGCTAAAAGATTATCCAATTTAATATGGGTCAATCCACAGGTAAAAATGCAGCAGCAGAGAAGATTTTAGTAGAACTTAGCTCGCTCATTCTCGTAGCTTGATATGGACCGATCAACTAGAACCGCTTTTCCTCATCCGAACTGTATTCATCGACATATCTACTATCCCCTCTGCTTGTCCTATCTCTCCGACTTCGTTGACTTCTCTGACTCTTGCCACCATCACTTTCCGCACCACGATCAAACTTATCATCCCACTTCTCCTGCTTGTCCGCAGTATCCTTCTTCCCATCCTCCCACTTATCAATCACGGCATTAACTGCCAAACCTCCCACCGCAGCACCAAGCAACGTCAGCAACGGACTTGAGCTATGCTTCTCCCTCCCCTTGGCTTCCTGCGCCTTATGCGCCGCCCACCCACCCACCAAAGCCCCCACCGCACCACCAGCTAAGCCCTCCTTACTCTTCGTAAAGAAACTCTCGACCTCTTCCTTCACCCCATACCGATGCGCTCTGTCTCTGTACTTATCCAAGTGTCCCGACCCCGTGCCTCTCCTCGCAAGCTGCTGATCTCCGCCCGCACTACTCCTCGGCCCATGATACGAGCTACTCCGTCTCGTCACCGCCTTCGGTCTTCTTGGTCTTCGATAGGAATCAGAATAGTAATCCTCATCACCATACGAATCCCTTCTCGATTTCCGTTCAACGGGCTGTGGCTGGAACGGTGGCGGCGCATACGCTCCTTGGGCATACGGGTATCCGGACCCGATCGGAGGAGGAGAGGGTGCGTATTCTGGCCTCAGATGCGGTGGCTCGCTACTATAGATTGGGGCCCCATCGTATATTTGCTGTTGTTGGGTGATGTTTGTTTGAGGTTGTGGTGGTGGGCTGAACATGCTTCGTGGTGCTCCGCGTTCGGGATGCTGTTGTATGTCTTCTGACAACTTATCCACAGGGCTCGCTCCACGATCTTCGAGCGAGGGCGAGTTCGAATCGTCGTCGTCTGTAGAAGAGCTTGAGTTTGAGTTTTCGTTTCTAGCCCGCTGGTTCTTCTTTCTGCGCTTCTCTCGCGTTCGCTGCCGTTGTTGTTTCGAGGTCAGGTTCGCGGGGTGATATGTTTCTGGATGGAGGGCTGCGTCGGGCACTTTATCGAAATGCTTATCAACGAGGAAGTTGGCGCCCTTGAGGCCAAGAGCAATGAATGGTTGGGCCATGGTCGTATGCGTCCGACGTTCCGGACCGCCGTTGTTGTCCTATGACGTCCGGTGAAAACTGCAGAAAAGCTTATTAATCCTCCTAACGCCCCCGTCGAGTATTATAAACTCTTTTTGACCTCGGCTGCTTCGTGAAATGTTTTAGTGAGTGGGAGAAAATACGAGTTTTGAGGAAGGGAAGAGGATTGAGGTTGAAGGTGGGAGGGATATTTGCCTTCTAGTCGTTTTGAAACATGAGGCACCACCGCTCTTTAAAGGCTAGGAAGGGTAAAGCATCCTGATATCTCATGATCTCTTCTGGCATCGTGGGAAATCTCTCCGGCACGCGTGGCGCAAAAGGTATCCAGACGTTGGCTCGATCTTCATGTCGATCTTCAAGTCGATCGAGCGACGTCATTGTGCATCAGTGACAGCCAGAGCGACTTAATAGGGGTCCCACGTGATGAGATGACATTCTCCCGTTTTCTTTTCCCCGAGAGGCGGGGATATTTCAGATGCTGTGTAATTAATGACATGACTGGGTTCACAGGGAGGTACTTTCTCCAAGTAACTCCTGTGTATCCACAGCCTGGTGAAGATTTCTCATCCATGAATTTCCTAAGGTGTTGGTGGGTCTAGTGCAGGCGCGGGCCGGAGCGCTCTTCCGACCCCTGTCTTCACACTCCTGCGAATCCAAGGACTTTTGAATGCCCATTTCGCCACTTGGTAAGTACCTGTATCAGTCAGTCTCACATCAATCACATTAAAGAGCTGGTATTGTAAATGGGGGTCTCTCGGAGGCAGCGCGGTGAACAAGCCATTTGGAAGATTTTATTCTTATTCTTCCGCAAACCCAAGTTTGCGACTGCTATCCCAACGGCGAATTCTCCTTGCCAGTGTGGTCTGCAATAAGGGCAACTTTTCTGCGCCAATAAACCATTAAAATTTGATGGTAGCATTCTCACAAATCTCCGGCACATCTCGAGGTGCGTTATTTCCAGAGCCGTGGAAGTTTTTGGTTGTTTGCCAAGCAATGACCACGGCCATCCAGCATATTGTCCCCTTGGTCAGACCCATCACGGGATCAGCACCATTTCAACCTTCTCGCCAGCCAGAACAAAGCCAAAGACACGGCTATCTCTGCCCCAACAATGATATACCAAGCCGGAGTATTGTTAGCATAGAGTGGTACATTGGCATTAACATTCGTGCTAAACAGTGCACAGATGATGGTCATCGCAGTCAGAATCATGGAGATGACTGCCATAACGTGTATAAACCTGTTGACTCGTTGACTCCCTCGCATTCTGTCGATTGATAGTCCAGCCAGATAGTTGTTTTGAGACCTTGCTAGAAGGCTCTCAAAGTGATGTAGATTGGCCAGCATGGTGGTAACATGATCCATCACGTCATTGATGTAGAGTCTGAGGCCATTGCCTGGATGTGTTTCCTCATCGGATGGTTCGTCCTCGAGTTTTCCGATGCAGTGGTGCTTCTCGAATCCTGAGAGAACGTTGTTCTTTCCCCCAAGCAGCCTCAACAGAGCAGAACTGCTCCTCCTGACCTCTTCGATCTGATGGATGAACGCTTGTTTGTCGTCTTCACGTGTTGTATAAACTTGATCTTCAATTTTATTGACTTGCTTCTCAATTTGATTGATAGAAGGATTGAATGAGTCTACAATGTCATCGCTACAGCGGAAGTTAGTTTCCGATGGTACAACATCGATGGGAACAACTTACACAAAAGCATAGAAAATCCAGTCACTATTGATAATAACATAGTGCTTCAAAAGCTCAATTCTTTGAAGGACGTGATTCGCATGTTCGCTATCATCGAAGCAGAAGCTGAGCGTTCCTGTGGGGAAAACCACCATGTAGATTGTATAAGGTGTATATGTTTTGTCTGGCGTTGTATCCTCCACACGGTAGGACCGGAAACTAGCGAAATAGTAGTGGGTGAAATCTTCAATCTTCTCTTGAATCTCCCGGTTCAGGATATCCTCTACCGTCAATGGATGTATCCGGAATGCTGAACAGAGGAGACGAAGTTCTGTTTCCGACGGATTTTGCACGTCCATCCACCACAAATGCTCTGACTCTTCCGAGAAGATCGACGGCAGGTCCGTCTCCACGAGGTTCAATTCCGAGAAGCATGCTGCCTGAAATGTGGAGCCGAACGACGGAGAGTAGAGGATTATCCGCTGTGACTTCGCATGATTCGCAGATATGGTAGAGAATGCATAGCAATTCTTCTTCCGGATCTCATTGTAACCCAGCCCTTCAGCCTCGTCCTGTCCATTATTCTGTGCGTCGAGTTCCTGCTGGACTAGCACCTTTCCGAGGCCGTCAAAATCAATGCTGAACCGGTTGTTGCTCTGCTTCTCCTCGCTATCCGATGGTTCCCCATCCAGCACCTCAATTGCTTCCGGCTCCGCATGGAGTTTGGTCGTGAATTTGATGGATGGCATGGTCGATTCTTGGCAGCCCCGTGGCAGCCTCGACCTCAGCGCTGTGGTTGTCTTTCCTCAAAATATGCGTAGGATCGCATGCTCCACGACATCCTAGGCCACCTAGACCACGATTCGAGGTGTGGTGATGACCGGAGGCGAGTTGCTAAGATGCGTCGCGGTCTTGTGGATTGTTTAGTGGAAAGAGAAAGTTGAATGTTCATTTTTGACTTCAATCTGCGATCTGACATTTCGCGACCGTGATTGGATGAGGAAATGACAACCCTGAGCAGACCGAAGCACCTCACCTTCTCCACAACATCATGTTTTCAACCATCGTGAAGATGCATTTGTAGGCCCTCATCGCCATCTTGTTCGTCGAAAAACACTTTTTGACGTGGCCAGGGAGGACGACGACAGGGACCGAATCCTGGGCCGCGCCGCTCCGAGACACTATGGGAAAGTCGTAAGGGCCCAAAGAATCAGCAAGTCTCAAGTCCGAGGAGTTTAGGAATTTAAACTATCTGTCATGATTCACTGTGTATAACAAGTCTTTTAGTCTCAAAATATCTTAGATATCGAACGGAAAAGGACGCCGTGGTAAATTGAAGTGCATGATTCAAATGCTGCAGCCCTGGATCTCAGAAGAATTTCTCTCTATTGGTATATTCAGTCCAGGCTCCAGTTTCTCATATCTGCACCCTATGGATCAGTTGTCATATCTCCATTTCAAGACTGCGTGATCTCAAAGCAGAGAGATGCAAGTAGTCTCATGAATCCCCTATGTCCTCCTCAACCTCATATACATCTCCATTCATCTCCAACCTCCACTCTAGACGGCCAATCTCAATTCCCAATCTCTCGCGCAAAGGAACAGCGGCTCAGATCATCTCAAATTAAAGCAGCCGGCGCTGCAGCAATAAAGCAGGACCTCGCGCCACAAACACCAGCAAAAATGAAGTGGTATCATAACGGGCACGTAACAGCATTACAAAGAGGGAAATGACCCAGCAGAATTCCGCCTGTTTCTTAGATCCCTCGTCGTGAATACCGGTTGTGTAGGAAGTATGTGCTGGAAAAGGGGGTAACAAAACAAATGGATAGAAAGGAATCATCAAAGGCCGTGTGCAGAGACGAGGGCGGAGACCATCTGAGCAGGCAGAAATCCGAAAGGCGTAGTGAAAAGGTTAGAAGCAGTTCAAGCTTCCCTTTTTCTTCTTTTTGCTGATGGCGTTCATCCTCTCCTCCAAATGTGCTCGGGCAATTTCTGCGTCCCGCCTCTTCTTTCGCTCCTCTTCGACTTGGAGCATGCTCCATCGGTTCTCCTTGTCTGATCCGCCGTTCTTCTCCCTCTCCTTGGCCTCTCTGAGCTCTTGTTCAAGTTCAGACGCACGTCGTCTCCATGCATCAACTTCGCCCTTCATCTTGTTGCTCTGTCTCTCGAGATCGGTAAGAGCTTCCTCTAGAGTCTGAGTGAGCTGCTTCTCAGCGAAGAGGTGCTTCTCAATGGTACGAATGCGAGCTTCTTGGTCTTCGTGGATCTGGGCGACCGCAAGATCTTTGCTGCTAGGACGGTGGGCTTGTGTTGGTGTAGGTGGAACTGGCACTGAAGCTGCGTTTGCAGTTGGTGATATTTGGCCACCGATGCTTCCAGGGAGAGGAGGCAAGGGAATGGCAGGTGGAGGGGAAGGCAAAGAGGCCACAGAGGCAGATTTACGGAGATGCGAGTTGATTGAGTTGGAGCGGTTTGGGCCAGGTTCTTGTTGGACCTCCTCAAATTTGGCCTAAAAATATTAGCATTATGGTAGAACTAGCCAGGGGTGTGGATCCTTACCTGAAGTGTTGCGTACTCCTCTTTGATAGCTTCGAGTTCCGTTTGGACACGAACATGAGCCGCATTGGCCTCTTCGAGTTGGGCATTTCGCTCAGTCTGAAGTGTAGATAGGCGATTGTTGGCAATTTGATGCTGATCGAAATTAGACGCCAACTGATCCTCCAGTTCCTCCACCAGACGGGAATTCTTTCTGTTCTTTGTCTCCAGATTGGTCATCTCCTTCCTCAATGCTGCCAATTGCTCAGAGACGGTGGCATGCTCGTCCCTCAATTTGACACCATCGGCAGTCTGAAGCAACAAGTCGGCAAGCTCAGCCTTGACGGACTCCAGTTCCTTCATGACAGTATCGTTGATGCTAGAAAGGTCAAGGACATGGTTCTCTAGTTTGACGCTCTTCTTCGTTTCCTCAGCTAGGGCTTTTTGATCCGCAAGAAGATCGGTAATCCTCTCCTGAAGCTTCTCGGTGCTAACGTCAAGACCAAGAGCAAAGGCGACTTGGGTGGCAATCTTGGTGAGTTCATCGCGGGCCTCCGACAATTCAACTTGCAGTGCTTCAACGCTTTGCTGATGCTTGGCGGCGAGATCTGCCAAATGGGCTTCAGAGTCAGCTTGCATAGTCGATTTGATTGTCTCAATTTCCTTGGCGTGGTTTGCATGCAAAAGATCAAGGCCATCCTGGTGCGTCTTGACGATAGTCTCATGCTCGGCAATTTGTTGTTCGAGCCTAGCGACAAGTGTCTTGTGCCCTTCCACCTCTGCACTGGCGATGTTTCTGGACTTCGTCACTTCCTCAAGTTGGTTGCGAGTAGTAGCGTGGGATTGCTCGAGTTCAGCCACACGGGCAACGTTAGCGGTCACAGCAGCCTTGTGTACATCGATTTCTTTCTGAAGGACGTTGACGAGATCACTCTCATCGCCAGAATTTCGGGCTTTCTGCTCTTCACTGAAATTGGCCACCTGTCTCTCAAGTTCGGCGATAGTCGCCAACATCTGCTTCTCCGAACTATCCATGGAAGCAAGTGCCGTTTGATGCCGATCTTCCCAACTGGCCAAGTCGGCCTGAAGCTGAGCAATCTTCTCCTGTTGGAGGTCAGCCGACGCTGCCAGTGATTTGTCGTTGGTAGACGGAGTGGACTGAGCCTCCAAAGATGCGCGAAGGTTTTCCAATTCACCCTTAAGCTCCTGCTCTCGGGCGGAATGGGTCTCACGTAGAGATCTCATCTGAGCTTCGCTCTGCAACAGTTGATCGCGCATTGATGAGACAACTGACATGTCCATAGGTGAAGATTTCATGCTGGAACGCTCACGAGTCAAGCCAGAGATGATCAGCATTTTCGTTTCCATCTCCTTCTTCACAGCTGTGATGTCTGCTTCCAATTCTTGAACCCTTTCCGAGCGGGCATGCAACTCGTGCATTGCAGTGTTAAGATTCAACTCGAAGTTTGCCATGACATCAGGACTGCTCTCGAAATTCTCCGTGGCGATATTTCGGAGCGAGGCAAATGCTCGGTGTGCTTTATCAATGATCATAACATTCTGACTGGACTTGCGACGGATGACAGGAGTTGCAGAGCGTGGGGAGCTGGCTTCGTTCATCTTTGCTTTTGAAACCTCGGTCTTGAGCTCTTCGACAAGGTCAAGCGCATCCATATGTTCTTCCTCGAGCTGGGCATACTTTTCAGCTAAGAGTTGTTGTGCATGCTCCTTCTCCGCTGCGAGCTTTCGTAGTGTTTCGACCTCCACCGCAATCGTCTCGTCATTGGCAACACTCCTCGTCGCATCCCCAGACTCCGATTTCTTGTTCGCGGCTTCAGCATCAGATATTTCCATAGTAGTGGGTAATTCCCCAGCTGAGGACAATTCCGAAGAGAGCGATCGCGAGGATGAAAATTGTCCTCCATCCTTTAGCTCGTTCACCCTCGCGTCTGCTAAAAAAGATGTGGGTCTTGCCTCAACCGGAGTGGATGTCGACAAGATTGAATCACGAGGATTCGGGTGACGTGCTTCATCAACAGCGTCTTGGAGTTCGGCAAGAGTGCGCAGGGCTTCTTCGTACTTGGCGGAGAGAAGATCAAATTCGGTCATCGTGGACTCGTGCTCTACCCTGAGATCAAAGAGCTCCTGGGTGACATTCTCCAATTTATCTTCAACGAACTTGGATTGGGCCGGACTTTGAGGAGGGTAGTGATTGTTGACTGCTTCAAGAGAAGTCTGAACTTCACCATCAAGGGGTTCACCATTGTCTGCAGGACCTTCAGCTTCAGTTCGGTGAGCATCTTCGGGATTCGTAGTCGGAAGCTCGTCGTCTCCTTCTTCTAGGATAACGTCCTTGTGACTTCGCTTGCTGGCATAGCTCTGTTGACGAGAATGCTCGTAGGCTGAACGCTTGCCATTGACGACGACGGCTTCGGCTTCAGCGTTTTTACCGTCTTGCTGAATATGGTCGAGCTCGTAGAGGAGGTTGTCGAGCTTGCCCAAACTTCGCTGACGCTCAACGACATGTTCCAAGCGGTCGATCTCACGCTGCATCAACTCCGCGTCCTGATCGGCCTCGGCAAGTCGTTCCTCGAGAGTTGAGATGTAGTCCTCGCAAGCTGCTTCATTTTCGCGAACGCGAGCGATTTCTTTGCGGAGCTCCATCACGATCGCGGAATTCTTCTCCTCACCAGATGTGTGGCCGTCGAGTTTGGCTTCAAGGTCGTGAAGGTAATGTTCAGTGCTGGATTCGCGGTCAATGAGCTTTTGCAAGCGAGCTTGCAGTTGCTGGTTCACCGTCTCAACGTAGGCACATTTGGTTTCTTTTTCGAGGAGAATGGTCTCGCAATTTGAGAGTGAACCCCGCGTGCTGGAAAGAGACTGCTCAAGACTCTGAATAGTCTTTTCATATTCCAAAACAACCTGCTCCACTGCCTCGGCGAACGAGTTTGAGCGCTTCAATCTTTCTGTTGCACTCTCGCCAAGAGTTTCTTCATAAGCTTGGTTGTCGGCCAATTCGCCATCTCGCGCCCTTGCCATCTCGGAGATGAGTTTTGCGTGTCGTTGGCTCAGGGCAGTGTAATTTTCTTGCGTGTCGAGCAGCTGATTCTGAAGTTCAACTTCGCGTTCGTTTTGTCGCTCAGGCCTCTCAATGGTTGCATGGCTCCGGCGATCGCCTCCACGTTCGGTGCTTCGGATCTGCTCCCGGAGAAAGGCAACTTCAGCCTTCAGGCGATCGATCAAAGCGTGCTTGTCACTCTCATCCGAGACCTGTTGAATTCTAGGCTTGCTCTGAATTGCTCGAGCACGTTGCGCGTATTGCACGGTATTCAGAGTTTCGCTGAGGTGAAACTCTGCTGGAGTGACACATGCTATCATGTACGTGATCGCGTTACCACCTAGAGAATCTTGTAGTAGTCGAGTAAGTTTCGAGTCGCGATACGAGACGTGAGATCCGGCCTGGCGAGAGGACAATTGGGAGATGACTTTTCCTAGACTCGCAAGCCCAGCGTTGATTGAGATTCCCTCCTTGGCACGTTCGCCTTGTGCCCCAGTATTTTTCAGTCTTTCGCTACCAGCCAGATCAACAAAGTGTAGCTTGCTGTCGATTGTGACCATGGTGTCGCCTCCAGTCATGGCTTCAAGTGGTACCGAGAATCGCTTTTCGGCGCCTTGTGCAGTCTGTAACTTGCTCTTGCGTTGAATCAAGTTCAGACTGAAGACAGCGTGGGAACGAGAGGACTTGGCGTTGATAGCAGTGGAATCGGTTTGGCGGATCATAGACCCAAAATTAAGGGCAGCCATTAGATCATCAACTGAGTTGATCTCAACTGTATGGAGGCCAGTCAGAAGAATGTGTCCCTTGACATCCTCTCGGATCGTTACAGCTCCCCTCTCGTTGTGAGGAACATTTTCTGGAAGCAGTAGATCTCGCAGCTGCTCGTTATAAATCTCGACATAGGTGGCTTTGAGGGACCAGTTCTTCTCTGCACCTCTCGCCAACATGGCTGCGGCATTGGCGGAGTACCTAGTTGGTGTTCGCAGCCCAGACATTGAATTTCGGTTACTTGGTCGTGCACCATCGAGTTTCTCGAAGAGTGCAGCTCCTGCACGAGGAATGACACCTAATACAGCATTTGGATCAGCTTCAGGGTTCTGATAGTTGAACATGGTGAAACCAGACACAGCAGGCTTCGCGAATTTTACGCGTCTGCAGGAATGACTTACCCATCATCTCCATGTCACCTTGCTCAGACGGTCCCGATGTTCCCATTGTGTACGACTTCCCCGCGCCAGATTGGCCGTATGCCAACATGGAAACGTTGTAGCCCTGGACAAAGGCATTCACACTCTCAATCAGGTAGTCCCATATGCCTTCCTGGGTAACATCTTCCCCAAAAACGCGGTCGAAGACGAAGAGTTTGCGGCCTTGGGGCGAATCGATCGCTAAACTTGTAGGTGAAGTGACCTGGACCATAGATCGCTGAAATCGTTGTGGGATGAGTTCGAATCCGGGATCAGTTGGTTTGAGTGGCGGACGGACGCGAACAGCTATAGATCGATAGTAAGCACCTTTACATTCCGAGTTTGTGGTCCAGAAGTTAACGTACCAACTTTCACAGACGTCTTCCCGTCCTCGTCCGAAGCGCGACTGCCTCCACCACCTTTGCTGGTCATGCTCATGCGACTGGTTGTTCTCGGCGGTCTCATCATCGCGCTCACCGGCCGGGAAGGGATGCCCGCAGGCGATCCAGGCGGAGAGCTGGCCATGGCTCTAAAGAATCCTTCGTTGCGACAAAATACGACGATGTGGTGAGTTAAGATGAGGAAGAGTTGGCAGATTCGAAAACGTTAATAAAAATAGGCGAGCAGGACTTCGTTTACAGAGCGGCTGTCATATCGCGGAGTCGAGAGTGAATCGATGTGAAATGTTCCAGTGGTCTCGGGATGTTCCCCTTTCCCAGCAAACCCCAGCCAAATTTAAAGTAAGCAACGCGTCGCTTGTGCGGATGCAGGCTCTGATTTGCGGATGGCTATTAGGGCAGTGGCTAGCAGCAAATAGAGACCGAGTGCGCGCTGGGCCGGGGGTGCTCGACGTGCTCGGCGGCCGAGATGGCAAGATGTTTTGGATTTATTGTCGGAACTTGGAAGGATAGGAGGGAGAGGGAGAAGGAGTGGGCGAGAGCAGGAAAGAGAGAGAGGAGCATGGCCGGCAGGGTCAAGGTACCGCTTTTGGCCCTGCAGCTGGCGAGTGGGCGACGAAGGAGATTGCTAATTGCTCCTTGGGTTAAGCCCTTTTCGGAATCCAACACCACACCACGCCCGATGCGCCACAGCTGGCTGCTCGAGCAGTGGACAGTGGACTGTGGAGGCGTGCCTGGCAACGGCTCTGGCCTCAGGGGCAGGGGCAGCGGCGCAGCGCAGGGAGGTGTGCGTCCAAGAGCAGCTAGGCGCTGGCATCTCTTCCGCCTCTAGGCCTGAGTTGGTGTAGAGCCCTCGTGGGAGCGTGGTGCACTGGTGATCCTCCTATCTATGATCCGAGACCACACGTTGTTGTGTGATATGGACGCTACGGGGCATTTCTCCAGATCAGCACACAGCACACAGCACCGTCGAAGTCTCGGACTGATGTTTTGCACTGCAGCAGTGTTGCTGCGCTGCTGCCCGCGAGGACTTTGTTTTTTTTTCAGCCAAGGCAAGGCATGTCTTAGAACACTCGCTATGCGGGCCGCCTATCATTAAGCATTGCCGGACTCCAACTTGTCAAAGCTAGTCCGGCCCAGATGGCATCAGGGCATGACAGACTATTCGACCTGCATGGCCACATGGTTGTTCGCGTTAGAAATCGCCTCTGCACGAGTCCAGGACGAAACTATCGGCCCTCCAAAGGACTTTCCACTTGACCGACGTATGAAGAGTGGCATAAGGCATTGTTTATTAACATCTGGTGCACCCACCTTCGATTTTCGAATGCATCTAGCGTTCTACCTTTCTAATCTCCAACCTTAATTGCAACAAGGGGATGACTTCGGATGATACAGAAGACCTCGTTCAGGGGAGAGCCATCCTCATGCCAAGACGCACCGAACAATGGCTCTGCGCTACAACTACAAGCTTGGATAGAATTAAATTGACGGTTTGACAGCCCCAGATCATTACTTACATATTTAGATGGACGCCTAGAAGCCGCTGAGGCAAGGAATTGACAATGCAGCCTGACTCCCAGAGCAGACACAGGGTTTGGAATTCTACACCTTCAGATCATCATTTCCTCTTCCGAAAGTTACTAGAATCGCAATATATCCTCTCCAGAATATCTCACGAACCTGGAAAATCTAGTTGATAGCACCATTTGACGAGGGCAGTCCTCAGTCTCGGAGGTGTTGGGATCCCTCGGCCAGACCAAACTTCCCCAGCGCGCGGGAACGGGAAGTTTAAACAGATCTTGGTTCAGTTCGGTCCTGCTGTAAATTTCCTCAACTCCATCTTCAACCTTATTCTCCAGACGCCGTGCTGGTTTAATTACGGCTCCCTCACCCGACGACGCTTTTGTTCCATTATCGCTGACGCCGTGACGACTCCCACAGGACTCCCAGCTCTTAGAATTCAGCACAGAAGTCTATCAACTAGATGAAGCCTGCCATCGAAGCTTGACAACAGGCCCAAGGAGCAAGCGAATTGTCGCCCCAGCCTCACTGCACGGCCGTTGTGCGAGGTTTCCTTCGACCGTGCCGGTCGTGCATCCTCTTTTGACAAAGCGCCAAATGATTCCGGGGAAGCACACCGCCTCCAAGAATGATTTTATCATCCTGGGCAGTTGATCAGAAAATCATGTCGCATGCGGAAGCAAAGCGCGGCGCAAAACGTTCTCAGTCGTCCCACCCACGAGGATGTGCAAGCGAGTGTAACCAATCTCTTCTGGAGAGCTCGGCAGAAGTGCTCCTGCGAGCCACCCTCGAGCACCCGAAGCCACCTCGTCGTCATCTGGCATTTCTTTCAACTTCTGGCCTCCTCGATCCCGCCGGATCATACAATCTTGCATACAACCCCTCCATGCATGAAATGGTTGCACACAATCTTGAAGGTGAATCCTTCATATTTCTTCTGTGTTTCTAAGTGACGAAAGGTGTCCCAAGGCCCCGCTCTGAGCAAATTACGCGCGAGTCTTTTCGCAATCTTTCCTCAAGGAAGACTTAACGTGAGACAATACTTCTGTGCATGCCCGAGCACGCGCGGGTATCGATTTTGCGGAGGCTGATTATCAGATATCAAAGAGAGATTTCGGGAATCGATGGTCTGAGCAGACGGGGTAGATACAACCCCGCTCCATCCAAAGGCGTCAATGGATATCACGAGTCTTCTTTTGGGCTCATTGTAACGGGCATGCATGCGTAAGTGGATATCAAGTACCGAGCATTGGATCCAAAGAATTGCGAATAGGTCGAAATCTGGCAAGGGCTGCATGCTGGATCAAACTAGTTGTAGATTTCATGCAAAGGCGGGCGACGTTTGAAGGCTCGACCGTGCATGAGGATTTGCCTAGCGGACGCACGGTTCTCTTGATCGAGAGTTTTCCAAGTCCACGAAACATTGTTTTTCCTTCATTATTAATTGCGTGAGCAGTAAGGCTAATGGCCTCTTCTGAGAGATTAGGGTGATTGTGTCTCTTTCACGTTCCCTTCTTGGTGACGTTTCAATGTACTCGAGTACATTGAGGAGGCAGGTGGGAATTGCTTGTACAGAGAGAAGTGGCTCAGGTAATTCGATCTTACTCTTCGCTCTTTCTTAAAGTTAGCATTTCAAGACTGCAAAGATGTGAGCGATAATGAGCCATGTTCAAGAGTGGAAAGAACCAGTGAAGTAACTTCCCTTTAAGGTTCAGCATCAGTGCACACCATCTCTCTTCAAGTCTCATTCCGGCTATTCCGAGTAGACATCAGTAAGCCATCCTTACCGGGAATATTCTTGTACGATGGTACCCGGAACTTCTGTTCGTTCTCTTGAGTCCGCCGACTACCAATGGAAACAATTGATGTCACAGGGATCACGCGACAGCCAACAACAATCACGAGAATCGCCCACGTTGTGGCAGCGTCGGCCTCTTGCCAATGAGGCGATGTGGTTGGCAAGGCCGAAAGATTCTCGTGATCTCTTCGTATATGCTTCTTTGAATTTCAAGTCCCCTATTCTTCGCAGCAGGCTAAGTTCAGCAATCGAGTCTGCTTGGAAACAAGTGCGATTCGACGTCCCAGAACTTGAGCTCACAACCAGAACAAGTGTGGAAGACGGGAACCGATACATGCAATATCAGACGCCTCTAAATGAGGAAGACGTGGATAAATGGGTCAAGCGGACGTCAACTTTTGAATTTGCGGTTCAATGCCAAGGGTTTGGGAGGCTGCGAAAAAAGACTCTTGAAAAGAAACGAAGGCATGACTTGGATAACGTTTTCTTATTCTCGCAAGCTGTGGTCCAGGCCGAGAACTTTGTGCTGGTCTACAAACTTCAACTTATGATTTATGTGGATCATTTGATTACGGACGGCATTGGAGCTCGAATTCTGCTTGGACGTTATCTCTCACACCTTGCTTCTTCAATTTCCACCTCATTCCAATTCAAACCCAATTGGCTAGAAAACCACGACAGACTATCGCCACCATGGATATGTCTCATGGACCCCGAACAAAAGCTATCGGGGACACAGTACGAGAGGAATGCGTTATGGAACCAAGATATTATCCTCAACCATATGGTAAGCAAGGCATACTTTAGGTAGACTTCTCTCCATGAGGTGTTCTAATATGATGCAGAAGAACAACCATGGAATCCCCCTACTTGAGACGGGGATGAGAGGGCCAGAAACCCACAAGGCACACTTCCTTACTTTCACCAAGGCACAGAGCACCTCTCTTTTGCAACAAGTTAAGAAGGTTGTTGGCTCCGACTCTAGCATAACTCACCTTGGGCATGCAGCAATGGTATTAGCATTGCTTCGATCCAATCCTTTACTCCAACCGGACATGGAGGCAAAACCATCTCCTCTTTATTCACCATGCTGGCTTAATGGCCGACGTTATCTCCTTTCAACAGCTGGGCACCCTGATCCATCCACTGATTACATACCCCTCTGCATCTCTTTTGCGCCGATCCTATTCGACGATCTCAGAGACCTTTCGCTTTCTTTGGAAGCAGGGAAGGAGGAGATTAAGTCCAAGCTCGTGCATGCGTCTCGGATTGCTACCAAGAGCTATAGGAAGATCAGCAACCGGAAAAGTATCCTTCCTGAGTGTGTGGTTCTGTTCGAGAATCTTGGAAAGAAGATGGGGACCATGAGGTATGTTGTGCACTTAAGAGTGCCCATCAGATCCACTGCATATGGAACTATGATAGTCATCAAACCCAATAGAATAACGATCGGCAGGGTCCCGCAAGACTTGATCCCTACTGAAGACGAGCAAGGCATCGCTCCCGGATCCGAAGTTGTGCTATTAGATGCCGAGATCGCAAAGAAAAACATGTCTTCCAAACCTGAAGTCGGGCAAGACATCTCTCCCAGGCCTGAAACCGAGCAAGGCACCTCTACCAAATCTGAAGGCAATTCTCCTAGTTCTAGAGACGAGCAATACACCAGTCCCAAACCCAGATTCGAGTCAATCTCTGCCAAGAGGGCAGACCCCGTAGGGACCTCCTTTCTCTTCCTCAAAGAACCTCTCTGGAGAACTGAAGCTAACACTCACTAGTTCTTCCTCAGCGACGGCATAGTAGAAAGGTATATCAGTCGTGAATACCACGTCACTTCCTGGCTCAATAAAATCAAAACGGACAAGCCAATGTTCGAGGTCGTCGACATCAAGTTCGCTGCCAATGCAGATCGCAACATGTGAGTCTAGAGCCTAAGCTATGAGACGAGGCTAATAGCGAATAGTGTTGTGCGTATGAGTAGCTGGAGGGGCCGAATCACAATACAAGCAGAATGGAGATGTTCTGATTATAATCGAGACATGGTAAATGGCTTCTTGGAGGACGTTAAAAAGATTATGCTGTCGATGCTGGTAGAGTGAGAATGGGGGCTTTACTTTATGTTGTACTGTACCTAAAGGCGAGGGTTTTTGCTATCAAGCATGGTTAGCGAAGGAGTATCGGCATTGGCAAGATAGAAGGGAGCATGGTCAGCAAAGGAGTATTGGCATTGGCATAATTAGAAAGGAAGCATCGATAGTAGGCGAAAGGCACATATCAGAAAGAGAATTGTGTTCTCGATCGGAACGTTCGCTCTGGGTGGTCAAAAAGCGCTTTGACATTGGCCTTCACCACTTGAGTCAGTGTGCGAAAAAATTAATCAGATTAATCAGATTAATTGATTAATTCATGAATATTCATGAATAGCGTGAATAGAATTTGATTAACGTGATACTTATGTAATTTGATTAGATTAGAATAATTAATCATGAATATTCATGAATACCTTGATTAATATACACGTGACCGCATCAGGTAATAAACTAACCTAAGTAAGGTTCTTGCTCTAGCACTGCCTTAGCGAGCTTTTCTCTCTAGGAGCAAGGTAGCACTAGAGCCAGATCCTTACCTAATTAGGTTAGCCCATCACGTGCTTCGGTCACGTGTACATTAATCAAGGTATTCATGAATATTCATGATTAGCTTAATTAATTCGTGAATAGAATATAATTAATGAGAAAATTTCATGAATAGATTAGATTAATAGCCATTAATCTAATCTAATCTATTCATTTCTCACACTGACTTGAGTCAAGTTTTACAATTTGAAAGGAAAACAGATCTAGGAACAAGTGCAAAAATATTCATTGCTGCCTACCATATGCTAACCAAGCTCCGTTTACCTGGGTACCCTATATCCTGCTCCATGCCGGATTCATCCTTCCGCGGTATCCATTCCATCATCCAAAATGCCGTCCTCTATCATCTTATCAATTCCGGCGAGCATCATGTCTCTCCATTCTTCGTACTCCTTCTTCTTCGCCGGAGTCATGATATACTTCTCTTGGATCATGGATGCCGTAGCCCTTCTCCTAAACTCACTCCCCAATTCTTCAGACATGCTGACGTCGTCATCCTCGCCATCGTCCGTCTCAGATTGGATCTCACCATCAACACCACACCCATCTTCAATATTCTCAAACCAATCCATCTCCCTCCATCCCTTAACAACAATCTCCTTCCTCCAGGCATTAACATCTTTCTCAACAATCTCTTCCCACCCTTCCCAAGTCCTCTCCTCATCTCCAACTCTGTCCTTAACTCCTTCGTCCTCCTTTGCCCTCACAAGCACATCTCTGACCATCTTCTTCCTTGCCAAGTTCTCTTTGCCCTGCCCCTCCTTCCCCCTCATCTTCACCACGACAAAGAACCACAGCGCCGCAATCAACGCCGGGATCTTTCCCTCCACACCCTTCTCATTCTCGCCATTAGGATCCGACGGGCACGGAAGACACAACACGCTTTCCACCCCGGCTAATAAGTGTGGTACAGCGCGAGGAGTTTCCATCTCACGGCACAGAAGTCGGATGGTAGGGCCAACCCATCTTGGGATCCGCTCGTCTTTGTCTGTGTTGCTGATGTATTTGAGGCCTTTCCTCTCGGTCCTATTCTTTCTGAAGTTTTCGAAGGACTTCTCTTTCCCTGGCGTCAGGCGTTGGGGCAAAGGCTGTGTTTGTTTGCTTGAGGCTGTGCTTCTGGACGTGGAGGATGTGCCTTTTGAAGGTGAGGATCGGATCGTGGAGGAGCTGGCTTTTGAGGGCGGAGACCGGGCTTTTGCGCGGTTGCGGGCGGCGGAGGTGGTTAGTGTGCGGTCGAAGTAGGCGTAGAGCTTTGAGTATACGCGTGGTGGCAGTGGTGGGCGGGGCTCGATGGGTGGGAGGTTTAATGTTGTTTTGAGCCTTAAGTGATACGTGAGATTAGCAAATGCTTAATTGAAGGCGAGAGAATTGAAGTGCTGGGGAGTACCTCTCGCATGCTAGATTTGCACAAGCATATGCTCTCGCAATCTCCTCGTCCTGCTTCAGATTACTGCATTTATTCCGTGATTGTGCTAGCAATGAACTCGCCAGCTCAATTAACTCTGGTGGGAGAGCGCCTGAATGGCGGGGAATGAGGTTGTTGAGAGCTTGGATGACTGGTTTGCTCATGTTTCTGAGTATTATCAACTCTCTTTTTGCCCGAAGTCAAAGATTGTGGTGTTGTGGCAGAGGTTCAAGTGTGGTTGGCTGTGAATAGCTACACATGCCGCCAGCCGCGCGCATTTCACGTGCCAAGCCTTATTTTAGCCTCTTCTCCCCCTGTGATTAGCATGAGCCACTCCGAACCCCTGAATCCGCGCTCCCGCCAACGTCAGGGATCTCAAAGTCAACACCAGAAAACCACTTTCAGCCCAATCGATACGTCTTCTCCACCTTTACAACCATTCTTTTACTCCGTATCTTTGGCGCACGAAGAAGTAATTCACAATGACCATTAGACGATTACTTGCTGCTTGCGCGGCATCAATTGCGTTTGCGACGGGCGTCACGGCGCATGGAGGTGGAGGTGGAATTGCACATCAGAAACCTATACAAGTTGATCCTGACGCGGATTGGGCCACGAAACATATGGCTGGTAAGATGAGCTCACTCCTCAAGTACCCCGAAGTACTGACTGTGAAAAGAGGAGCATCATATCTCCGTATTCGATCCAGCATCCTTCTTTTCACTCCACGACTACGACAACAGCGGTTCTTGGGAACAAAGCGAAATTCTGAAGACCTACGGAATGGACGATCCCAGCGCCAAAGATGTGCCACAGGAGAAGAAAGATGAGATTATTAGGGAGTTGATGAAGTTGATGGATCACAATTCGAACGGGATCATCGAGAAGCATGAATGGCTGCAGTTTACTGGAGAGGATAGGAAAGGGACGCTACCGGACTTCGGACTGGGTCCCGGGCATCACTGGGACATGGAGTAGGTATTGGAGGAGAAATTCTTTTCCTATTTCTGTCTGCTTCATAATTATTTCCCGAAACAATCTCTATCCGGAAATTGCTAATTCCCCGTTAACTAGGATGGAATATGAGATACATCATTGGGAGAAATATCAGTTAGTGCAGCCCTCAACGAGTACTTGCTTATTCTATGTCATCAATGCTTACTTTTCAAAGTGATGAGAATACAAAGGAAGAGGATCTGATACATCCTGAAGATATTGAGCATTTCAGGTTGCATGACGAATTAGAGGACGAGGCAGAGAGAGTTGCCGCGTTGGACAAGTTGGCGATTGTAGAGCAAAATATACCGACGAAGTTTAGAAGGGATGGATGATGCGTGTACGGGTGAGATTGTGCTGGCGACATGTCACGATAATGTGTACAATAATTCATGGCCTCAATGAGGGGAATTCATTCATGGTGGAGTTCCTGGCCTACTGATATAGACATCGAACACGCAATGCCAAACACCAGGAGCAAAGGTCTTGACATATTCCACGTGCTCGACATTAGCCGACCTTTGGTCCCCGGTCTTCTTCAACCAGCGCAGGATTAGCTCTTCAATCGCTGCCGTTCGGGCAAGGACATCTTTCACACCGACATTCTCATGCAGATGGAGCCAACCATCACGATCTAGAATTTCGAGCGACATCTCCCAACTGTCCTCACTGGATGGCAACAAGCCACAATTGACGTGAATGATACCTCCCAGTGCGTATCTGCATGGCCCCCGCAGCCTCTTTGCAGCGTCTCTGTTGTCCCCCAAGACCACAACGATTTGTCCGTATTCTGCAAGGTCTAGAACCTCATGGCTGCGGACAATCTTCACAGACCACCCATTGGCAACAGCACCCCTCCTCAACCCTTCAACAGACCAAGGATTTAACTCCCATCCTATCACTCTCCGCAGACCCATCTTTATATAGCTGAACATAAAGTACCCAATGCCTGCGTACAAATCCACAGCACTGTTTTTTGCCACTTTCTCTTTGGCCAGTCTCCTGGATTCTAGACTTTGATCTGAGCTGTGGAAATCGAGAAGGCGCGCTTTCTCTTTGACATTTCCTCGACTGAACATGGTGTACCTCGGAGCCCACACCTGAATGATACCATTCTGTTTCGTGCTCACCCAAAATGCATCTTCGAAATCTTTCTCAGTAGGCACTGTCTCAGGGGACAAGACAGGACCAAAGTCCCCGTGAAGCATGATTAAGCCACTAGGTGTCCGGAGGACATTCTCGATGCTTTCCACAAGCCTCTCCCCGTCGAAATTTGGGCCTTGATCTGACTTTTTCCGCGAGGTCCTCCTGGCATTGCCCCGAGAATCGTCATCATTGGCGAGCATAAGAAGCCCCTGAGATCCTAGTCCTTGACTTGGATCTTTGTGCAAAGGTATTTCCGCATTGACAGCCAAGTGGGTCAAAGGGCCTTTCCCCTCTCTCTTTCCAATATTCTCCAATAACAAAGTCCATAATTCAACAGCGTATCTCGAGGCAACTTGCTCAGATCCTACCGCTTCCCACCACTGTTGACCAAAACTTCCCGGCGGCAGAAGCACCATCGGAGAGTAAACCACCCATCGCTTTGGGGCTCTCGACAACAGGTTCTCCACATATGAATCACCGCCATTCAACAAGTCCTGGCCCAGAAGCTCCAGCCACGACCTGACGGCGATCTCGATCGGTCTGATATTTTGGCTTGCTCGGGAAGCCGCGCCGATCGAGGTGGGCACGCAAGTGGACTCGCTGAAGGCTTCTTCGGTCTCCATATTACAGATACCGGACCATCACAAAGTTTGATCAAGCTTTCCTGCACCGCACGACGAGACTGGACGCAAGACATTTTGTCAAGCGCAGATACTATGATATAACCCGGCAGTAGCACTAGTACCACCGAGCGCTCTAGATTCCGCCCGAGTCCAAAAGACTGATCGCGCGATCGCGCTAGGTCCCAAACCGGCGATTTTTCAACCGTCTCCGCGGCGGCCGTGCTCCTCCCTCAGCGCTTTGCAAGACAACCACGCCAACGCACCCCAGTCGCGTGCTCCCGCAGCTGGCCCCTAACCCAGAAGACCATATGACTGTTCTACATAGTATGTGCTGGCCCAAGATGTGGCGGCGGTCAGGCTGCGGATCACAGCGGCTTTTCCGCTGTGCAGATAAGGCTGTGCAGATCATCCCTTCAAATGCTGGGGCTATCCTTGTCGAGGCGTAGTTTATGTTCTCTTCTCTCGATCCGGATCATTCAGCAGATTGGGGGAGGGCTTGGCGCCTTCCTCAACGATTCAGTCCCACAGCTGCAACAGAGGGATGTGACTGATCGGAGACAATTCCACCTCCGATCGTACCTTGTTCTTCATGGGGACCCTTAAAGAGAGTGGCAAGTGCTGCAGCGGTTAACAGTTCCGTCCATTTGACCTAGCTAGATTTTGAAGCATCAGCTCCTTCGCCGAAAACAGCCCTATCCACTTTGCAGGATGGAGTGGAACTCTTTTGATGTGACACAGCAACGTCGATATTATACTCGTGGTCAGCCTCCAGTCAGTCTTGTCCCTCTCTTCAAATTCATCCCCATTCTGTCTGGCCGCAAGTCAACTGGCAGGCGTTAACGAACATAGAATGAGCATAATGTTGGAGACCTGGGGGATCTCTCGCCCTATCCGCAACATCAGTATGCACGCAGGGAACATTCCGATCCTGCTCAGAGCCATTGGACACCACCTGCCTGGCCCAATACGGGATTATCAAGGACATTGATGTTGAATTCTTCTCTGGGTCCTCAATTCCCTTCCCTCAACGTGCCTCAGAACATCTTCGACGTAGCATTTCAACAAACGGCACCGTGGACACCCGTCTCCAGCTCAAATCCGAATGGCACACTTGCGAACTTAACATTGCCCTTCCCAGCTTCCGACTCTATTTTTACGAACAGAACCTCGTCCATAATGATGAACCCAACTACAGCTGGTGCATCACTGAGCTCTTCAAGAGGCTTAGAGAAGACCCCCATCGAGAGCAATGATGATGACGATGATGACGACGACGATGATGAAGAGGAACTCAACGACACCACAAACCCGAAGCCAACTGTCACGTCTCCCAAGGCTGACGCTTTTCACAAAGTGGCATGGGGGACAAAACGGGACTCCGAACCGAAGAGTGCCACTCCCCCTAAAGGCAACAAGCGCTCAGTCAATAGCCGCCGTACGCCTCGGGAGCCAATAGGCAAAGCGGCCTCTGCTTCAAACAAGAGCAACTCCGACTCCGAAAGTAATCATCGTTCCAAAAGCAGACTAAACCATGATCAGACCGAGAAACGGTACGCTTATCTCTACTTCGAATTGCAGTCTTCTTTGGTCTGGCACTCAGAGCTTGGGAGCTTAACGGGAGCTTGCATGCGCATTTGTCTTTGGAACTTGGCTCATCAGCTCATGAGCTACCTCTTACAAACCAGGAAATTGCGCTACTAATTCGAACGATTAGGTATCGGAATAGACTAAATTATCAATTCGATAACCTTCTCTCAGCTATCCCTGCGCGCTTGATTGCGGAATCTGAAGGTTCAATCGGTGGCCCGGATGATCGACGAGAGAAAAGAGTCAACAAGGCAGAAGTTCTGATTCTCGCGAAGAGGCACATTGAGGAATTGGAACGGAAGCAATGGGAGTTCAAAGCAGAGAACAGGCGACTGGCCGCACGTGTGAAAGAGTTCGAAGAGGCGTGGACACGAGGGGGGGGGGGGGGCAACCCCTTAATGCCCTAGAGCAGCGTTGATGTCGGAGAGTGTGGAGCTTAGTCGAACGTTCAACTTTCTTTCTTTCTTTACGACAGGGTGGGCCCTTAACGTCTTTACCAGCAGTTTTGATATTATTACCATTACATCACGCAAAACTTACCACGGCACTCTCCCTCCAGAAGTCACTTGAGGTTCAGCGCCCTATCCTATGCTTGAGTCTTTACTATTACCCCCTTTTACGCTTTACGGAAGTATTCTCCTTTTCAAAAACGCAAGCCTCCCTCCCAAAAACTAAACATAAAACGTGGAGGTAAAAACCCCGCAGTCTGTGGAACCGGCAGATTGTGTCCTTTTTCCTTGGCACGTTATTTTATTGGCGGCAGACCTACATTTATAGGCATACATTGACCGCCGAGTGGCGCAATCAGAGTTCGACCAGTAAGACCTCGAAGAATGGGAGGTCGACATCATACTGTGCGTCCACCGGCTTGGGGGATTTCAAATCGTGCATAACCAGTAAACCCGCCTCACCCCCGTTGTGCATGGCCTATCTTCTCGCACACCCTTCGTTTGCGAAGCAAGGACGGGCCAGAAGCGGATTCGCGCAATTTCCCATAGTGTGTGCCATCAGATTCTGCACATTGTCATATTTGTTATGCAGGGTCCAAGACACATTGGCTCGCTTGGCTCAATTGACGCAAGGAGTGAAGACCCTGAAATTGTTCAGCCTATCATGTTGCTCTGCGGGCCACCACCCGCAACAAACAACTTATGGTGTGCCAGGTTCCAACGGGATGTCGCAAGAAGCAATGGATCCAATACCACCCATGAGGCATAGTTGAAAAGCTTCCGGCTTAATGCAGCCTGCCTGGAAGCGGTATTACCCACTCAAATGGCGGGAAAGCTTGGAATCACCGACGCACCCTGACCCGGGTATTCCATCGGTAGACCGGGCGGTGTGTATGTGTATCAGCTGGTGTGATGGGAGATACCGTTGGCCGCAGGAAGGGCCACTTCTTCTCCAGGACTACACTGAAAGGTGACAAGTATCTCTGGTTGTGTTGCCCAATAATCAGTCGAAATACCTGTGATCATGAAGTCCACGGCTGCATACGTGGGAGATCTTGATCATGTTAGAGGACCGGAGCGCGAAGCACCACCACATGTCAGCGGTACTCGTCCTTCTACTGAGTTTGGAGATCACGACCCCGCGGATCAAGTACGACAGAGCGACCTCATTTACGGATATACCAGTTCTCCAGTACCATCCTATTTCCCTTTCGATACATACCCTCAAGATCACCGAGGACAGAGCCCGTTATTCGAATGGTCCACAGTCTACCACACGACCGCTCGCTCAAATACCCAGACAAGAAATCAGCCCTTTAGCATCTATGGGACTTCTAGTGACAATGTCATGGCCGACGATCTCACATATGACCCCGTTCTGCCGCCTCTCGTTTCCAGCCTAGGAAGCCATGATATCCCGATGCCATTCAACTCCACTACAATGGTGTGGGAACGATTTCCAGCACCAGAGGACACAAATCTAAATGACAGCTGCTCCCTTCATACTACCAGTCAAGAACATCACCAGGACCTTGGCGATGAGAACGAGTTGGCCACTAAACTAGAGCTGGATCCTGTATTGCCGATGAATTCGCCCTCCTCATCCCTTTCAACCGTAGGTGACATCACCGAAAGCTCAGCAACGTCAGAGTGCGTTTCCCTTGAGGAACCAGAAATGTCACTAGCCAAACGCCGTCGTGTTTCTGCTCCAAGTCTGCGCTGGAACACAACGCGAAAGACGCGGAAGAAGAAGCTCGAACAGACGACCATCGTATTCCCTCAGTCTCCAACTTCCTCCACCCCGAAAACAAACCACAATGCTATCGAAAAGCAATACCGCAATCGTCTGAATGATAAATTTGAGGCATTACTGTCTGTGCTGCCAGCGCAAGAGGCGGAAAGTGAGGGGGGAAGTCTGGCAACAGTGAGTAAGGGGGATGTGCTGATATTGGCTAAGGATTATATTGAGAGCTTGGAAAAATCCCGAGACGAGCTGCGGGAGGATCGGAGGTCGTTGGAAGACGATGTTAAAAATATGAAAGAAGCGTGGATACAGTCGGGGGGGTCTGGTTTTAGCGCAGGCTGAGGCTCGGTCGTGGGTTCAGGAACGGCTGTCTTTGTGCACAACGAGTGGGATGTTGTTTTTTACGGCCTCGTATCGGACTTCAATACACGATGGAATCGTATTGATGATCATCGAATCCTCTCTGAATCTTTGCGGGGCAGATCGGCTGTGCAACAATTTGAGAAGTTTACCTCCCTGCCCCTCTGCTGCTCGCTCAGTGGTTTATGGGTGCCTGTCGCCAAAGCATTTTGATTATCTCCAGGCCAATTCCACCACAAACTTACGGAGAGTCGAAAAGATTGTTTTCTCTCCAGGCGTGGCAAGCTGTTAAAGAGGTGTCCACTTGGAGTTTCCAGGTTGCAAGCGGGGTCGATGTCTCCCAGCATTCTCTCCACAATCCTTCGATTCATTGCCAAGAGAAGGAGAGGAATTGCATGACCGATGCGGGGTATCAATGATACCGTTGTTCTCATGTCGTCGTTTGAAGAGATTTCGCTTGCGATCAGCCGACAATGTCGTTTCCTTTCACGGGCTCATCGAATGACACTTGGCATTCTTAAGCCCAGGGGCGATTTGATCAGCCCTAACATGTTTGCTTGTTGATTTCCTGTATCTGCTTATCCTCAAGAAACAATTCTTTTCGCCATGCACTTGCTCCGCCGAGAACACAGATTGTTGGATGATTCATGGATTTCGAAGAGTTGACTGTGCATTCATCGACTGATATCCAGCAGAACATCCAAGATGCACATGCTATCAGATGGAAAACTCGAGGAAGGTATGACTCTGAAAAATTCAACACTAAGACTTTGTGGTATCCTCGTTGACATCACCATGATGTACCCGGCCTCTCTCAATGGAGCTGTCATTGCAGAAGACCACGGTTGGCTTGAGCCACCTCCATCCCTATTCCTTGCCTTCCTGGTTTACCAATCATCGAGTCTTGAAGCCAAGATTCTTGTACCAAAGGCCTGTATTAATGATTAAGATCCTTCATGAGGAATCTAGGGAGAGCCTTACAGAGAGAATCTTGGGCAATGAACAGCCCAACCCTCCTATCCTGACAGCGTCAACGGGCGCTATTTTTCATGATATCTATGACAACTTCTTCGATGTAATGTACTAATATTCAACTGACAATCATCAATTCAGCTTTCAGTGCCGAAGTGTCAAAGAGAACTATCACGTGTCTCCTAATTTTCTCCCGACTTTTGTTGCATTTCGCAGCCTTCAGGGCCCTGCAGAAGGGCTGAGTTTCTTGGGGGCGTGCGGGTGCATCGCCGGGTCGCCCCACACCCCACTTCGGGAGGAGAACGTCACCCACCAACCATTCTTTTGAGTTCAGAAATCAGAACACCAACAGATTCGACGAAAAGTTCGGCTCTCAAATCCAGCAAGTGATCGAAGATTTCGATCAAGGGATGTCAAGGATGCCAAAACAAAGCAGCGATTTGGTGTGAAGTGTGTTGAAACGGGAGATACAGCCGGTCCAACCAGAACTCGCTCTTGTGGCATCGATGTGGCATTGATTTACTGTAATTCGAAGAGATTACATTGTTATGAAGAGCACACTGCTCAAAATGGACCTCTCTTCTTTATGTTTGATAATTTTTTCAAGGCTGGGTCGAAGTTATGGCCAGCCTCGCGGCGGGATGTGGAAGGGGCTGCAAACCTCTGCACAACTTGAAAACGACTAGGTGGGTGATGATGCCCTGATGTGCCAGCACCATTAAGATCTACCGGTGTATATGTTATATTGTCAGGCTTGAGTAGCTGATAGCGTCTTATTCATCTTACTTTTCATTCGGTGTTCTGATCCTGACTGTCCATAGGTGGAACTATCAAGTGAATCTCCAATAGTTCTCAAGCGAAATGGCAACGGCTTTTGGAACATCAGAGCGACAAGCGACGAACATTCTCAAGTACTCACCCTCACCCTCACTACCCCTCCCCAGTTATCTCCTTTGCACTCACGCAGATGCGAACGTGGGGAATCCCAACCATTGCGTCTGTCTGACATCACTAGCGGGATGTCAATTGCAGTAGGACCTTTTGTTCCGAGGACTTCCAGGAGCTTTTCTCCTGACGAAATACCGATGTGCAACAAAGCAACCACCATTCCTGCGGCTCAGCACTGATGGTGAGTTGGGAATTTTCCCGATTGGAATCTTTCGTGAGGAAAGCCAAGGGCTTCAGGCGGTCTAGATCGGGCTGTTACACGTGATGTGTAGTGCCACGACAGCACGGAGCAGACTCCACTGCAGTTGTTTCAATGATTGATGTGAGATTTATGGAGGGGTAAGCTTTCGTGGGTTCTCTCTTCAGCCTTGAGATAAGGTTGCTCGTAAAATGGGTCGACACGTGACATTCTTGAACGTTGAATCCTTGAGCGCGAGGGGCGTTACACCTCAAGACTTCTTCTAAATTAAACTGCATCTCCCTTTTCAATGATACCATTTGGACGTCTCTGCGTTTAGAAGCAGAGATAAGTAGTTATTCCGAGACTATGTTCACGTGACGCTGAATATTTCCTCAAAGTAGCTACTCCAATCTCGACAGACTTCACTGAAGTTCTAGATCTCAAATCCACTTAATTCAGATGGTTTTATTGCACATCGCACATTCGTCGTTCAGACAATAATCAGACCATGATTGCGTTCTCTGGCCCGCCACAAACCGCCCTCCGTCAGGAGGAAGTCAGCCATTTAATCACGATGCATGTTCTTTAACTCCCAGCCAAGCTTATCTTCGAAGTTAGTAATCCTCTCAAAGCCTTTAATTGGCAAGTTTTTATTCCGTACTTTATGGTTATTTTCACTTGCATGGTTACAAGTCCACACTTCCTTCAAGATCTTGCCCCGGGACCCTTGATGCAATTGCGTGATGTTGCGTGCATACTGCATCTTTGGAGCGATCTGGCTGAAATCGAGACCATTTTTGAATTTCTGTTGTAAGTCGTACTTTCATCTCACGCCGTTGACAAACAACCCGTTGTGGCATGGAGGTTAGTACAGTACGGGCTTGGAGGCGAAAGGGGAAGCCTGGGTGCTAAATCAGAGCATTTTTCACTGTATTGTTATATATTACACGCCTAAATCTAAATAGATGCGACGATTTTTAAACTCGTAAGGTCGAGTCATTGGACTGATAGATTGCTGCAGTCTCCTGGTGTTTCATACTTCGGCGAGATCAGCTGTTGTTTGATAACGCGCTAGTAAGCCGCTGGCCATTCAGACTCGTAAATTGGCTTCCGTTTACAGTGTAAATGGGAAACCCAGGAATACAGATAAGATGACCGAATAAGAATGGTGACCTGAAATACTTCTCGTTGCAAGCATTGACAGATAAACAGAATTGAAGTGGACGACCAATTGAAAAGTCGACAAAGATGGTGAGGGATGAAGAGCAGCAGCGTGGCAGCGCGTGCATATCGACAATATATCTCTGAAGTGGGAAAGTGAAACCATTGATGATTCCTTCGTCCAATATCTCTACCCGTTCAACAGCTCCAGAGTAAGGAAAAGAAATATGCCGGGGAAGGGCAGAATAGCCAAGTGAAACCCGTCGTATTGCAAGATAAAAGATGTTTTCAAAATCAAAACTCCCACTCAATCCACAGATGGGGTAACGGAAGGAGCTCGTGGAGACAACTAAATCTCCAAAACTGGCAAAACTGATTCCCTCTAAATTGTCGTTGTTTCCGTCGCTGAGAAACCAACCCAATTCAACAGAGGAAGGTCCGCTAATGAGAGATTTTTCACGGTCTTGACGTAGGAGGCCTCTTAATTGCAGCCCTGTGAACATTTATCTTAGCTGATTTCTTGTCCTTGTTTCAAAATTTTGCGGAGGGCTATTTTTAAGCCGCAAGAGAAGCCCGCCAACTCCTCAACTTCGATAATTGAATCAATATTATGCTCTTGTTGGAAAGAATTGATACTCGATTGTGTTACCGGACCCGCTGGAAATCGGCATCGGAAGATAACTTCATGCTTGGGACTATCTGCGTACTGCGTAGACCTGAGGACGTCACTCGACGTTGCTGCAGCTCAAACCAACCACAAATCAATTTACCATGCCAAAGTGAACCTAATTTGAAACATGTTTTAACAGGCTCAATAATCTCGGAAAATATATAACTTCGTGGGGTAAGCTCATAGTGACCCCGGCGTCATATTTCGGATATCATCGTTCCCCGTCAGGCTGGAATTGGGATATTGGCCCACTGGACCGGAAGTTCAGGATCAAAAGCTGTCGGGATCTCCGCTGCCAGTTGTGTTAAAAACATGTGTGCTATTATGGCAATGAAAATTTGCGAGACTGGCTCAATACACTCCTGGTTCTTCTCGTCTGAAGCCAAAGCCTTGCGTGCCCGCCGCTCTGGGCTTCGCAAAGTCCTATCAACCACAGCTAACTCACTGACTAAACAAACATCGTGTTCTCAAAAAGAATCACCGAGGGAGTGTCCCAGGAAGTGGCAACTAGACTCTGGATTTGCTGGTGTGAACACGGAATGTGAAGGGTTGATCAACTCGATCAGCTCTTCCTAAACTGCAAGTCGTTTGAAAGACACGGAATTGACAAATCGGCATCGGACTGAATCTTCCGACGCCATCTCTTGGTAGGCTTTCGAAGATTTGCGGGAGGGTAAAATGTTATTCTTGAGGACTTCAAGGGTAAAGAACGTGCAGCCCAATCGCTTGTCACACAGAGAATCCAGGGCGGCGACGGTTAGGCCTGGGAGCATCCAGGATACTTATGTTTGGAACCGATTAAGGAGAAGTCTCCGTTGAATAAGCTTTAGTAGACCCCATCCGATTTCGGTCGCCTTGGAAGGTTTAGATAGGAGATCAGCTGGCTCTAAAAATGATGCAAAAAGGCGGGCTGTTGTGGGGTAGATGCAAAGTTAACTAAATTGGTAAGCGACCTTGGCTCGAGACCTCAGCTAAAAGTCTTCCCTTCGGTCCTCCCGAGAAACCCCCCACTCTCAAACCCTAGCTCTCACCCTTCATGATTCGATTTGCACTATTTCTTCGAAAGGAGGTGATCGAGTGATCACGTGGCAGTGACTTTCCCTCCAGTCACCAGTGGTGGACGCTTGTCTCAAGGATGCAAGGAGCCTGTAGGAAGTTCCGCGGGGAATTCTTAATCTTTTTTTAAATTCTCGACTCCAGACATTCAGAAACGAGACACGCATTGGGGAAGCACAATGGCCTGTGTTACCCCTGAGTGAATACGTTGCAGTGGCACAGGGTCACCGATTCCAGGGCACCACGGCTGAACCACGGGCAGAAGGTGGGATTACAGCGTGGCCATCTGTGTTTTTAGGCTTCACAAGAAGCCTAAGAGACGTGCCACAGCGTGACTTACGCGAGCACAGCTCGAAGAGTGACCTGACCCGTCGACTCGGTAGACCCGATGCTTATCGTTGCTTGTCCGGGTGTGATTTCCCTTATGCCGTCCTCTTAATCTCGAGGAGTCCATCCCTCATTCATCACTTATCACTATCACACCCGACCCCGCCAGGGTCGAAACCTCAGTGGCTGGCTGGCCTGCAGAATGCAACCCCAACAAACATTGGTGACGGATCACGAAAGTAAGGGGAAAGGGAAAGGGGCGAGGAAGCAGTTCGGAACAAGCCATCTTGAATGCATAGTCATTCCGTTATTCCTTCCTTACGTCCCCCTTCAGTGAGAGACCGGTCTACTTGAAGCTGAGCAACGAGATGTTCCTGCTCTCCACGTTTTCTCCGTTTGTTCTTTTAATAAAAAGCAGATGACGCGGGCGTAGGCTTTTGGCCCTTTCCGGGGGGGCCGCTAAACACGTCTGGCGTGGTGCATATCCACGGCAGCATCGCTTGGATTTCTGCAAATCGCCTCCGCCCGAAGATCCCAGCACCATCCACGCGGTCCAAGCGCAGCAGCGTTGCAGGTCTCAGCACCCGGCTAACGCAGTGCCACCAACAACTCCCAGCCAACAGGCGCAGATGATTGGGCAGTCGGCGACTTTGCTCTGGGTCCTCAGTCTAATTGGTCGATGCTGGTTTGCTCGAGAGCAGAAAGGGGTCAAAGAGTCGGAAACAGCGCTGCTCAGAAAGCCGTACGCAGGTGGGGGAGGCTGCACCGAATCGTGAACACTTATCTGCACGCCAAAAGATCACCACTTGCACCTGGAAAATCCGTGCAGCAGATGCAGCAGTTGCACATTGACTACAATAGCAACAAGCACCCCACAATCGAGGGTGAAAGTTTAATAAGATGGCAATTATTATGAATGGGCCCCTGATCCTCGGAGAGAAATTTCGGTCCCAACACCAAGCTGGGCCATGGCACCCTAGCTGGTCCAGGCACCGCCCGCTGGATCCAATCTCCTGAACGGCTTCAACCGGGGCAGCTCAGACCCCAGTCCACTTTTGTTCCCTCCTGGGCAGCCCCCGGCAAGCTCGAATCCACGCCCATTTCTTCGTGTGTGATCTCCCTTCTCCTCAGTGCGCTCAGTGACTTCTCTCCTTCTTCACTCCCGAACTGCATCTGCATCCGCCAACTGCACGACACTCTGCACGAGCAGAAGCAGTAGCAGTAGCAGCAACAGGTTGATAAACGGCATCAACTTTGTTCGTGGGCCATTTTCTTAGCAATTGCGTTTGTAGCTTGCTGGTCGACGAGCAGCGACTTTTACAACCTTCACCCGCCAAGTCCGAGCATCACCTCCTCACGTTCCTTACCCTTCTACACTGAACCCGCCGTCGTTTGAACGGACTTCTTGCACCGCTGCCGATACATCCTTTGACTTGTGCTTGAGCTACGACACTTCCCCCTCAATATCAGGTATATTCCGAAACATAGGATCCAGACCGTTTCGATTCTGATATACTACAATTTACAACAAATCATCTCCCACCGCTACCATGGGTCCATCACTTAATAACCATTCCTCTTTCGTCCGACCGCGAACCAGCGACCGTGACGGTCGTCCAGGCACTCGCGACCAAGGAGACACCAACCTCATCATCCCCAGCAGAACATCTTCTCTGCACTCTCGCATCACCCAACCAATTCCTTCTACATTGGCTGTCAAACCTCAACAGCGGACTCCAAAGACCCTTACTCATGCGTACATGGTATGTGGTGTTGGACGAGAGCCGTCGCAATGGGTAAAGGCACCAGCGCCGGCGCAGGGAAAGATTGGGCACATGAAGGGAGCTGTTGGACAATTTTGGTTGCCGGAGATTCTTGGAAGCAGCCCTAGATTGGAGCAAGATAATGAGATTGCTCGGGCTCTCCATGCTGCAATGAGGGTAAGCGCTGAATCTTCTTGGAAACTTGCAATTGGAGTCTAACAAATTTATAGGCCTGTTTCCCCCACGATGTTGAGATCTGTACTGGACGCAGCCAACCGCACTGCGTGCACCATTCTTTCGTCTTGCAACAAGATTCTTCTCACACTCTTTACGGCATTGCTCTCCGTGTTTGGTCGAGAGCAGATGAGAAGCGTGCAGAGACGATTCGTGATCTGAGAAGGCGCACCGAATCCGATTTCTATGACTCCCCTGATGAGACCTACTGGATCCCGTACTGTCTGTCATTCCTCTCCAGATATCCATTGTACAACCTTTTGGGTGATTATCTGAGGGGTATGTGGATCCACTGGAACAAAGCCACAAACCTCTTCCACGCCGAGGAGGTTTCGCGCATTCTCAGCTTCCCAGCTCCCAGACTCAATGACCTTGTCCGTATCGACATGAAGGATTATGCTCTTTGCTATCAATTCCCTTCCTCTCCAACTGGTTTCCAGAACTTCGCAATGTGGCCATTATTCTCTTGTCTCTCTATTCCCAACATTGTTGGTGTCATAGAAGCAGCTTTATCGCCAACTCGGCGTATTATCTTTGTTAGTCACTACCCAGCAATGCTGACGGTGGCTGCTGAGACAATCCGATACTGCGTCCGTGTTTACGAATGGAGTGGTCTCTACGTTCCAGTTGTGCATGCTAGACATGCGAAGGAGCTCGTTCAAGAGCCTGGACCATATATTCTTGGTATTACAGCGGAATGTCGATCGCTTTTCACAGCACCCACCGATGCTCTGGTGGTCGACTTAGACCGAAATTTTGTCTTGACCTCGAGCCCTCCTACTGCTTTGACCGCCGGTCAGCGCACAAAGATGGTTAACCGTATGACTCAAGCTCTGAACGGCGATGTCACACCATCTGGTGTCCCACAACATCTCCGGTCGGCGTATGGAGGGGGGAAGTTGGTCCCAGCTGGCCAGATCATTGTCATGCGGGGTGAAGTCGAATCAATCCAAGACCCAGAATGGTGGAACCAGGATGCGATAATGGCTGTCATGGATCACGTTTGCGAGAAAATGGTAAGTTGACGTCTGATCTCATATACCCGGGGTAGGCTATATGTTCCATGTTTTGCTAATCGATGTTTCACCACAGGGACGGAACACCGGCATGAAAGCCGTTTTTGGTGGGGCAGTAAAAAAACCACTCATGACCAAGGTATCAATGAGACATTTGAATGAGATTGTTCGAGAACGGAACCAGTACTCCAGGGATGCACTTGAGGCTTGGCAAGATTTCATCAACCTCAAGGGCCGTATGGACACGGAGCTCGGCAAGGTCACGAAAAGAAACAACTTCCTTGTCGAGGAACTCGAAAGCTGGAAACAGCAAGTAAGCTCGGTTTCATCCAATCTTAGGGTTACTCGTGCTAACAATTATAGTTCCTCAAATTCCAGGCATTTGCAGAGCAGCTCACGAAGGAGACTCAAGATCTCAAGGTCAAGATTGAGAATCATAAGCGTGAGAACAGACGTCTTACTGGCCTCATCGACCAACAGAAGGACGATGCGGCTCGCCTTACCACCCGCCTTTCTGGCACCGAGAAACAACGTGACGATGCTCTTGAGGCCTTGGTTCTTCAACAAGAGATTGCTGAAGAGCTTGAGCGTGAGCGGAAACGAAACAAGAAGGAGCTGTCTGCCTTACAACACACCAACATGACCATCCTTCGTCAACGTGACGAGGCTCAACGTGTCGTCCTTCACCTCCGCAGCTTGATCGGCGGCCAAACTCACCACATGGAGCACATCGTCCGCTCCCTCAGCAAGGCCCCAGAATTGTCCGAGTACATCGAGGGCGGTTTCGAAGATGAGGCTGATGATCTTGAGGACATCGCTGAGGAGGGCAAAGTTGGAGAGAACGGCGAGGAGACTCCTGCATTCGTCGACTCACGTGCTTCATCACGATCCTACAGACACAGCAAACAAATCAACGGTGAAGATATGACTCCAGAAATGGAAGCACGCCTCACCAACGGCCTCCGAAATAGCAAGCGCTACAGCCAGATGAGCATCGTCGATGTTGCCGACCGCCACCTGAGAGACAAGACCGATGCTATCGCCCACATCATCCGAAACATCAGCGAGCAATGTGCCGCCGCCGTTGAAGGCCTTCAACTAGCCCATGACGCCGATGCTGAAGCCGAGGAACTCGCCTTGAGCCAAAGCCGCGGCCACCGCTCCAGCAACTTGTCGACAGTCACCGCAAGTGATGACGGACACTCCAACGGCGGCTCAGAGAACGGAGATGACAGCCTCCTTCATCCAAACGGGCGCGCCTCAAGCATCCCTCCAACCCCAGACCTCATCCACAACCGCTCAAGCACATCGATGTCCATCTCCAGTGCGACCACAACCCCCGAGCGAAGCAGCCAACAATACAACATTGGCACCGACATCCCGACCAAGATCGTCGAGGACAGCGACGAGGAGATCGAGGGCCGAAGTGAAAACGAAGGCATGAACGGGACCGAGATCACTAGCAAAGCAGGCCTGGTGCACCGACCTGCTGGCGCCAGACTCAGCGCTCTGGGTGGTCACTAGGTTGACCTTTACATGACAAATGTCGAGCATTTTTTGTCTTTTTTGGACGGCGTTATACTGGAGGATATTTGTCGTATTAAGTCGCTCTGCTGGCCTTGCTATTCATTTGTGTTTTTCTGGAATGTATGTAGGACTTATCACTTGATTGTGAGAAAAATTTGGAGTGATGTGAAGTCAAGAGAGATGGACTGAAGAGAAGGAAAGAGAAATAGGATTTTTGTTCTGGACGTTTGTTTAATACCCAGAGTATGTTTTTGGTGGATATGTTTGGTATAGGTACATATATACTTTCGAATATATTACTCTTTGGCTAAATTATTCAACTCTTTCCCTCAAGGCCTGAATCCTCTGGAGATGCAGAATGAGAGTGTGAAGTCACAAAAAGAGCTCTGGCCTCAATGCGTCACAACTAAGTAGCACCGCCCGTGACTCAAACCCCTCTTGCCCCAGCCACCAACCCAAGCAAACAGCCCAAACTACCCTCTCCTATTCCAATCCTTCATCACTCCCTTTCTTCCCCATCTTCTCTGCCGTTAAAGGCTAGGGTCATACGTAGTATCTGTTCTGCCCAGCCTAATCGCTGGCGCTCGTCCCACTAAGGCCTACTTCATTCATTGATATGCAAAAAAGGGCGAGGATTTCTGTGCTAGCACGGGAATCGAGGGGTGAAGAGCGGGGTGTCTCTGGTCGTACACAGTTTCCTGGCGATGGTTCGGCCAAAGAAAGGTTTCTTTAAGGTTTTCATTGCATTCCTCGATAAGGGGGGCATGATGAAGAAGAGGGGTTGAGAGAGGGTTGGTGGAGCATGACAAGCATGAGGTGCTTTAGAAGATGATCTAGTGACTTCACATTGAGAATATCAAAGTCATTCTATTGAACAAGACTCAACTGTTTGCTTGACACTCTTGATTCATGATTTCCTTCTGCATTAACAGAATTTAATCCCAGTACAGGCCCAATCCAACCGTCTATAATCCAAGCCATCCATCCGTCCCTCCAAATAACACAACTCCCCCACCACATCACCATTCTCCTCTCTTTCCCTCCTCGCCTTCCCACTCTCCTCTAGGCTCAAAGCACAGCTCTGCTGATACACCATATCCCTCCGATACGTGTCCCTCGTCATCCACCGCACCTCCACCTTATCCCCTTCCTCCGTATACCCATCCTCCCTCCTCTCCCTCCCTAACCGCAACTCCAGCACCTCGGCCACTAACACAAACTTCGGCTTCCTAAAACTCTTAATAGTTCCCGGCCCCTGAAATCTGACCGCTTCATCGATGTGTAAGTAAGAATTTGAGTTCCCGTTCGCGTCGAGTAGGTCGGAGATGTAGAAGCGGCCTTTCAACTGGTACAGGGCGTCGCGCTTCAGGCGGGAGCCGGAGTACCGTGCCAGGATGCGGTTATGGGTCGAGTGGAAGGAGGAGATGAGGAGTTCGAGGGCGTAATAGGGGTACTTTGGGTCGGAGATGCCGTAGGGTGAGGTGTCATGCCAGGAGCGGAGGATGGTGGCGTCGAGGGTGAGTGTGAGGTGGGATATGGGGTGAGAGGGGTGGTCGAATGAGAGGCAGGGGACGAGGGCTGGTGGTGGCATTGTGTTGTTTGTTGAATGTCTGTAAGGAGTAGTTTTGTTTGCTAGGTTGATGTTCTGCCGTGAGGCTTTTGTTCGTTCGCTAGGAACTCGCTCGAATGTATTTTCTTGGCCGGTATGCCGTGAGGCTTCTGATCTTTTCGTTTTTTGGAGGGATATCAAGTGACTTCTGGGTGAGACAGTCGTTGATAAGGTATAAATAAGATGCCGTGAGGCTTTTCGGTCTTGGTATGGAGGAAGCAGAACTTTTTCGCTGGAAACAAGGACAAGCTAAATGAAAGACAACGCCAATTGCAATGGAGGCGAGCTGAGGATGGATGGATGTGGGAAGATGGGAAGAAATGATGACAGGACGTTGCCTTGTGCTCTTCTACTTAAGAAGCGGTGTGACCGCCTTTTCAGCAGGTAAGACTCTGCACGGCAGCACGGAGCAGCTTGCTCACCCGGCATGGACACTGCTTGCCGGTGGGGAAGTTAATCTAAAGGCAAAATGATGGTCGGCAGGATAGATGGGTTTCTGAATGGTACGGCTGGTACCTGATGCAGGACCTGGCATAAAATCGGTGTGTGTTGTTGGGATCGAGGATTTCCTGTGGACAGGTTCGGCAGGTTCTTCAGGGAAGGCTGCGCTACGCGTGCAAGGGTCGGCTCGGCTGGCTGGCTAGCGAAAGAAATTCTAGCGGTAAGGCTGTGATAATAGGGTGCCGATAAATATTGATAACGACAAAGCGACTTCTTTCTTGTACAGTATAACAACAACAGCAACAAGAACAACAACAACAACAATAAGACAGAGCATACGTTTTGGAAATTGCTTCTCTTGTATCAATTTTAAACATAGATTGAATCTGCCATGCTCTGACAAAACCTGAACCATGGATCCTCTCCTCTCCTCGCTCTGCTCCATCTGCCACATCGATCCACCCAAGTATACCTGTCCGCGCTGCTACGTCAACACATGCTCTCTCACATGCTCCAAACGGCACAAGCTATGGGCATCATGCAGCGGTATCCGCGACCCTACAGTCTTCAAACCGATGTCTGAACTCGCAACGCCCTCGGGAATCGACCACGACTACAACTTCCTACACTCAATCGAACACCGTCTCGAACGATCTGAGAAGCTCCTCGTCGAGGACATAGACGCCTTATCGAAGGGCGAATTACAGCGTGCGCGAGCAGGGGAAGATGAAGAGGAATGGAAACGGAGACATGAGAAGGAAGCGCGTGGTGAGGCATGCATTGCTAGAACGTTGCACGAGATGAAGTGCAGAGTTATCACTGCGCCGAAGGGTATGCGAAGGAATAAAGAAAATACGACTGGTTGGAATCGGAGGCATGGGACGATTCACTGGCAGGTTGAGTGGATGAGGGAGGAGCCTGCTGGGAGAACGCTGTATCGTGTGCTCGGGAACCACGCTATTGGGAAGGCATACGATCTGATCTGCGAGGAGGAGAGGATACTGGCTATGAGCCCTGAGGAGAAAAGAGCAGATAAGAAGAGGAAAGCGAACAAATTCAAGGCGGCACAGGCCAGAAAGGCAAAGAAGGCGAGGCTGGACGCCGGTCGTCTTCCTCAACTCTCGACTACATCAGTACTGCAGGATCCAGAGCGTAGAACGTGGGACTTTACGCCAGTATACATGACACTACCCGAAGCATTGAAAGAGGACTCGCCAGAACCCGAGCCAACAATCCCGCAGAGGAATTACCACCTCTATCTCCAACGACCTCTCACCCCCTCCTCATTCCCTAAGGTGCTCGTACCCTTAGACCTTGACAAAACTCTCACAGACCTACTAAGAAAACGGGAAGTTCTCGAATTTCCAACCATATACGTTCTGGGCCACCCACCGGAGGACCTGCCGGAGAAGTTTATGTTGGAAATGCACTATTTGGTCGCCATTGGGAAGGAAAAGGGAGAGGAGTCGGATTCGGACACTGATATGAGTGATTCGAGCGAGGAGCACTTAGGGGATAGTAGTGGCTCTTCGGATGAGGATAGTGATGAGTCCATGGAGGAAGGAGAGATCTTGTAGGATTATGAACATTATTAACGTAAAAGGTGCGGAATTTACTGCAAGCATTACCCGGTCCATTTCAAGGTTTCTCTTTGAAGATAGCTCTAGGACTGAAACTAGAAGAGAGGCGAAGACAGGAATGAGAAACCTGACCTGCACAAAGTTCGACCTTTTGGGCTTCCGTGTTGACATGAAAGTTCGCATCCAGAATGTCCCAACAGAGTCTGGGACAATTGAATAGTTAATTGGCGTGCTAGAATGTTCCAAGGGGATCTAGGACATTGACATTAAGCACCATTCCTGAATGTCCCAGAAAGTACTTGTGCATGGAATGGTAAAAAATAGCCTGGAATGTCCCAAGAGAATCTGGGCCATTAGGCTAGAATTCGCCAATTGCCATAAACTTCGGAATTAAGCATGGCAAAACGCGAGGCATTTCGTCTGAACTTATAAACCTACACAATACGGCTTTGGAGCTGGTTGAGGCGTCTCTCGCTTAATTCAGGGGCTTTGCCGAGACAACTTATAGACAGGCTCAATCCATCAGACTCGAGCTCGCCGCACGAGCCCGGGATAAAATGTTAACGAGATCCGACAATATTCAGTTGTGTAAACGAAGAGTGAATATTACTCAGAACACTGTTGACATGAATGGTCGGATATACAAGTGGCGGGAGGAAACTTCGATCTTGCTTTCCTCCTTCCTCAACCACCGACTCGATCTTCAACTCGACACACTAACATCTCAGCGTGAGAGCATCACATTTCCAACACATAACATGCTCACTATCAGCTTTTTGAGCGGCAGAGATGCTCCTCAATCAGTAAAAGCATCCACTGAAGCTCTGGGTACGTCGATGTCTACAACACAATACACAATCGCTTTCTCACGAGACTCACAGCATTAACATTAATGTATCTTAGCGTGCCTTTGATCCCAGCTTCCATCGAAGCAATATTATATCTAGTCCCTCTACAGAATTAACCGACGTCGTATTTCTGGACCATCTGCATCTTGGCGACCATGACGGCGATTAGTATGTATGTGCTCGCGACCTTCTGCCACCTTGATCTTCGACCTTTCGAAGATTGCAAAGCTGTGGTTCTTCCTTTACATTCACTGACTAGAGTTCTGACAACTAATAACTGTCAAGGTAATTTCTACTTATCAATCCTTTCGAGTTTACCCTCCCGCGGCACTTAGGTCGACATCCAGCTACTCTCCTGGCATTCTTTTGTTATGGCGGTGCCTTATACAACTTTGTCAACAATCCTAAGTTAACCCACGAGCCGCCTCAAAACATTAGAATTGGTATCGCTGGTAGATGGGAGTGGAATTTGGTAAGCTGAGTACCATGAGGAGATGAGTCTCACCCAAAAGGACAAGAACATAACAAGAATACAATTCTCTTCGTGGCAAACTGAAAGAATGTCCCAGGTGTATCTGGCCCATTGACTGCATGACGAGTTAGAATGTTCCAAGCAGATCCGAGACATTGACTGAGTGATTGGAGATCGAACCGGGAATGTCTTAGATGCTCTAGTACATTGACTGCAAAATGGCAAACTAGAATATCCCAAGAGCATCTGAGACATTGATGAGTGAATTTGATCTTGAATCTGGAATGTCCCAAAGTTCTCGAGCTGGTATGTACATTCTATGTTTAATCCCAAGGACCAAGGACAACCACGATGCATTCATTAATGTACATTACCGGGTAGGAACAAATTGTCATTCCCTGCGGTGCACAGATGAGCCTACTCGAGCCATATCTCAGATATCCTTCTTCGTGTTGGCCCGCGTAGCCGTGTTCTCCAAATATACCATGAAAGGCCACGTCCCAGCGCTTGATAGTCTTAGTCCTGCCGAACCCATCTTGTTCCTGCCTTGCGCTGAGCGTAAACACTCAACTAGTCCCATGAAGATGTAGACTCCAATGCCTGTGAAGATATGCCAGCTATATCTCGGTCAGCAATGTGCCTTCTCAGAGAGAAGAAGTCGGACATACAAGCCATGGAGTTCTAATACCGCTGCCCAAGGCATTCCTATATTTCTCCGAAGTTCTCGAAGGCCATCGCAAGCGTAAAAGTCTATCGCCCAGCACGCATGTCCTGTGACAAAGAAAGCTGTTGGGTATAAAATTAACAACTGTTATGCAACTATGGGTAATATGAAAATAGAAAAAGCCGAAGAAGACGTACCAATTCCACTTATAGCCATCCACCTCATCTTCCTCTTCACCGCCTCTCCTCTGTCGAAATTACCAATCAACTTGAAGCATATGTGCCAAAGCCAATAAACCATCCCCGTGAAAACAATCTGCTGCACGGTGCTCTCACCGGTGGTAGTCTGAGCCACTATCACAACGAGCATCAGAGCACAAAGACTGCCTATCAGAACACTCGGAGCAATTGTGGTCTGCGAAAATGACAGGAGTCGGTAGAAAACGATAAAGGTAGCAATGAGCATTGAGAATTCATCGCACATCTGTGTCGAGTATTTGAGACTTGAGTGGAACAAACTTGACGCGATTCCCAGGTTGATCAGCGCCAGGTAAGCGAGTTTAGATCCAAGGCCATTTTCTCCTAATTTACGGCTGTTGATGAGCCCTTTGATGCCGAGACCAACTTTAAGGCTTGATTAACTTCTGTGCCATTCTGGTGGAAGGGTGACTTGCTGTATGTTAGGTTAGTGAGCGTGTTGAAGAGCTCTGCGATATATGGCGTAAATTCATAGTCCTATATCAGGTGCGTCTTTTCAGCCTTGAATCCAACGACAACATCATCCAGATGAGGTTATAAGGCTCGAAAATATGAAGCGATGAAGTAGAAAACAAAGCCTGGGACCTTGAGACGGGGCAAGTGACAATCTCGTCACAATTTGTGAACCATGAGAGATTATGAGGTAATCAAACGAACCTCCTCACAAAAGCTATCAAACATCAGAATCAGCAATCGTCGAACATTGAAATAGGGCTGTGGTGGTGTACTTTAGGGTTGATGAAGGTGGACCCCATGCTGGACTGTATCCTCCCTCTGAAGAGCGATAAAAGCTCATGATAAATAGACTGGAGCTAACGTCTAAGGAGACCTAATATCGATATGATAGTGCATCCGTTCCGATGGTAGGGCTGTCGACTTGAAAATGTTCATTCAACGCTGACAAGAACGCGAAATTGCTGACAGGCTGACACGACGCTAGTTCTACAGTCGGTCCGATCCAGAAGCGACAAAACGGTCGCCCTTTTGGGCCCACAATAACTTTTTACGGAGGGTAACCACAACCCTGATTAATTATTACTAAGTAATCCAATTATAGAGAAGAACCAGGCGAAAAAAACGTGTTAATCAGATTAAAATGCGATTCGTGGTTAATTAGTAATCGAGTTTTAAAGTGCACGGACGATTATTACTTTTTGATTTTTGACCATACAAAACGCGAAAATTTCGATGCGAGTGTGACGGCGCTGGCTGGGGGCCAAAGGGGGGTGGCTATCACATGACTGGTTTCACCTAGCTAGCCGGCGTTTCAGTGGTTTTAGCTAGTATTTCCCTCCTTTTATCCCCTTTCCTTCTCTCTCTCCTTCTTCTCCTTAGCTTAGTATTCTCAATACATGGGATTTTCCTGGATCTTTGAGCCTTTGTACCATTGCCTCGATCCCGCCGTCACAGCGAGCTCGTATAAAAATTATCACGTGTTTTGTAACTCCCGCAATATTAGAGGTATTAAAATTCGGAGACAAGGGAATTAATTATTACAAGATATACGATAATTTTGATTAATACGATTTATATCAGTTAGTATTTTGGTAGACTTGTTTTATTTTGTGGCTTTCGGATCGGACCAACTGTAGGTGCGCCACCAAAGTCACGTGACTAATATATACATTTCAGTTAATGTTGGAGCCATCGTGGTATTAAATCTATTTATACCAGCTCACCGCGCGTAACTAAAATCCATCTTTCGACAAGTCTAAATCAGGCTTTTAATCAAATCATCTACTTTCTGAGAAGCTGATGGGAAGCGTTGACTTGGCTGGTTTGTGTGGAGGGGAGAGAGAGGTTCTACGAAGTGGAGAGTACTGAAGTACCGACCGAAGTAGGAGCCAAAGAGTTGCCAACAAACGAAGTGTGTGAACTACCCACTCTTGAGGCTGTAACAGACGAAATTGCTGCAATGATTCACTTTTGCAAAAGTGACATATATCGCACTATGCATCACACTAGTGGCTTCTCATCAAGACTCATCATTCTACGAACTCCAGCATCCACCTATCTACACCCAAGACTGATAACGAACAGGGGTATCATCATATCTCCCAGACCCGCAGCAAATGCAAAAGACATCCATTCATCCAATCGCTCCTGTCGCAATTTATGCTCCCAATCAATGCCTCAACCACGTTCCAACTCAGGTTCGTCCTTAACCGGAATCGGCGTTCTAACCGTCAGTTCCCCATTATTCTCGCTCCCGTCGTCATGTGCCAGACTTGAGGTCTCAGAAGTCTCTCTTGCGAGATCGAGAATCGTCCCGTTTGCAGCTGCAAGGCGTTCTGCGCGCCGGATAACATTCCTCTCCTCTCGCTGTCTGATGAGGTCTTTCTCTGCTTCAATAGCCTTCGCTCTCCTGTTCTCAACTTCGTCTCTCTTCACAACCTTTCTCAACCCCTCCGAAGCGTGGATCAGACCATCGATACTGATTGCGTGGTTTGTCATCTGATGGTTGATATAGGTGTACACGCTTGCTGGGGTCGAGCACTGCAGTAATTGAGTCTCATTGAGCTTCAGTAAAGCTAGGGCGACTTGGAACAGGAACGTGCTGCCGTCGTTGGTGCAGAAGACGACGTCCCAGACGCGGAAGAGAGCTTCGGCTGAAAGACAGTCGGTAAAGACGCTCAGGAACCATTGAAAGGTCAGGGCTTCGAGTTCGATGCCCAAATCGTCAAGGTGTGCGGATAATTTAGGTAAGATCTCAGAGACATAGCGACGAAGTACTTGCTGGTCAGCCCGAGAGGCTAGGAGGCTGTGGTCGTAGTAGCCTCGTGGGAGTATGCTCTCGATGATACTAGTCAATATCCAGAATGCATCTTCCGCTGTGGGCATAATGAGCAAAAGGCATGCTGTGATCAAGTTCATGCCCTGACAGTATCCAACCTCTGCATTCCTTCGAGAGTAAGCCAATAAGACTTCATTCAATTTGGTGACTCCCGGTCCTTTTCTGAAGAATATGTTGTCCGTCAAGGTGCGATTGATGTCCATCTGGATTTGCGCGACGATTTGCGGGTCGTCATCTTCTTCTCGTTGGGCTACCAAGTCATCATAGTATCCTGGGATGCGGCGAGCAGCAGCCCCTGAGCACTCAGCCCAGATCTTGGCCCTGTAGGAAACGGGTATGCCACCAAGGACTAACGTCTTGAATTCGTTCCACTTTGCTCTTCCGACTTTACCTTTGTTACCCAATCCAGCGACGCCAATCATTTCTCCATCAGCCAACGTTGCTTCCGGCATTAGAACGACAGGTCGTTCAGAGCGGGTACTTGCTGTGGCAGCAAGTGCAGCAGCCGCAGCTTCGCCATCACGCTTACGCTCAGCCCGGACTTTGCGGAGGAAGTCGTTCCACCTGACAGTTTTTTCTCGTTGGAGAGAGTCGTGAACTTCTCCAAGCTGCTTCAACAATAATTTGACAGGCTCAGTATCCTCGGACGTCAGGTCTGATGATGGAAGCGGCGCAGAGGTATCAGGCGTGGAGATAGTGGCGTTGTCAGAAGTCACCGGAATAGCAGGTCGGGCTGCAGCAGTGCTCGCTGATGGAATGAAGCCCCTCTCTTCGGTCATAATTCCCGGAGATCGTGGCACCTCTCCACCTTCCATGACCTCGAACACAGGGATGCCGCCAGATGGAGTGTGAGAGAGGAGTTCAGTTGGGAAAGTGGCGATTTTCAAGTAGTCCTGCCAACGCTTTGCTGGCTTCCCATCTTCGCCTCTCTCATCAGTTGAGGCAGGGGTATCCGGTCTCTCGTCCTCGACGTCCAAAGTAGCATTTCCAAGATCTACTGACATCCCACTCCGAGCACTGCTCAGCATTTCAACACGGCTGCTTCGTTTGTTCTTCTGCATTTTCTCTGCCTCCCTTTGCCTCTTCTTCCGTCGCTGATCATAAATGAAACCGAAGCGATCAGTGAGATATTCCTGATTGTATTGGTTGTTGTAAATTTGGGTAAGGGTAGGCGGCTGTGCCTCTAGAGGCAAAATTGTATCCATTTCAACGGGACCGTAATTCTCGGGAAGTACACCAGAGGTATTGCCTTGTGGGCTTGCACCCATGGTGTCCCATCTCTCTTGGGATGCTCTCAGAGCACCGCTTTGGCCTGTAGATGCAGATGCAGTAGTCCGACGAGCGCCAGGTATCGCCTTCGGAAGTGGCTTGACCGTGGCTGGTCTGGCAGACATCGTTGTTCTGACGCTCGCTGTTGATGGTGTTCTTCCAGGGGGGGTTGTACCTGTGCTATTCGCACGACCTCGATTACCAGATCCAGAAACAACATCTCGACTTGTCATCGTGGTTCCAGCGACCAGCTTCAAGGCCAAAGTAGCGAGGCCAGAGGATGGCTTTCGATCACGATTCGGTGTAGCGACCTGAACTGACAGACTAGAGGCACGGCTTGTGCTTTGAGCAGTATCAGGCGGTTGAAAAAGGCCGTTCTGCATGATTGATTTTCGACCTGCTGATCCACTTGTCTGGACTGTGGCAGGTTCGATTCCATTCCCAGTATCTCCATTGATACTACTCGCTTGACTGCTTTTCCTGCTCGTGCCTCCCCATAAATAATCCTTCCAACCTCTTTGGGTTGCCGTCGACCTGCTCTCCAACGCTCTCAGGGTATCAGCCGCACGTATCGTAGCATCATTATTCGTCAACTCCCGCTCCCCGAGAATCACCGTCTCACCCATCGCATCACTCATAAGATCCTCCAGACCCCCTTCCCTAGCAAATGTATCTCTGCCATTAATCGATTCTGTTGGTGACTTCTGTTCCCCTTCAATAGCACGCAGTCGAGCCTCCAAGTCCAAACTTGACAATCCGCATTCCAGGATGATCTTCCTCAGTGCACGCTCCCTGTTCTCCGCCTTGCGCCTGATCGAAGCTATTTGCGCGTCCCTTTGTGCCAGATCTTCTGCTATCTGCCTGATCAGAGCAACAGCCCCATTCCGTGCAATCAATCTTTCGATGTGCTCGTCGTTTGCATGGTGTATCGCGCCAGGAACATGCTGCGTGGCCAGAGGCGCATCGTCAAATAGGCCCACACGGTTCTGCGAAGGAGACGAGGTGGTCAAGCTCTCCACCATCGAGGTTGCAGGATCCGAGGGCTTTCGTGAACTGTTTGCCGTGCCATCTGTGAGTTTAGGAGCCAAAGGTCGTTCGTCTCTTGGCGATTCTGGGGAGAAGGAGGGGAACGAGGTCAACGACTTGTCGGATATCGAACTGGCAGAACTCGACATGTACGAGGCATATTTGCGTGGCTTGATTCGAACAGTGTGTGATCGCGAGCTCTTTCCGGAGGCGTTCGAGTGATGCGAGGCCGTTCTCTCCAGTGCGGCGGACCCAGCATCAAAATCCATCGTCTTACGCCCAGAATCACCGTATCTCCTGCACTGAAATGAGGCGTCCTCGTTGGACAACCTCCGCACTGTCGTAAAGAATGCGTCGGAATGGCATGAAACAAAAGAAGCCTCTGTAAAGGCAGGATTGCAAAAATTAAGGGAGGTGAGGGAGTGGAGTATGTCTAAGGCTTCCTGTTTACGAGTAAATGCCTGGTCATGCAGCTTGCGTCCAGGGAATGCCATCATCGTCCTCGCGTACGTGTACTGGCCAAAGCGTGACCTCACACGGCGCCGGGATGGGACATTCCTTCGGAGATATGAACCATAAACATTATAAACGTTCATCTGAAATCCGAACGGACTTTGGATTCTCGCATGTCTACTTGAAATATTCTGACCTTAGCTTTGCGTGATTTTGTCGGGTATGAGAGAATTTCGAGCACGCCAGTTCTGCGAGAAAGCCGAGCTCGTGAAATGGCGTATGGAGTAACTTGGTATGACCCGATTTTTCTCATGTAACACCTTGAGACTATTTTGACTAGTTCAGGCTTGTTGCTTCCACTACCTAAAAGATTCTGTAATTGGTACTTCCTGAACGTTTCACAGCCCGTCCCCGCATTGCTACGGGGAGAGGCAAGAGGGGCACCGTGGGAGATTCCCGGTTTCTACCATCAGGAGGCACTTAATCAATGGGTCGTCTTGCGACAGGGACAACGCCTTAAAGCGTGAGACCGTTAGTGAAGGAGGTGCTGTTCTGTAATGCTAGGCCGTGAGTATATGGAACTCTGCTGTGGCATCCATCAAGGTACATAAATCAGAGAGAGAAACATTGGCCAAAGCCCTCCTTCTGCATTTAATCTATAATATCCGGAGAAGTTGAGTATTAAGATGGGAACTGTCAATGCAGCGCCTTGAAAGCTAATAGTGAGTAGCCTGGTCTCCTTGTCTTTCCTGATCCTCAAGATTGGGATGTGTTGCTGTACTCAAGCTGAACTCCGGGATGACCAATAAACCTCGGTTGGTCTTGCAGGCAATAATCGAGAAATGAACGTACAATGCTCTGTTTCTATTTCGGCAAACGCTTGTTCTACATGCTGAGACAGCAGCGAAAGAGTTATGTAATATCTATGTGAAGAGAGAAAGAAGGTCATTGTCGTTCAGGAAGAAACCCAATGGTGGACCCACAGATCGCCGCTCATTGGCTCTTCAGGCCTCGGCCCAACCCCAGGTTCAAGCAGCCGACAATTCAAACATCCCGAGCAAGGGTACACTCTAAGCTCCTCTCATCACCATGTCTTGAGCTTACAGTGTGAGATTTCTCTCTGTTTCTTCTTCCACTTCAATCACCTTCTCTCCTCATTAGAATTTATTCTCTGCAAGGCACCATAATGACTTCGTCTGCGAAGCGCAGGCTGGCGGCGCTCAGTGAGCAACTCGTTGCACCAATTGGGGATCAAGGAAAATTCGAAGACATTCCTATCCTGAAGAAGATTGCCGCAGATTCCAATGGACCGAGAGTCAAAGGGAAGGTTGTTATCGTGACAGGTCAGTATTAATCATCATAAATCCTGTGCACCTATCCTAAGAGTAATTTAGGAACGAATTCTCCCCTCGGAATTGGTCGAGCTTCAGCACACCAGTTTGCACAGAATGGCGCGAAAGCTGTCTATATCTGCGACTTCGATGACACGAATCTTGAGACCCATAAGCGCGAGCTTGCTGTGCTATACCCCAATGTCGAAGCCCACACTCGAAGGTTTGATGCGTCGGATGAGGAGGCCGTTAGAGCAGTTGTTGACGATGCTGTGAAGAAGTATGGAAGGCTGGATATCTTCTTTGCGAACGCCGGTATTGTCGGACAGCCCAAAATCTTCTCGGAGATCACGGCAGATGAATTCCTACATACATTGAAGATAAATGTTGTGAGGTAAATTTATTGGAGAGGTCCTTCTTCACTGGCTAATGGCTACCAGCGTACACCTTGCTGCTAAATACGCAGCCCCTGCCATGATGATAACGTCTGCTGAGAAGAAACACCCTTCAGGCAGCATTGTGGTGACAGCATCGGTAGCAGGACTTCGATCCAATGCAGGTTCAAGTGATTACTCTGCCTCGAAATCTGGTGTCATTTCTCTCGCCCAAACAATGTCGTACCAATTGGCTGGAACTGGTATTCGCGTCAATGCTATTTGCCCAGGAGTCATCGAGACAGGAATGACAGCTCCTATGTACGAAGCAGCGAGATCTCGAGGGACAGAGAAGAAGATTGGACAACTCAATCCTCTGAGGAGAGGAGCTCATGCCGATGAGGTGGCCAGAGTCGCCTTGTTTTTGGGCAGTGATGAGAGTAGTTATGTGAACGGCCAGGCTTGGGCAATTGATGGGGGTCTGAGTGCTGGTCATCCTTTTGTCCCTGGAAAGTTGGGATGAAATTGAGAGGATCATTGGATGAATATGATACAAATTCCCTTGGGGAGAATCGGGAACTCTGCACAAGTGGCGGTCGAGGTCAGGCCAACCGTGACACTGCAATCCCCTGATATTTCCCGGACTAGTTTTGTGATACCGATCTTCAGTCTCCTTGTTTCTCAGGTACGCTTCGTAAGAACTCATAGCAGGGGGGTTTGTGTCATTACCAGTGGACTGTTCTTTCCCCCTCCGATATCTATAATTTTGGAAGGTCGGCTGGGTTTCTCTAATCCGTCCTCCGCGACTGGGTAGATTAATACCGGGCGGGATCTCGCAGTAAGCCACTTGCCGTTCGACATAATGAGTTGTCGATCTAGCGGACCGAAATAAGACTTAAGACTTCCAGCACGGCGCCGTTGGTGGTAAAACGATACATGCTTGGGGTGCTGAGATACAAGTGTACAATGGAAGCTGTATATTCTACTCTTTTATCCTCTTAAATACACAGAAAGCTCGTCTGAGGACCTGTGAAGAGGTTTTAGATCGCGCTTTTCATTCTCAACACCAAGCTCATGGCAAAGGCTTGAGTCCGAATACGAGACACGTGCTTGAGTGTTCATCCAGTATTGCTCAGACCAATATTGGGCGAGCCTACCCGAGAACCCACAAAATACCTTGCTCGCTGCAGCTATCCCGATTGCCAAGTAGCTGATGTGGTCCCATTGCCCTATTCTTGGATTTGCAAAGTTCCAAGATGTCGAATGCTCTACATCTTCTGCTTAGTTTCCGGTTTCTTCGTGACACTGCATTTCGAGCTATTCGGATCTGCAAGATTTGTGAAACTAATTTCTTGAATAGGCGGTCTCTAGTATAAGCAAAAAATTCAAATAAATGCTGCATTGAGCAAACTCTAAGTTACGTTTATGTCTTTGGAAAAGCTCACGTCCTTCAACTTGTCCCCACCAAGGGTATAATCCGCACTTTTACTAGTCTAAGCCTGCAAAGATGCCAGTGTATGAAATATATCAAAAGAAGTGGTTTCACGTTGTGGCACCCAGGTCAACTCCCGATGTAACCTTGTGTGCACGAGCATGCGTCGACGATCGTGTAATGGTCGTGTCGTGGACCGTCTCATACAACGACTTTGAGGCAGCTCGCAGTAAAGCACCTTAGGAGGCTGTAGTCAGCACAAAGCGACTGCAGTTGCACTTATTTCTCTTCTTCACCCAGGGTAGACTGGCTTGTGAACTACGTATAACTGTAATGCGTTCGCCTTTCTAACAAGTCAATTTCAAGTCGACTCTTTCCTCTCATCTCCGTTACTACTTCCATTTAAGATCGTGGATTTGCTGGAATACCGGGTACACTAGGCTTCTACGATGCAATTCTATCTTCCCCTCTTTCTGTCGTTCATTGAAATTGCATCTTCAAAATGTACGCATAACGACTGTGTTCGGGCGCTTATGGGAGTTGATCAAGCCATGGCGAGCAGCGACTGCAGCAGTTTCCTGGAAACTACCATAACTCCTCCAGCATCAACAGTCTCTGTCACTTTCGCCACCGTAGCCATTGCTACAACAACACTCCACGCCAAACGACAGGCATATGCAACTATTCCGGACTATGCAAGTGGCAAATGCGAGGATGTAGAAGCCTATGCAAGTGGCTGTTCTTGCCTTGGGGTCACGCACGCAACTATAACTGAACCCATACCCGTAAGTATGGATTGAATCGACTTTAAGACTCAGCTCATCAGACAAAGGTCACAACTATCACGGTCCCAAAATCAACACCAACCCATTCTGTCACTTCATATACCAACTCTTCATCCACCTCGCCCACGTCTCCAGCAACCTCCAGCAGTCCCACTCAATGCCAAGGGCAGACTTGCGGCGGGTTCACAAATTGCAGCGGCAACTCCACCTGTTTCTGCTTCACATCTACTCGGAATGGCACCAGCAACGGATTCTGTGGCCAGAATGCTGTGTGCGGCGGCCTCACTCCATGCGCCAATGACTTTGATTGTTTGTCGAGGAATAGTACGGGGGATACTTGTGCTATTCAAACTTGTTGTGGTGCCCCCTCTGTAACTCTACCAGGTGTTTGTCTCAAGGGTATTTGTGGTAACCCTGCTGCGAATTTGAAGATGGCGCCTCTTGCTCGTAGGTGGATTGGTGGTACCGCTGCTGGCTTCAGACATGGATTTTGACTTTAAGGTGTGTGAATTTGGCACACTAAGTTTCATTCAGTTGGGTGATAAAGTTAGGAGTTTTGTTTTAGAACCTGTATTCGTTGCCCATTGATGCAGCTTAATCAGGAAGAGTTACTTACAAGCTTCTGCTCCACATGTTCGCTCAGAATGATTGAGCGAGAGGATAGTCACCCGGATTTTCTAAATTTGCTTCAACATCGAAGTAAGGATTTCGCCACGGACATGAAGAGGCAACAATGTCGACGTGGTTGATCAACTGGGGCAGGACAATCATCTAACTTGGAAACATTCGAATGATTCGAAGGGGATAAACTTCGAATATGCAATCCATGATGGGACATTAGAATAGAATTACTTGAATTGTACTTTTGGGTTGAGATATTGATAATTTGTTCCACCTTTTCGTTTACCGCGAAGAGTGTTTGTCTGGGGTTCGGCTCCAGAAATAGGGGACAGATTCGGAAGGCTCGCCTACTGTATTTCAGCTTCCCTGAGAACCTTGGAATCTCGCTGCTGCTTGCAAGCAGTGTGAGAAAAAATTATTCAGATTAATTGAATAATTCATGAATATTCATGAATAGCGTGAATAGAATTTGATTAACGGGATGCTTATGTAATTTGATTAGATTAGAATAATTATTCATGAATATTCATGAATAATCACGTGAAAGTCACATGATTTAAGTAAAACAACATATATCTAATTAATAAAAAAGAACTAAGGTACACATTAAGCAGCCTTATATAAACTAAGCTAGTACTTATATAAAGCTACCTAAATACTGATTTTCTATAATAATAAACTAATTATCCTCTTTAGAATCTCGCTTTTTCCCCTTTTCCCCTTCCTTTTTAATTTCTTCTAATTCGTCTTTAAATAACCCCCAGCTTTTTAAGCAAGATATTATCTCAAAAGTACTCTTATTAAGTCTATTACGTAATTTAGATATAATAAGAGCACCTTGAGAGAAGAATCTCTTACTAGCGACTGAGGAAGCTGGGATTCCTAGATATTTCCTAGCTATTAAAGCTAAAACAGGGATTCTAGCGGCATTAGACTTCTAGTAGTCTAAGGGCTTAGTCTATATATATATTAGTACTAAATCATTAAAAAATATTAAGAGAATATTGGGTAATTATTTAATATAATTTAAGTAAATTTTACTTACTTTTTTATTCTTTTTCTTTTTTTCTAAATAAGTTACTAATTCATTATTTATCTTAGAAGACGAATTAGTAATATATATATCCAAGTTATTAGAGTCGGAATCGGCTATACTAATATTCGAGGAATCGGATTTAGCTTGAGATAAATTATAATTATATTTATATCTAAATTAAAAAATTAGTAATTAATTTATTAAAAAATAATAAAAAAGATTACTTATATATTATAATTAGTCTTTAGTCTATTATATATATCCGAAGATATACTAGTAAATAAGCCAATATTAGTTAATCCTTTTTATTTAATTCGAGAATCAAGAATAAGAGCTAGATATAAAGCTTTACTTTTATTATCTAAAACACCTGTTTTAGGATAATATTTTCTGAGATTAGCTATACCCTTATTAATAGTATTAGTAAAGGCTTTATCCTATTAAAAATTAGTATAATATTATTAATAATATAGAATAAGTTAAGAAAAAATACTTACTTTAAATTCCTTTTTAAAAGTCTCTAATCTATTATATATTTTATATACTTCAGGTATAATATAATATATAGTAGGGTAGTTTTCGGCTTATAACTTAGTTATAGCTTTAATAAATATTTAAATTATATTTAAAATATTATTTAAATAAGTAATTTTAATATTAGTTAAAACTAGACTTTTATTTTTAAAAGCCTTTGAATTAGAGCTATTAATTACTACTTTAATAGCTTTATATATATATAAAAAGTTCTTTAATATATAATAAGTTAAAGACTACCGGGTTTTTTAATCTATAAGTAATTAGTATTAATTAATAATTAAAAGATTAAAGAATTAATTACTTACTAAGTTAAGGAAATCGAGTATTTTCTATATTAAAAGCTTTAATCTGAGCTTCTAATAGCCATTAGTTTTCCTGGTTATATTTAAGACTTATAATAGTCTTTCTAATCTTTCTCCAAATTAATAAATCTATAATTTATTAATAAATCTCTTATAAATTAAATAAAGAACTTACTTATTACTTATTCTACTTCTTCTTCTTCTCTATCTTCAAGTTCTTCTATTTCTTACTCGTATAAATTAGTAGAATAAGAAGTATTATAATTATTCTTAATAAAAGCTTTTAAAATATCTTGAATTACTAGATTTAATATATGAGTTATATAAGAAATATCTCCTTAAAATTTAATGCCTTTCTTATTATAATGCTTTATAAAAGCCTTTAATAAGGCATTATTTGAGCTAGTATTATCTCGAGTAATACTATAATATATATATTAGTATTAGTTTACTAGTAATATATAGTACTATTATATAAGTCATAAAATACTATTTGTATATAGTTAGTAAAGTTGTTTTTTAGAAGTAGGAATTATAGTATTATAGTATTAATATGCGATTCCTAAATCTACTAAACCTAAAGGAGTCTAGTCTACTAGTCGAGTTACTAATAAGATGCGAGGTTATATAACTATATCCTATTACTTATATCTTATTACCTATATCCCATTACCTATATCTTATTACCTATATCTTATATCCCGTATCCCGTAACTATATATATAACTTCCAAAGAAATAGCTATACTAATACTAGAAATTCTCTAAAAATGCAAAAAATAGTATCTCTCTCTAATTATATACAAATTCCCTAATCCGGCCTAGTACCAGATTTCCCAAATACTCTATATATCTATATTATTTCCGAGGTTTTAGTTATATACTAAAGGCTATAGCCTTTTATATATAACTTTTCTTCTTATAATATTTTCCTATCCTATATATCTATTTCCCGCCTTATCTATATTCGACCTATTTCTCTATATCTAATTATATAGTATTTGTATTAATTAGATACTTGAGGGTATTTATTAGCTTTAATTTCGTTATAGAATTAGCAGGATTCGATTCTTCCTTAATTTATTTAATTTCTGTAATCTCTTATTATTTATATACCTAGTAAAGATATATTATATTAATTATTAGATACTTTTCTCGAATAGTTCCCAATTTAATAAGGCATTTATATAATAACTTCAAATCCATATAGATTACTAGTAATAGTTCTATTTCTAGTACTTTATTAATTATAGATTTAACTAAAGTGCTTATATTAAAGCTATAAGCCATACTATAGAGTTCCAAAGCTAGAATGCTTCTAGTAACTCTCTTATATTTAGTAAAGAACTAGTAAATAATATTAGTATATCTAGTTTTATTTACTAGAACTAGAATATATCTAATTTAGGAAAAGAGATCTCTATTATTTATAAATAAAGCATTTATAAAAATAATTAAATATAAGAACTTCTTTACTAGCTTTACGAATCTTAGTTCTCTAGTAATATTCTTAATTTATTATTAAATATATTTATTAAATGCCTTTATATTAGTTTCCGAAAGTTTAATAGCTTAAATAGTAATTAATAGGTTATATAAAGCTTCTAGTTAATAGACTAATATAATATATACTTCTCTATTATATTAGGTAATATATTAGTTCTTAATAGAGAGATCTTAATAAATAGTACCCCTACTACTTATAGTAGTAATATTTTTTATAGAAACGGTTCGGAGGTTTTTATACTAATATTCTTATATAAGAGTAATTCTAGTAATATTTATATAGATAATATCTCTATTAAACTTGAGATTATAGTTAATAGTAAGGCATTTATACTTCTTGGCTAAGAACTTAGTTTCTTAAAGCTTTAGTTACTTTATTTTTATAAAATTTTTATTTCTAATAAATAGGATATTATTAGTTTAAAGGCTAATAATTCCGAAGAGTTACTTATTATAGAGAAGGTAAGGATTATAAGTTAATTATTTTATAGAAAGCTTATTAATATAGTAAGAATAGTAAGTCTTAAACTAGTAATTCCTAGCTTCTGGTATATTATATAATAGTTTTATAACCTTTAAAACCGAATTATTATTCAGATTTAGCTCTTTAGTAAACTTATAAAATAAGTTAATATAAAAATTATAATTAAGTAAAGTTATTAATTAGATATAAGCTTGCGAGATATTATATAAATATAGCTCTATAGTATTTATTATTATAATAGTAATACTAAGAATAATTCTCTGGCTAATATATTAAATAGTAAGTAATTATATTAATACTATATATTTTTTACTATTATTATAAGCCTAGATAACTAGTCTCGACTTTTTAAACTCTCTTTCTATATCCTTATTCTTAATCTTATTAATAAACCAGAAGTTAAAAATATATATTTTCTTTAGTACCTGAAATCTGGAAATAACCTTAAATATATCTTTTTCTAGGAAGTTAGTAACTTTAATTTAACGAGAGTTCTTATATAGGTTATTATCTTATAGAAATACTATAATATCCGGGTTCTTATAAGGGTATTCTTTATTATACTTTAGTAAAATAACGAGAATAATAAGAGAAATTATACCTGTATTACCTTTGGCCTTACTATAAAGTTCGGGAATAGGTTTAGGTTCGGGGCTATTAGTAATAACCTTAATATCCCCTATATAAAAGGGCTTTACGGAGGTTAAGTAAAAGGTAGTATTACTATATAGTAGAGCTAGTATATAGTTCTCTCTATTAATAGCTACTAGCTTATATGGCCTATCCTAATTACCAGGTTAACTAGTATTTCTTTTATACTATATAAGAATATCTGAATTTAAGGAAAGTTTATAAATATTAGTAATACTAGGACTATTTCGGGTATTTAGGGCATTTATAATCTGGTATCTAGCTTAAAGTTTCTGAATTTCTACTATTACCTTCTTAAGTACTACTAATTACTATAATATAATTAGTAATAGAGTATTATATTTAGTTATTCGGAATAAAGTATT